ATATGAAAATAAACTTAACTCTTTACAACTTACAGAATTGCTATGCAACATACATTGAATCCTTGTGTGACAATTTATAAAATTAGACCAAAATATTACTTTACCATTTCTCCGCAAGCACTTTATAGCGGGGTAAAAATTTCAAAAAAGTTTAGCGTAAATAATATGACCTTTTTGAAATGATATTTTAATTAGAAAATAACTTTTCTTATTTTTTATCCAAATGAATTAAACAATCTTTAAATTTGTGACAAGAAAATAGTTCTGAAATTACTTTGCATCTATTAGTCAATTATTTGACCTTTCTTCACTCAAAAAAATAAAGATTAAATAAACTCTTTAAAGTGCGTGAAAATGTGTGATTACACATTGATGTCTTTACCTTAGACCTGTATTTGGAAACGGTAAATGCGTGATTTTGCGTTAGAAATAGGAAATGGTATATGCGATATAAAATGCGTGACTGCTTGTCTGCTTTTGGAAGGGTGTTAATGAAAATAAACATTTTTTTTTAAAAAAACTGGTTATTTTTATATTCATTTCACGTATTAGTTTTAAAAATTGTAGGGTTGTGTAATATTAATTCACATTGAAAATTTTGCTTATAAAAATCATTTCGAATGTCATATTTATTTGATATTTTGACTCCAGTTAATAGTCCCGGAACCTGGTCCACCGTTAGTCAAACCAGTGGATTTATTGAAACCGCGGAACGACACGTGAAAGAATTTTCCTATAACCAATAGACTCAATCCAGTAACATTCTGATATACAATTTAGTCTTCCTTTACTAAATTAATTTACATGAAATTAATATCTTTTTCAGGCGATTAAGTCAGCTTCTGGCCGGGAAAACCCCCCACTCTTAGAGCGGAGGAGATTAATATTTATCCTACTCAACAAAGGCCCGGCTTCATTATTGGAATATTACAATGGGCTTTAAGACGCTCTCCTTGCAGCCTCTAATCGCCCGATGAATTGAATTTCTAGCGAAGAAAAAAAAAATCCGGACGAAGCGAGGGCTGCAATTTTCTGTCAAATGAACAAACTAAAATGATGAAATTCATTCATATGCCGTGGAAATTCTCGTGTCCGTTCGGCGGAAGACGCGAGCAAGGGAAGGTCGTATTGACAAGTATCATGGGGGAATGGTATTCACGGTGCTTATCCAAAATATCAGATATTTCCCGGATGTTTGCTAGTATTATATGGCTAAGTCTTTTCTGGCTAAATATCTCCGTCCTCTCTCCTTGAATTGCTCCAAATGCAGGCGTGAAATAACTTTAATGTGTCCCAAAATAGTATTTGAATAGAAGCAAATTCAAACAATGATTTTAACGTACGGGTATAAAAAAAATTGGACCTATAAATGCATCAAAGGTTAAACAATAGCATTTCGAATTCAATACAACAAATTATTTTTCTTATAAGATAAAGAGTTATATACACATGAAAATTACAGTAAATGTACATGTATAGATAAATTTTTTGCACAAAAGGAAAGAATTCCACATCATACATGTATGAGTTAAATGAAAGATGTGGTGAAATTATAGTGCATGTACGTATTTAAAAAGCATTAATTCTCAGAGTTTTTACTTCAACGGATGAAAATGAAAGGACATGTTCTTATTTGAAACATGAAAGCCCAAACAAATACAATTCAAGAGTTAATATCATCATAATGACAAAGCTAGTTTTTTTAATGTGAGTAAAACTCCAAGATCAAGTCTTTTTTTAGATCCGACAAAAATCTTAAATAATGCATGTGTCAAATTTAGCTCCTGTAACAACTGTTCAAAAGTGGGTCTATCTCAAGGTCAAGGTCAAAAATATTTTTTATCCATGGAGAGGTCTTAAACTTTTCACAATGAATACACATGTTAAGTATGAAAGTCTACACCAACTGTTCAAATGTTTTGACCAAGATTAAAATAGGTTTATAAATTCTTACAAAAGTGTTAATTGGTACCCAAAGAAAGTCTAAAATCAACACAATACGCCATAAAAATTACATCTCACCGACAAGACTGTGACAACGGAAGCAGGGGATCAGAGACAGAAAAGGGATTAGCGATCCCACTCCCATCGTCTCAAGCCACGGTCCGGAGTCCGCAAATAGCTCTCTCCTACCCGTGGCTGCTTGATCACAGGAAGTGTCGTAATCTTGAATATTTACGCCTCTCTATTTTTTGACTTCATATTCAGTCAGTGGAAAGTTTTGTTTCCATCACTATCGAAATCAACAACTGACGTCAACGTATACAAGAAATACCAGGGCTGTTCGAAAATTATTGAGACATTGTGTATATTTTGTTTTCTAATGAACGTCTTTCGTTAAAAATTTGCATATACGTTTGACATACATTAAGAATTAATAAAAGCAAAAAAAATATTTTACAGATATTAAATATTTTCTGTACAATGGTTTATAAATGCGTCATCAGTAGGGGTACCCGGAGCAGTCTCGAAATCAGATATTGAAAATATGTAACACGAACCTTCCAACTCTTCGTGGACCCATAATAAGATCGAAAATAATTCTGTTTATGTGTATAAATTTTCAGTTTTATTTCAAATTCATGTTGTGCAACTTTGATAGAATTTTGATCAGGAATACGGAGATCATTAAAAAAATAAGCGCGGTATAGAAATCTGCTAAGAACGAAAAAATGGATTTTGACGTCAAGGGCGGAGCAGCGAACATACCAAAATTTTGTGTAGCGCAATGTAGAACTCTTCCAGACACAATGCTAAAATAATAACTACGAGAAAAAATAATGTCTTAGGTTTTGTTATTGTAATGGTATACATTTTTTTACACTTAATTCAACCAGAGTAAAATCAAAAGCTCCGAACGACCATCAGTTATTATGTACGGTATCAATATCGGAAGATTGATCAGCGTTGCATAAATCAGCACTGCATGATTTTAAAAATATTACACTCGGGTAGCAACAGCATACATTTGTAAGAAATAGGTAAGAAAAGAGACTGTTTGATTTTTTACTGTTATATGTAATAACAAAGAAGGAAAAAGATTAAACGCTTCCCGATCGTTTTACATGCGAAACCATCCCTGGCTGACGTGACGTTAAAATGACGTAGTGATGCTGCTCCGGGTCAATAGACATATGCCTGTTTATTATTTCACGGAAACTTTTCTTATTATCATAGGAATAAGAAATTTTGCATAAGTGTTTTATTCGTTCTTTATAAAATGTTGATGAATTTTCCTGAAATTATTTCCATCCTTTATTGATTAAATGTAATTGTCTCAAAAATTTCCGAACAACCCTCGTATTTCCTATACTGCGATTGGATATTGAAAGGTCGCGATAAAGTTCAGCATCCGACTATGCTTTACTCGCATTGGTCAATATTTTAATGAGCTACGAAGAAATCTCTCCTCGTTCAACCACGGCCAGATGGGAGAGGAGCGTACATTTTGGCCGTGGTTTGCGACGATGTCCCACTCCAGTTTGCATGGTTTGTATGGGTACACACTACTTGTATTCTTTTGTTAAGTTAGATACACTTCGGTATTTTAGTGTATTCGACAATCACATGCATGTATATACCGGGGATGGAATGGGGTGTCTGATGATCGACCCCCTTGGGATTTTTAGAGATATATCATTTCTGTGGTAAAGTAACAGACCCCCTCCTCCTTGGAAAACATGGACTCCTAAAAAGTGTAGGGTACATGGGTAATATATTTGAAGATACTAGGAAAGCTACAAATCACATCCCACCTCAGCCAAAATTTTAAGGTTGTGTTCGAATTTTTCCACAGGTGTTTGGGGACAGGACCCCCATTATTATAACATAATATCAGTGAGGGTGAATTTTTATAAAGGGCTAGTTTTAGCTGGAATTTTGGATTTTTCAGTTGTAATACTTTGAAAATATATCAAAGAAAAATATTTTATTCAAAAAAAGTCAGAATCATTTGGGGTACGGAACACGGGAAGGGTGGGGGAGGGGGTCCTGTCCCCATGTACCTGTGCTTTTTTTCTGGTAAAACACAAGATTTTTTCGTGAAACACTGTTGCCCCCTTATCGCATCTTATGGCAGAGGTTGAAGTTTTTCAAATAGAAGTCAAACTCGAAGGTTAAGGTCAAAAGATCATAACTATATCAAGGGATAGGTCTTTTCACAAGGAACACACCTGTGAAATATGAATTCCCTTACTGTTCAAAAGTTTTGGCCTAGGTTAAAGTTTTTTACAATGTGGATCAAACTCTAAGGTCAAAGTCGAAAGGTGAAATTTATTTATACCAATTGAAAGGTCTTCTCACAATGAATACACATGTGAAGTATGAAAGGCCTTGCAACAACTTTTTACAAGTTATTATAGCCCAGGTCAAAGTATGGTATTTTTTGAAAAGTGAGTCAAACTTCAAGGTCATAAGGTCAAATTTGGTTGTCTCATAGAGAGGTCTTCACAAGGAATACACCTGTACGTGATATATGAAAGCCCTCTACCAGTCAAAAGTTATCAGCAAGGTTAAAGTTTTTTTTACGGACAGACAAACAGACAGGCAAACGCATGGACAGGGCAAAAATTATATACTTCCGAATCTTCGATTATAGGGGGCACAAAAACTGTATCTTATTAAAGAAGTTTATGTAACACCCCCCCCCTCCTTAACCCCCTGAAAAAAATACTACTTGTAGTCTGGGTCACCTACATGTTTTTCGCATTTGATGGTTTCAGGGGGTCAAACGACTTGCTTGACCTAGGCTATCCTACTTGTAGATCCGCTCATGTAAAATGTTTTTAAACATACAAAACCTGAGTCTCATGAAACCTGATCTATGAAAGATCAGATTAATTGTCTTTCAAATAGATTTAACGTTTGGTAAAGATTAATGGAATGTATTGTAAAACAACATAAGTGTAAGAATTAAGTAGAGTGTAAGAACTAAGTTTACCCTATTCCATTTAAAATAATCGTGTAGCAGTTTTATCCGATTCCGAAGAGAAGAGTGACGCAACTTCCTTTCAAAACAACATGGTGGTGGTGGAAGACGAAACAAGAAAATGCGTTTAGAAAAGTGTTATTTTTGTTCTTCCACCATCTACCCTGGTCACGGGATACAGTTTGTTCGTAACGATTGTAAGGTAGGTTGTTCTTTGTCTCTGAATTTTGTATTTAAGAGGGTTTTTAAAGTAAGAAAATGAAATGATGCGACAGAATCAATCGCACACGTATTTGTCAATTATAAAAAATCATTTGTTTTCATCGATAGATTTTATTTCGTAAAAATAACATTGTTATCGGATCTTTATTTTGTTAAAGTAACATAATGATGCACTTGTTCAATTTCTCCTACTGAATTGATTGCATTCTCTTTATAGAAGTGGACAGACTTTCACCTATAGCCTGTTCATTTCTCAAATTCTAAAGAGAATAAGTTGACTGATTGGAGAAAATACTTATGAAATGTGTTCTATTGATCAGCTGATTACTATGTAAAGAAGAGTGGTTCAGTTGTTTCCTCCTAACGTTTGATTAATATAGAAATTAAGATTTTCCTTGTGATTCTCTGAATACATCTCCAACATGCCCAAATAATTAATTTTGAATTCATTCTAGATTTTTAGGTTCTGTCGGTCAAAATGTCATAAAGCATTTAAAAACAAGAGAAATCCACGAAAGGCCAAGTGGACAAAAGCTTTCAGAAAGGCTGCAGGGAAAGAGCTTGCAGTGGATCCATCACTGGAATTCGAAAAACGCAGACATGTCCCCGTCAAATATAACAGAGAACTTTGGCAGACAACATGTAAGCATGGCTGTTTAGGGGATATGAATATGTTTTATTCATAACACAGATTAAAGAGTCATTGTTTGAAAGAAAAATTCTTAACAATTACCTACAAGCTGTGTTTTGACTAAAATCTACAAATGAGTTTAAACTCAATCTAACTAACATGTACATGTAAATAAAAATGATGTCACTGACTTCACTCACACACATACATGTTAACTCTCCCGATTTAGGCGGGAGTCTACCGCTTTTTCACTCCATCTCCCGCCTACCGATTTAATTCAGAAATCTACCGCTTTTCTACAAAAGCTTCGTCTAAAGTATTTTTGGTTCGCTTGGGTATCCATTTTTGAAGCCACTCTCATAAAATCTCGCTAGATATCGCGTGATTTGACTCGAAAAAATCATACAAACGCTTTAAAACTTTTTTTGTACATACCTGGTAGATTTCAAGCACGTATTTGACAACGACAACAACACAAGACTACCAGTGATTACATTGGTTACGATTAATTAATCAACATCCCTGCCATGAAAAATGAGATACAGCTTTTAAGAATTAGATGAAAACATTTGACATCGTCTTTAAAAGCACAGAAGCTCACAACTTTATCAATAAAGTAAATAGAAATCACTCGATTGACCAGGCCATGTGGCACATCTCTACTTTCGTTTTCGATCATCGCGGGAAAATTTAGATTTATATGACGCAATAGGAACTTGTTTTAGATCTAGATTAAACCATGTCATCATTTGTTTTGTTTAAAAACTGAATGAACATTCAGAATTATTGCTTCTAGGCTATATCAGCAAAGATCACTCTTCAAAAGGCTAAGTAAAGCAGCCAATACAAGCAAAATGATGAGCATGAAAAATTTTTGAATTTGTACAATTTATGTCAAACTTAAGGTGTTTCTGTCTTCTTCTTTGCTGTTGATATTTAAGATTAATTAGTGTAGGTACCTGATTTCATTTAAGGCTTATAATATACATGTATGTTACATGAATGATATCGATAATCCAAGCGTTAAACAACATGCGCAATGCTACCGCTTTTGAGGTCTGAATCTCCCTCTTTTTCATCACAATAGGTTAACATGTATGCACACATGAAATATTCTTAGGACATTTACAATTCATTTTAATGTACATTATTAGAATAGATATATTATTGATGTGAAAACAATGAAATGAAATGTTCAATTTGAATTCTGTGGATATTTTAACTAATGTTTACAAATAGTATATGATGTAATCAACTGAATCATAGTTGTGTGTTAAGCATTTTTTCCCCAAAACTGTGTCCTTTGTCATTCTTTTTCTGGACTTAGATAATGTTGTTGTGTTTTCAGTCAAAGCAATGAAGAGAATAGAGGAGATTCGAGTAAAAAGACAAAACCAATTCATTCTAAACAGGTAGGTAAACTTAAGAAATAAGGACCTAAGACAAGTATATAATGCATTTAAGTCAATCACATTGACAACAAAATGTTCTTCTTCAGATTAAATAAGGGCAAAGAACTCAGGAAAGAAGCGGACGTGAAGGAGGTTGAAACAAACATACACTTAATCAGAGCACCAGCAGGTTTGTTTTCTTTCCTTTACATATATTACAACGTAAAATCTTTAAAACTTGGTGTAAAACTTTACATGATGCTTTTATTAGAATGAAAAAGGTGTCTTCAGCATTATGTATTAATTTAAAAGAATTGAAACGATTACAAATTCAGACAATTGCTTTGAGAACAAGGCTGGTCTTGTATCAAAAAGTTGTCTTCAGCATTATGTATTAATTTAAAAGAATTGAAACGATTACAAATTCAGACAATTGCTTTGAGAACAAGGCTGGTCTTGTATCACAGATACAAATTTTTGGGCCATAAGCACAGCAAATTGCATTTGGTGTGTATGATACAGAATCTGTCAATTTGTCTACATATATGTGACACATAAATATATGAGACACAGTCAAACATAAAAAAACACTCTCTTTCACTCGCCTATAATTTGGACATAGAGTTTTAGACCAATATTTAACTCCCAAAATACCAACTTATAGGCGAGTATACTATATATGGTAATAGGAAAAAATCAGCATTTTCTTTTTAATAAATTGAATTACATTTATTATTACACTTCATAGAAAAACACTGCTATCTTGTTACAAAATAATCTTATTGATTTCAAACCATTATAATTTTGAAACATATCTCTGGATATCGTACTTCTACAGCTCGAGCCAAGAAACTTGAGAAGAAGATGGTACAGGTAATACAGGAAGCAGATGATGAAGATATGGAAGAAGTTTAGGGATCCAAGGAAGGGGGATCTAACAGGAGTGGAGAGATTATTACTGTACACTGACATTCTATAGAATGACAAACTGTTATGTGACCTCGATTGTTTTATTCTTCATCAAAATTGAGAAGTTTTTCTTTTTGTACTCATAACTGATGAAAGAACATTTTTATAAATCATTAAAATTAATGGTTTAAAACAGACAAAAAGATGTTGTCTGTTACCTTTTTAAAGGTAGTAATATTTAATAAATTGAAAAGGATGTTTCAGAAGTTATTTTCATTGGAATTTTTAATGGTATCAATTAACAAAAATTAAGTATTAGTTATTGGGACAAATTGGTGACAAGTGCGAAGCATGAGTCAGTCAGTCTCCTCCCCTTGTCCAATTAAATCAGGACACCAAAATAAAGAAATATTAAATAACTTGCTTGTATTATGACGAAATTGTCTTATGCCAGCCTTTGTTGCATGATTTTTTATGAGACCATTAAAAAATAGTTATTCTTTGGTGACCATGTCTCTCCTTCCAGTCAGTATTTTCTAATACCATCATTTGTGATGTTGGATTACAGTTTATAAATTTTGAATCCGATACTTACAAGATTTAGGCTAAATTTTTTTTTTCATATTACAAAAAGTTCATAATTAATATCTTGGACTCTGGAAGAAAATGAAACTATATTTTTGAAGAAATTAATGGAGAGGATTATGACATGGATTTGGACACAGACCCAAGGAATCATATGAATTCAAAAGCTGGCAGTTTGAACAAAGGTGACCTGTTGGTTTCTGTATTTTGTCCTAATCATTTCAAATTAAACATTTTCAGCTTTTTTTCTTGAACTGCTGAACAAATGTCGAGCAAATTTGGCATATAGTATAGCATGAGTTGGTAAAGGGGTCCCAAAATTTGTGCACTTCATGTTTTCTGCACCCGGGGCCTCAAAAATGAAGTTAAACCATCACATCACATTAAAGCTTTGTTTAAAATTTCCTTCTTTCAGGACAATCAGCAGTCAATTCGTTTGCATGATTGTTATAAGCATTGTACACTTTACCAAAATTATGGTATTCATGGCCCAGGGTCAGAGACTCTGAAGAAAGGTCAGAGCTTAAATGATCATACAGTGAAAATGCATAAGATTATTTTAAAATCTTTCCTGTCCCTATATATATGAACTAGTGTTAAGCAGATAAATTAGATGCATGATTATGATAAGCAAGTTGCATACTTTTACCAAAAGCAACAGCATAAAACTTACCACTTTTTTGAACTCACCTGAGCCGAAGGCTCAAGTCAGCTTTTCTGATCACATTTTGTCGGCTGTCCATCCGTCTGTAAACTTTTCACATCTCAAGAACCACTGTGCCAATTTTAACCAAACTTGGTACCAAGCATTCTTTGGGGAAGATGAGTTTAATTAAATTGTAAAAATAAAGGGCCAAGTCCCCCTACAAGGGAAGAAAAAAAGCCAAAATAAGATTAAAAATCTTCTTCTCAAGAACCACTGGGCCAGGAAAGCTGAAACTTATATGGAAGCATCATTGGGTAGTGTAGTTTTTAAATTATTAAAAATCATGACCCCCAGGGGGTAAGGCGGAGCCACAATGGGGAATCCAATTTTTACATCGAAATATATATATGAAAAAAATCTTCTAAAAACCACTAGACCAGGAAAGCTGTAACTTATGTAAAAGCATCCTTGGGTAGTGTAGACTTGATATTTTCAAACTCACGATCCCCGGGGTTAAGACGTGGCTACAATAGGGAATCCAAGTTTTACATGGAAATATATTGAAAAAATCAGTTTAAAATCGTCCCAAAAATCAATGGGCATGAAAAGCTGCAAGTTATCTGGAAGCATCCTTTGGAAGTGTTAAATTGTTAAAATCATGACCCCAGAGGGTAGGGCAGTGCCACAATAGGGGATCCAAGTTTTACACAGAAATTAATAGGATTTTTTTTTAAAAATCTTTTTCCCAAGAAGCATCCTCAGGCAGTATAGATTTAAAATTAACAATAGGGAATACAAGTTTTACATAGATATATATAAAAAAAATCTCTAAAAATCTTCTTCTCAAGAAACACTGGGTCAGGGAAGCATAAACTTATGTGGAAACATCCTGCGGTAGTGTCGATTCGAAAGTATGAAATTCATGACGGGGGAGAGGGATAGGGGACCACAAAAGGTATAACAAGAGGGTAAATCTGGTAAAGAACTGCATCACCCAAGTTACTCAGGTGAGTGATGTGGCCATTGGGCCTCTTGTTAGTTATATACAACCATTCCCCTGATAAATTAAAGTCCAGGCTCTTTGATACCATAGACAGCTGATTTTTTAATGACCTATTTTCTTATTGATCTATGTGTTTTAGTGGAGACTACATGTTCCAAAAATCTATCGGAATTCCTATGAGTACCAATTGCATCCTGTTATGAAGAGATGCTCGAGTTTTTTATTGACAATATTTATGTGGGTTTTGGAGATCAGGTATTCCAACAATCTATTGGAATTCCCATGGGTACCAATTGCACTCCGTTATTAGCAGACCTATTTTTATATTCAAATGAAGCTCATTTTTTGCAAAATATTATGCGTGAAAAGAAGAAAACACTTTGCCCTGGCCTTCAACTCAATATTAAGATATATCGACGACGAACTGTCAATAAACAATGGTATTTACCATTCCTACGTCGATATGATATATCCTGGTGAGCCTGAGATTAAAGATACCACAGAGTCTGACACATCTGTTTCATACTTCGATATTTTACTTGAAAAAGACGTTAATGGTAATCTAACAACCAAGTTTATGATAAACTTAATGACTTTAACATTTCAATCGTCAACTTTTCTTACTTATGCAGCACCTTCATCGCTTGCATAAAAGATATCATATTTCTCAGTTGATTCGATATGCAAGAGCATGCTCTGCGTATGAATAATTTCTAAAACGAGGTAGATTATTGATAGGCAAGTTTATGAAACAAGAATATCAGCAGTCTCGTTTGAACTCAAAATTTCGTAAGTTCTATGGTCGATACAATGACCTTGTCGGCAAATACAATTTATCATTGAGTCAAATGCTGACTGACACTCACTCCTCCATTGCACCTGATCCCACTTCTGATGTTTTGGATGTCCGTGTTTGCTCTGCTCCTATTTTGTATTGTTTTATGGTCTTTGAAATTGAATAGTGTTCGTTATCTTTATATCTTTCTTGCAGGCCTATTCTTATAATCATATGAAGCAGACTTTGTCCAAAATCTTAAACCTGAAAAGAAGAAAACGCTTGATGTGGCCATTAACTAGAGAGTTAGATACATGCATATCGACGACGTATTTAATTTATCGATTTACAAGAGTTCGGTTTAACTAATGATCTCATTCGTGAAATTCTTTGAAATATTCTCTTTTTCTCTATACATGTATATAGCAGATTTATTAAAAAAATTATGACCACAGGGTCAGGGTTCAAGCTTTAGGGTGAGGCTCTAAATGATTATAAGCAGTGAAAAATGCACATTTTTTTTTTTACAAAACATCTTAATACTCTCTCCGCTGTATATTTAACAGATACACCAAGAACATGATTATGATGAGTAAGGGTATCTCTTCAAAGCTGTGAATTTTGTGGCCTCGGTGTCAAGGCTTCTGGCATTAAAGAAGAGTTTTAATGATCATACAGTAAAACTGTTCACATTCTAAGGAAATCTTCTCCTTGTATTAAACTAAATGCATGTTTATGGTAAGCTAATGTGCTTCTTCCACAATAGAGAGAACTAGGAAGACTTGTGTGAGAGGGAATAGCAATCGGTATTCTTATAGTCCTTGTGATTGTGACAAATAGGGACAGGTACTAACAAGTAGGTAGATATACTTTAACTTCTGTTACTGAGTAAAAACAGATTAATTTTTATTTGATTCCTGATCATCTGTTTTCTCTTTTTTTTGGGGGGGGGGATACCTTACATACCCTGGTATATCCGTCATATATTCTTTTCTACCTCTGTGGATCCTTTACAATGTTGTTTCATAATCAGGTAACCGTTTTATCCCTCATACCTCTTGTTCAAAATTATAAGGATAATTCTAAATATCCCTTACTCAAACCTTCCTTTGGTAAAGGGGATTGATAATTTGACAGCGCATGCATTGTTGACGCTTTCTGTTCAATTTTTGTTTGAAACAAAATAATATTGAATATAAAGACATATGGCTGTGAAAACAAAATGAACCAAACCCCAGGCTTTACAGAATAAGATTTTCGGAGATTTATTTTATTTTCCTTTTCTATTTGAAAAACTTTCAGGTAATCCATTCAAGTACTTTTTCCCAGGTTGATCAACCTCCCACTTTTAAAAACCATACTCCATCCGGTATTCTATTGACTTTTTAACTGTACAACGTACGTTATAAAAACTCTTTTCCCCTTCAACCCTTTTGAAAAATCCTTCACACACCCTATCCCCCTTTTTGAAAAAATTATACATCCGCGCCTGATCCCTAACCAAAAAAAGTGTGTTAAAACATTTTCGCGTTGTTCCATTCTGTTTAATATTAGCGCAAAATGTAGCAACGCACTAAAATGCTATAAACTAAAAGTTGTTTTATTACATTTTGCATTGATCTTGAATTAAAATATAACCGAAAATGCAATAATTAAACTCAATATATTACATTTTGTATCGTCATTAAATTCAGCAATCTATGCACTTATTATAAACTTTCCTTTAGCTTCTGCATGTACTGACCTTTTTTAACTGCAGTGTAATCGTCTACTTCGTAAGGGGACGACCATTTGATTCTGAGGAGGGGGGGGGGGGGCTGGCAGAATTTGAAAATAAATAATCTGTCCCTGAAAATGTTGAAAATAAATAATTTGTCCTCCACTACAGAAAAAATAAATAATCTGACCTTGACTTATGATATTTAAATATTGTGAAAAATACTTTTTTTATTTACGTGTAATTTAATCTCAAAGGTCTTTGATTCAAAAAAAATGTTGGCTCGCTTCGTTTGCCATTTTAGAACCAAATAGTATTTAAAATCAGATTACCAGACTGCATGGATACTTGTAGTCAGTTATCAACATGCCAATGTACACTAAGTAGGTGTGATGAATCACTTTACATACAAACCAATTCTTATACACCACAAAGATAAATTTACTTGCCTTGTCAAAGAATTTATACTTCCACGATATATTAATTCAAAATATAAACTGGCGGATTTAAGGGGGGTGTACATGTGTACGACCCCTCCCCTAAAATTTCGAAGCATGATACGAATAATAATACCGGTAATAATGCCATACTTTGGGACAATACCAATATTTTTGTGCCTAGTTTTACTCATAAAACTACACAAAAACCCAAGAGCTTCACGGGGCAAAGCCCCGTAGGCCCCTTTAATTCAAACTATGAAATGACGAGTGTTAATAATGACATACTTTGGTACATAACAAGGCCGTAACTAGGCTAAAATTTTTAGTGAGGCAAGGTTTTTTTTTTTTTTGGGGGGGGGCACCCAAGTCCAAAAGCGAGGGCAGGGTAGTCCCGTACGAAGTTCCTGATGGTGGTTCTCAGTATATGATCTAGGGGAGGGGATTCCCGAAATTGGATATTCGCAAATTAAATACTTAATCTATGCTTTTTTACGTTTTGAATTGTGGCGCAGTGGTTAAAGCGTTTGATATATAGAGTCATGGAGTAAGAAATCCGAATTCCTACTGCAGTATGTAGATACCAGTCCTTAGGTTAAACTGTAGAACCCGAGGCCCTGTTTTGCAGTATAGGTGATTGCACAAAAACGATTCCTCACGTTGTAATGACCCTGAGTGTCAATTATAGGTCCAAACTTTGCATCCCTCTAAGGGTAAGTAGTGGTATCTCAACTTGATATAAGTGACAAATTCTTGGAAGGGACGTCAAAAAAAAGAACTATTTTGAATTACATGTATTTTTTTTACACGCTTCAAGTTTTAAACATACGAAAATGAGGCACCAGATGTGATGAACGATTTACATAAATTGAAACACAGTTAAAAGTACTACTTTAGAACTTATACATACATATTGGGTAATTTCACTTTTCAGAAAACTTAAGAATTTTAGTGAGGCATTTGCCTCACTTGCCTCAATGGTAGTTACGGCCTTGCATAACTTACCAATTCTTACACAATTGTGTCTGGTTTTACTCTTTTACATACTGACAACCCAAGAGCTTCAGGTGGCTTTGTCCCCTAAACCCCTGTCATTCAAAATATATGGTACATGTATGACCAGTATTAATTATGTCATATACTTTGGTTTATAATAACCAATACCACTATAATAGTGCTTGGTTTTACTCTTAAAAAATACGAAAACCCAATAATTTCGGGGGCTGGGTGGGGTGTTACTCCCTTGGCCTACACCAGGGCTTCGCCCAGGACCCACTGGGGGCTTTACAGCGGCCCCTGACCTTTTGCCTATACAAAGTTATACACGCCCCCTCCCCAAATCCTGTATTCGCCTATGGTATAAATTAAATGATTATCTTTAAGAATCAATTGATCAATGTAGGGTAATTAAGACATAGAAGAAAATAATCTGTCCTTGATAATCTTGAAAAGAAATAATATTTCCTCGACAGGAATGAAAATAAATAATCCGTCTCAAAAAAAATTGCCAGCCCCCCCCCCCCTCCTCAGAATCAAATGGTCGTCCCCTAACTACAGATTGTTATTTAATGCCTTCTAGACCAGGAAGTATAAACACCTGACAGGTAGATAACACAGGTGTGTCACATGACTTTAGACATAGAGATAAACAGTACGGCCGCCATTACTGCATTCAGGTAACAATGAGAAATGATATTTATTCTGTATATTTGAAGTTTTGAACAAATTCTATGGATTTCCCAAAATGCCTTTGTCCTACAGATCCATGCAGTTAGTGACACCTATCTCCATTTCATTCTCCTTTTCTGTTTCTTGGCTTTATTTTAACTTTAAAAATATATATAAAAATCTACATATTTAATTTTTCATTGTTTAGTATTGTCAGTAACAAGATCTAATGATGGACCCCCGTACCAGTGCCCAGGACGTGATGCGATGTGACCTGTGTGAGACCGCTGTGGTACAGATGCACTGTGATACATGTCTTGTCAACCTGTGTAAGGCCTGTGTAGGAGAACACATCTCAACAGATGAATCCAAGGACCACAAAGTCGTTAAATTTCAGTCCAGAAAATCTACCCCCCTCTACCCAGGATGTACATCACATAACAAACAACAATGTACAATGTACTGTAACCAATGTGACATTCCTGTTTGTACAAAGTGCATTGCATCTGGTCAACATTTAGGTCATGAGTTGTCAGAAATCATACAAATTGCGGAAGAAAAAAAGGACAAAATTATCAAAGAAGTAATTGAATTACGTGAGACAATTTACCCAACCTACAAGGACATTGCCTCTGATGTACAAAACACAATGAGTCAGTTAGAAAAGGAATATGGAGATCTCTCAACAGCCATAACAAAACATGGAGAGGACTGGCATAGAGAAATTGACAAACTTGTCAAGAAACTTAAAGCTGAAGTTGATGAGATGAAAAACACACAGTTACAAACTCTACAGAAACATCTGGATGAAATAAACAAGACAATGTCTGACATCAAGGAGGAAATTGATTCAAATGACATTGCTACAGACACTAATGACATGTCAAAACTATTTCGTGTCCCACATAGTGTAATTAATACATACAGAAATCTTCCACAAAAACTTGAACCAATCATACCCAAATTCATTCCAGGAAAAATGAAAGAACTTAGCAAATTCTTTGGCGCCTTATCATCAAGTTCTTTAACATCAGATGAACATGGCTACAGCATGAAGACAACACAGAAATTACCAGAAGCTGGATCCTCTCCTCCAGTCAAACAGCTGCTTGATGAACCAGAGACTGCCACCACCATACACACTGGGTATATATTTAACCTTTTCAATGTGGTCTGTCTAAGTGATGAAGAAATCTGGACAAGTGGAGACAGCACCATGGAACTCTACAGCATCAATCGGGGATTATTACTCAAGTCAATCACAACCAAGTCAGGGAAAATACCAGAGGACATAGCAGTGACAAAAAGTGGAGATCTAGTTTATACTGATTACTGGTATAGAACTGTAAACATTGTGAAGAATGAAAAGATAGAGGAGGTGATCATACTACAGAACTGGATACCTCACGGTGTCTGTAGTACCTCCTCTGGTGACCTCCTGGTTGTCATGATTAGTGATGACAAACAAACAAAAGTTGTCCGTTACTCTGGCTCCACAGAGAAACAAACCATTCAGTTTGATGATAAAGGTAAACCTCTCTATTCATCTGGTGTATATATTACTGAGAACAGGAATCTGGATATCTGCATGTCAGACAGTGGAGCTAAAGCAGTAGTGGTGGTCAATCAGACCGGGAAACTGAGATTCAGGTACACTGGACATACTCCTGCTACAAAGAACCAACTATTCCATCCACGAGGAATCACCACAGACAGTCAGAGTCACATCCTTACAGCTGATTATATCAATGACTGTGTCCACATCATAGACCAGGATGGACAGTTCCTCCGTTACATAGACTGTGGACTGAGTTATCCCTGGGGACTGTGTATAGATACAAATGACAATCTGTTTGTTACTAAATATGGAAAGAGACAAGTGAAGAAAATCAAATATCTGATGTGAAATACATCGCTGTGTAGCATAATAATATATAATTATAAATCAGCAAATGCATGAAATATTTCTGATGTTTTAAGATACTGAAGAATGGAACTTTAACTGTGCATATATTTCCTAAATCTATCAGTAAGACTCGTTACATGTGTATGCATCTGAAGGGCATCATAAAAAACACAAGTAAAATGAGGATTGCATGAAAACTGAGTGTATTTTCTTTTTAGTCTTATTTTCACTACAGCCAGATTTATTTCCATGAATGCTACCATATTATTACTTAAAACCATGAAATAATGCATTAGTAAGATGACAAACCAGTTAACTGAGTACTGTGGTTTCATCAATTTTCGTTGGCTTCAATTTCGTGGATATTGTAAAACAGACATTTTTGAGGATACGTAATTTCGTGGACAAAAGCATTACTTATACAAATGTATGTCATATTTTGTAATTCAATGAACATTTGAATTCGTGGATCTGCTCAACAACGAAAATTGGTGCTCCACTAATATTGATGAAACCACAGTATTATGAGTATATTATGATTTCCACATACTTTCCAATAGATAATTATGTCACAATATGGTACAATGTAAAACACTTCATCAGGCTTTCTGTACATGTACACTTTTCATTTGAAAAATATAGTGACACTCAAAATGTTTTAATTGTCAAAAATTCTAAAAGCATCCACAATGCAAATTTCTTCAAATGACCTTAAGTTTTATGCATCAAATATGACAGTTCAATGTACCTATTGACATATTGTACATGTTATTTGAATGGGACTATAATGTTAACACAGTACTGGGCTATACAAAGTATGACCTGAAATACCATCAGTAACAAGTCATGCGAGTGATGTACAATGGGACTAAAAGTCTAAAAAAAAAAAAAAAAAAAAGGGGACAACACTCCATCTGTTGTTTTTTCCCCAAAGACAGTTATTTCTAATCTTTACTTTCCTAGTCAAAGTAACAAATTGTAATACACATGTACAATGAAGTACATGCATCACAAAAGCCTTACATTTATTAAATGTGGACTTGATGTAAAGAAATACACTGTACATGTATTTGCATCAATAAAAACATTTTCTTAGTTATACATTGTGAAATAGACAGAATATGGAGGAAAATCCCTCTTACAACTGTGCATGATTTTTCAACTAAAGAAATAAAGTACATAATTATTTGAGTGTAAATGTATTAACAATGAAACATATGGAGATAATGAAGGGAATTGAAGATCAAAATCCATCGGCTTCATGCATACAGTAAATGTTTGACACTTCTTTTATCTTGAGATAATTCATTGTATACTAGGATTCCATAGGACACTCTCATTATATCATGAATGTGTTATACAGTTGTGATTCTTAAACACTGTCGCAGGTAACATCTATGTGTGAGATAGCACCGAGATGTGTCTATTAATCTTCAAAGTTCAAAGGATTCTATTTGGTGAAAAATTAGGGAAAAGTATGATACACCATGACAATAGAGCACTGATAATGTTGTGAGTTGGGATGATGTCCGAAAGGTCTGTCATTTTAATGGTCCCTCTGTGGAGTACAGCTGATGGATAAGTCTGCTTGGATTCATTCCTAGATTCCTGGTGATTTGAGAAAACAATAAAAATTAAGAAATCAGAAAATCCGGATGCAACAGTTTTTCTAAAATGAAAAGTTAGAAATACATGTCCACAGGATTTGAATGGCCACCCAAATGCAAATGTATACTGCAGCATGAAAAGAAATATACAGATAATTTGTCTAATCTGATTTCTGAGCATTCTGGAAATTTTGTTTATTAAGGAAAAATTGCTATTTGACTTGTCAAACCAGTGCTTCATCAGAAGCATATGATTCCATTTCTATATAATTATCATGTGAGTTTTAAGCCTCAAGTTTTTCCGGTTAAAAAGAAAAATGAGAGGTACATAGGTCATACTGCTCATCTGAGAAAGTAAGGCCAATTTGTTCTTCACCAACAAATTATTTTTCCTACAAATTCTATGTAAAACTTTGATCACACATGAATGCCCCAAAAGGAAGAACTTATTCTTCCAATATTTTGCATATGCATGTTTTGCGACAAAGTGGTGACAAGTACAAAGCATGAGTCTCCTCCCCTTCATGCAATTAAATCAGGACTCCAGAATAAATATTTAATAAGTTAAACTTGCTTGTATCATGACTAAATTGTCTTTGTGCCAGCCTTTGTTGCATGATTTTTATGAGACCCGTAAAAAATTAGTTATTCTTAGGTGACCATAAGTAAATTAATTCTTTCCTTCCTGTCAGCGTTTTCTAATACCTACATTGGTGATGCTGGATTACAGCTTATAAATTTTAAATCCAATATTTACAAGATTTAGGCTAGATTTTTTTCATACTACTAGAAGTTAATAATACATTTGTATCTTTGACCCTGGAAGAAAATGAAACTATATTTTTGAAGAAATTAATTGAAAGGATTACGACATGGTTTTGGACACAGACCCAAGGAATCCTATGAATCGGAAAGCTGGCAGGTTAATTTCAAATTAAACATTTTCAGTTTTTTTCTCTTGAGCTGCTGAACAAATGTCAACCAAATTTGGCATCTAATATTGTAGCATGAGTTGGTAAAGGGATCCCAAAATTTGTGCAATTTATGTTTTCTGCACCCTAGGGCCTAAAGACTGAGGTGAAACCATCACATCTCATTAGTGCCTTGTTTAAAATTTTCTTCTTTATTCCAGGACATCCAGCAGTCAATTTATTTGCATGGTTATTATAAGCATTTGACACTTTACCAAAATTATGAAATCCATTGCCCAGGGCCTGGACTCTGAAGGAAGGCCAGATCTTAAAAGATCATACAGTAAAAAAACATAAAAATATTTTAAAAACACATCTTTTCCTATATATACGAGGGTGTCCCGTAAAATCGTGGACAACGCGTTTCTCTCGAAAAGTAATGGACGCACTAAGCTGAAAATTTCATTAAATGTTTATTTATCATATTGAAGTGGATGATAATTTTTTTGATAAAATATAGGCAAAAATAAAGATTTTATTATGCGTGAATGTGCACGGGGTATTGTGCTACGGCGCGCGGACAAAAAAAACCAAGGTTTTATTAAAGCCATATATGGCGTATGTACAATGAAAATTATTAGACTAAAATTATAAGAACTTATTATTTGTATGATTACTTTATATAAAGATATAACTTTTCCGTAAATTACAAAATCTAAGTCAGTTGCGTTATAAAGATATCACAATTTAATTCCGATTCTCGGAATTTTCTCCGGCTCGGAAGAAAATACAAAAGATTTAAATAGCACATTATAGAGAAGATAAAATTGTATTATTAGGTGAAACGAGGTGTTCTCCGTGTTCAGAATTGTATGAAAAGCTTTAATTTAAATGTATTAACTATATTTCTTTACCTAATTTTGTATTTTTCAAAAATGTATTTTTTGATCAGTTACGCCATATATGGCTTTAAAGAATACACAAGTTTGAATTCATAATAAAAGTTTTAAATACATAAGATTTGGATTAAAATTATCCAATTCAATTCTACAATCAATTTTGTAGTTTTTGTAAAAATTTTAAGGCATTTGGCTAATTTTTGGCGGTTTCTCGAGCATTCGAAATGGGAAAGTGGTAAACAAAACACACGAAAAATGGCGACGTTTTATGAAGTTATGGCGCACTGGAGAGCAGTTCCGTTTTAATTCCGTGTTGTAATGACACCTTTGGAAACTTGAAATGACCATAGAAGAAAGAAAGATTATAAAAATATCACCATATCTTAAGAATACAAATGAAATAAACGTTTTCTTAGCGAAGTCTTTTTTGATCGAGTCCCTGGGGAGTACAAAACATACAGACAAACTCCTATTATAATAGCAAAAGACGCTGTCACAGTAGACCGGCGATATGAGATGTACAGTGTATAGTTATGAACCTCTCAAAATTTTAAAATTTGGAGCTCGAGGATCGGGGGTTTATGGTGTTAGGGTTGAACTCTAATGATCATGTAGCGAAAATACACAAATCCTCTAAAAATCTTCTCTAAAAGATCTATATATTTTGAAGATAAATTACAAGCGCATGGTTATGGTTGAGCAAAAGTGTCTCTTCCAGAGTTGTGCAAATTTATGACTAAGGGTCAGGGTTCCAGCGTTTGGGTGGAGCTGTAAATGATAAAGCAGTGAAAATGCACAAATGTTTACAAAATATCTTCTTGCATCAAAGAAGAATTCTAATTATGATCATACAGTAAAACTGTATACTTCTCGTAAGGGAATCTTCTCCTGTGTATAAAACTAAATGCATGTTTAAGAAAAGCTAATGTGCCTCTTCCAAAATAAAGAGAACAAGAAAAACTTATGTGGGAGGGAATGCAATCGGTATTCTAATAGTCCTTGTGATTGTGACAAATAGGGGCAGGTACTAACAAGTAAGTTGATATAATTAAACATTTGTTATTGAGTAAAAGACTGATTATTATTTATTTGGTTTCTGATCATCTGGTTTCTCTTTTCTTTGGGCATAGCTTACATATATGTCATATATTCTTTTCTACCTCTGTGGATCCTTTACAATGTTGTTTCATAATCCGGTAATCGTTTTATCCCTTGGAACTCTTGTTCAAAATTATAAGGCCAATTCTAAATATCCCTGACTCAAACCTAGCTTTACTTATTTGAATGCGCATTGATGATGTTTTCTGTCAAATTTTTGTTTGAAACTTTGGTTACAGAAAAATGATATTGCATATGAGGAAATTCGGCCGTGAAAACAAAATGAACCGAACCCTCTTTACAGAATAAGTTTTTGGAAATTTATTTGATTTTCATTTCCTATTTGAAAAACTTTCTGGTTATCCATTACAAGTACTCTTTCCCAGGTTGATCAACCTCCCACTTTTAAAAAACATATTCTATCTGGTATCCCATAGACTTTTTTACTTTAATGTTTGTGTAAAACATACGTTATAATACCTCTTTTCCCCTTCAACCCCCCCTTTTTTTTTAAAAAGAAAAATTCTAGATCCGTGCCTAAACCCTAACAGAAAAAGGTGTGTTAAAACATTTTGCTTGTTCCATTTTGTATAATCTTAACGCAAAATGTAGCAATGCATTAAAATGCAATAAACTAAAATTTGTTAAATTACCTTTTGCATTGATCTTGAATTAAATATAATAACCGAAAATTCATGATCAATAATAAACTAGGTTTATATTTTGTAGAGTTATTACATTCAGTGTCCTATGCGCTTGCAAATGGTATTTATTATAAACTTTCCTATAGCTTCTATTTATGTACTGATCTTTTTTTTTAACTGCAGAACAGAGTAAACCGTCTTCTACGTAACAACCATGACAACAGTTTGTTATTTAAATCCCCATCCTAGAGAAGGAAGTATAAATACCTGACGGGTAGATAACACAGGTGTGTCACATGACTTCACAGCATAGCCATAAACAGTACGGCCGCCATTACTGCATTCAGGTACATGTAATAATGATATTTATTCTGTATATTTGAAATTTCAAACTTTCTGGAATTCCCAAAATGTCACTGTCCTACAGATTCAGTTAGTTATGAGTGACACCTATCACCTTTTCATTCTCCTTGTCTGTTTCTTGGCTTTATTTTCACTTTTTAAAACAAATAAATCTAGTAGACATATTAACTTTCTTTTTCATTGTTCAGGATTGTTAATAACAACATCTAATGATGGACCCCCGTACCAGTGCCCAGGACGTGATGCGATGTGACCTGTGTGAGATCGCTGTGGTACAGATGCACTGTGATACATGTCTTGTCAACCTGTGTAAGGCCTGTGTGGGAGAACACATGGTATCTGATGAATCCAAGGACCACAAAGTCGTCAAATTTCAGTCCAGGAAATCCACTCCCCTTTACCCTGGATGTACATCACATAACAAACAACAATGTACAATGTACTGTGATCAATGTGACATTCATGTTTGTACAAAGTGCATTGCATCTAGTCAACATTTAGGTCATAAGTTGTCAGAAATCTTACAAATTGCAGAAGGAAAAAAGGACAAAATTATCAAAGAAGTAACTGAGTTACGTGAAACAATTTATCCCACCTACCAGGACATTGCTTCTGATGTACAAAATAGAATGAGTCAGTTAAAAAAGGAATATGGAGATCTTTCAACAGCCATAACAAAACATGGAGAGGACTGGCACAGAGAAATTGACAAACTTGTCAAGATACTTAAAGCTGAAGTTGATGAGATGAAAAACACACAGTTACAAACTCTACAGAAACATCTGGATGAAATAAACAAGACAATGTCTGACATCAAGGATGAAATTTATTCAGTTCAAATGGTTACAGATACTAATGACTTGTCAAAACTATTTAGTGTCCCACATAGTCTAATTAATATATACAGAAATCTTCCACAAAAACTTGAACCAATCTTACCCAAATTCATTCCAGGAAAAATCAAAGAAGTTAGCAAATTCTTTGGCGCCTTATCATCAAGTTCTTTAACTTTAGATAAACATGGCTACAGCATAAAGACAACACAGAAATCACCAGAAGCTGGATCCTCTCCTCCAGTCAAACAGCTGCTTGATGAACCAGAGACTGTCACCATCATAAACACCGAGTATATAGAGCTTTATGAAGTGGCCTGTCTGAGTGATGAAGAAATCTGGACAAGTGGAGGTGACAACTCCATGAAACTCTACAGCATCAATCAGGGATCACTACTCAAGTCAATCACAACCAAGTCAGGGAAGATACCAGAGGACATAGCAGTGACAAAAAGTGGAGATCTAGTTTATACTGATTACCGTGATAGAACTGTGAACATTGTGAAGAATGAGAAGATAGAGGAGGTGATCAGACTACAGAACTGGAGACCTCGCGGTGTCTGTAGTACCTCCTCTGGTGACCTCCTGGTTACCATGTACAATGATGATAACAAACAAACAAAAGTTGTCCGTTACTCTGGCTCCACAGAGAAACAAACTATTCAGTTTGATGATAAAGGTCAACCTCTCTATTTATCTGGTGGTTATTACAGATACATAACAGAGAAGAAGAACCTGGATATCTGTGTGTCTGAGGAGGTAGCTGGAGCAATAGTGGTGGTCAATCAGGCCGGGAAACTGAGATTCAGGTACACTGGACACACTCCTGCTCCAAAGAACAAACCATTCAGTCCACGAAGAATCACCACAGACAGTCAGAGTCACATCCTTACAGCTGATTATAACAATGAGTGTGTCCACGTCATAGACCAGGATGGACAGTTCCTCCGTTACATAGAATGTGGACTGAGTGATCCCCGGGGACTGTCTATAGATACAAATGACAATCTGTTTGTTGCTCAGTATGGAAAAAGACAAGTGAAAAAAATCAAATATCTCCAGTGAAACACATCACTATGTCATATCCAATATATCATCTATCTATGATCATGATGATTAGACATTAATTTCATTATTAAATTAGTACATGTAAATCATTTATATAGTAAGTAAAACATCCTAATAAGGATGAACAGCAATTTTTCTTTGCTATAATTAAGTGTTCCGTTCACAACGGAAGACTTATAGTGTTTGTATTGTTTCTTTTTATTATTATTATTATTCCTCCCTTTGTGAGCGCGATTACTCAGAGATGGTTGGATAGATTTTCACAACTTTTTACAGGATAGTAGGCTGATATGTGAAGTTTATATAAAATTCCGTTTTTTGAAAAATTCACTTCCGGTCCGAAGTTATGGCCGAATTTCCAAATTTTAAATTGACTTTTGTCCAGAATTTTTCTCAAGAATAGGTTGTGGTAAAAATGTGAAATTTACAGGACTCTTAGACCATCACATTTTCTTTGTTTTGACGTAGTTTTCGTGTGTTTACGTTACTTCCTATCCGAACCGGAAGTGAATTTGTGTTTCGGTCAATTTTCGACCTTTTTGTTTTAAATATTTTTTTCAAGATATTTCTAGGTATAATAGAGATATGTCCACAATAGCTATATATATAATTTGTCTTAAAATCAGATCACACGTTTTGTAGATTTCGGCTACTTTCGTTTTGCATTTATAATGAAATGTAATGAAAGTACTAAAGGGGCATTTCTTACTTTTAATTACATGGAGGTTACGTTTACATGTTTTTCTGCATACAAAATCAAATCATAACAGACACATTTATATTAGGAGTAAGATAACATAATTGCAATGAAAATCAAAGTACCTAAAATACTGAGAGGACTGATTTCTCACTGAAGTGTACATGTATGTAGTATAAACAGGCATGTTTTCCTACACATAAACATCAGTGCATACAATAAGTTGCCTTTGGAAGCTTATTTTTGTCAGTCAATAAAAATCATAGTACCACAAGTTCTGAAAGAATATAAACTATATTATTTTACTTTGACTTATATATACACATATGTATATGTACATGTAAATCTTTCTTTGAATGCAAAAATTAATTCAATTCGTATTATAATTTGTCATGTGTATTCATCAAGGATGGTGAATACTTTAATTTTTGTAGTGAAAATCAAAGTACTGCAAGTTCTGAGACGTTGTCCTCTAGGTACTCCGCATGTATAATTTCAATTTAAAGACAGTTAAAATATGCTTCTTATCCCAAAAAAAATTGCATTTAGATGCATTCATTTTGCAGTAAAAATCAAAGGACTGTTAGTACCGAAATGACATCCTTAGCTTCTTACAATTTTAAATTTATTAAACAATGTACACCATTCTTTACATACAAAAAAACAATGCAAATGGAATCATATAGGAACGGAGGACTTTTTTTGTTGCCATGGCAACAAGAGTCTAGTTATAATTCTTTTTGTTTGTAATTCAATATAATCCAAAGACAAAAGGAATGAAGACCACTTCGCTATAAGCATCAATTCGTTGTTAAGCATGTATGCTAGAAGCAATTTTACTGTATATCTAAAGGACATTATAAAAATCAAAAGTAAATGAGGACTGCATGAAAACAATGTGTATTTTCTCTTGTGTTTGACATAATTATTATTACATTAACCATGAGATGATTTAAATAATGAGTTAGGAGGATGGCCAACTGGTCACCTGAGTATTGTATTTTATATTTCCTCAGGCTTTCTAATAGATAACTGTGTCATAATACTTCAAGATATTGTAAGACACTACAAAACAATGCATCAGGCATTCTATACAGAATTTGGCTTTTTAATTTAAACCAGAAGTCTCTATCGAGACTGAAGCTTTACTGGTTTGTTCTTATAGCAAAGGAAGAGAAAAGTAGCAGTAATGAATTGAACCTTTACAACAGCAATAAATAGAATAATGATCCTTGATTAAGTCTCTCTATGTTCTTAGTGTAGTATACTTGCATGCCACATTATATTATAATCAACCTAAAACTGTATTTGGGGTAGCATTTTGAAAGTATTTTACAGAAATGTCTATTTTAGTAACCAAGGCATTAATGTTCAACGAAATCAAAAAATGATAAATTATATTCAAATCAGAACAAAACTGTAGGAGGAGTAGCATTTTGAAAGTATATCACAAAACATTCTATGTTTATTAACCATGGCAACAAAATTTATCGAAATCGAAAAAAAGATATACAGAATTGTGTTTCTTAAGTGTAGTCTACTTGTGTGCCAAGTTATACTGAAATCAGACCAAAACTGTAGGAGGAGAAGCATTTTGAAACAATTTCACAGAAATTTCTATTTTTAGTAACCATGGCAACACCTTTCATCGAAATCAAAAACAGATACAAAGAATGATATATCTTATTGTCGTCTACTAGTGTGCCAAATTATATTGAAGTACACTGTGAAATTGACAGAACAAGAAGAAAATGCACCTCTACATACCTCCTGAAACTGTTTATATAAATTTCACCAGATGATTTTCCCACAAAAAAATAAATAAGAAGCATTAAGTACAGAAAAGGAGAAGTTTATTACAATATCATGGATTTATGGTATACAGTTGTGATTCAGGGTGTTTACTGTCACAGATAACATTTGTTAGTGAGATACATGTAGCAGTGACATGTTTCTATCAATCTTAAAAGTTCTAGGATCCCATGTGATGGAGAAATTGGGATGAGCTAGTACAACACACCACCACATTAAAACACTGGTTGTTGTACGAGTTGAGATGATATATTGTACACTGTCATTCCTCTTTGGTTGAGAATTTGGCCAGAGTTTGTGATACACTATCATATTAGATTACTGATTGTGTTGTGAGCTGATATGATGTCTGGTACCCTGTCATTTTAATGGCCCCTCTATGGAATAAAGTTGATGAATAAGTCTGCTGGGATTCATTCCTAAATTCCTGGAAATAAAGATCCAGATTGTTTCAGCAAGGTTGAAATTAAGACATCAGAAAATCATTAGCAACAGTTTTAACATGAAAAGTAAGAAATACTGTAAATCACGTTTATTTGCGAGAACTTAATTTTCGCGTAATAACACGGGACAATGAGCTCACGAAAATTTCATTCTCATGTTTAAAAGTATTCCTTAAAGGCAGAGATTTTTTACTGGGTGGTAAATTCCAGGTGAAGGAGGGGCTTATTCTGTACAGGTGTGAATGCCTTGGGGGCTAGCAGTCTACCTGTGGTCAGCTGTCTCATATTCCCTATACACAGGAAGGGATTTCAACACAGTGAAATACCCCAGGTGTCAAACTTTACCTGTGTTGGGGATTTCGAGTCAATTTTGAATTAGAAGTGAAAAGTTGTAAGGAAAGTCTAAATAATTTAATAGTATATTGATTTATTTTTGAATATTTGAAAACAACCCTACCCATTAAAAAAAAACTAGAACTGTCCAACAGGGACAAATACCCTCGCTGGGTTTTTCAGAGTAGGTGCCAATTCAAAAAAAATATTTTATCTAGAGGTGTTCACTATTGTCTAATAAAGTGCCCCGCCACAACATGATACGCCCGTCAAATACATGTATTGTTCAATAATCATAAATTGGTTGGGGTGCAAGAAAATCAAGTAACTTTGATTAACAGATTGACACAGATTTCAATGATCTAATTTCCATTTCTTATCATGTTTACAATATTGTACATACATCTCCAAGAGAGTTACAGTGTATGGATTAATTAAAACAAATAATACATCATATAATTCTAAACTGGCTGTGTTAGAGCACTTGTTTATTGCATATTTTATGAAATAATGGAAATGCTATAGTCTAATAAAAAAATCAAAAATTTATTATTCTTTAGACTATAAAATTCTACGTGAGACAGGACTGCATTTTCTCTCTAATATGACATGCACATTTCTGCTATCAAAATTCTCCTTGAACAGTGCTTGATAATTACGCCCATGGGACAAACTGGATTCCTCTCAAATCATTAACATTTGTAACAGAATTTGCTGTAAAGTATATGATGAAAAAATAAGTTTTTACTTAATTTAGCATTTTTTAATAATTACTACTATAATTTTTACATGTTTTAGGATTATGAAATTAAAAATTTTAAAGACTTAAATTTTTTTTTAAAAAATCACTTAATGGTCACAGTGACCTTGAAATAGGTCATGACACACCCTCTACCCAAGATGCATAAATTGTCCAAGTTTGATGATTGTAAGTCTAATAGTTTTCTAGTTATGAGCCAAACAAAATCACAAAATAAAAAAGATAAAAACACCTGTAAAATGCAGAAAAATCATCCAATCATGATGAAAATACCAGGTGCACACCTTCATATGATGAATAATAAGTGTATAAATTTTCAGACAAATCCATCCAACACTTTCTGAGAAACGTTGCGTCCAAAATCTTGTCTACAGACGGATGGACATGGTGATTCCAATATATCCCCTAAACTTCGTTTGCGGGGGTATAATTACTTAATTCACACAGTGCTGCTCTAAACTTAATCAATAACATTTCCACTTTAGCATTACTGTCTAGCATATTATAATAAAAATCAAAATTTCATTGGAAATTTTTTTTTTCATATTTTTTGAAAAATGTATATTACATCATATTTAAATCCTTTTAGATAGTAAAGGTATCTTTAATTCATATATCATAAAAAAAAAAATTTCATAGTAATGCAGTTTCTCTATAGATACCATGTTCGGTACACAACAAAGGATCAAAAGTTAATTTGAAGGTCCTCAAGAGTCTGTCACACGGTGTACAGGGTATTCAAAGGGACCAGTAAGTAAATGTCAATCAAGTTCCAGCATCCAATGATGGACATTCATGCACTTGATTGACAGGGCTACCCAAACCTGGTATTTTTTATATTCTCTGCCTTTAAGATTACATGTGTATATAGACGAAAAACAACAATTCATGAAAATTATGTCTCGCTAATAAAGAGTCAATGACTATCTCGCAAAAATAAGGTGTCGCAAAAATTTAGTGATCTAGTACAGTACATGTCGACAGGATATGAATGGCCAACCCAAAGTATATTTGTACTTCAACATGAAAAGAAATGTACAGAACAATTTGTCTTAACTGGATTCTGAGTACTCTGGAAATTTGTCCATTTCTTAAAATTTGCTATTTGACTTCAAAAACCAGTGTTGTATGGTTTTGTACATGATTCCATTTCTATATATGTGAGTTTTAAGTCTTAAAACTTTGCAGTTGAGAAGACAAAAAGAGGTCCATGGGTCAAACTGCTCATCTGAATAACTAAGACCCTTTTGTTCTTCACCAAGAGATTCTTTTTCCTATAAAGCCTTTGTAAAACTTTGATCACATATTACTGCCCAACCCTAATCCAGTCGGTCACTATTTGAACAAACTTCAATCTATGCTACCTGAGGATGAATATATAAATATGATTGGTCATGGTTTGCTTTTCTTGAAAATATTTTTAAAAGATATTTCCTCTGAAAACTTTGACCTTTTGTTGTGGCCCCAACCTCACCAAGGGGTCATGATATCAACAGATTTGAATTTTAATACAGTGTATGTATTGAGGTTTTGAAACAAGTTTCCTGTCTCAGTTGTTCTTCAGAAGAAGATTCTGAAATTTAATGAAATTTTATCATCTCCCCTTGAAAGGGGTCATGGCACTTCTTATGAATAAATTTCATTTTCTTGGCCCAAGAATAATTTGTGGTACATTTAGTTGAAATTGCTCAATGGTTCTGGAGAGGTCAAAAATGTAGAAAAATTAACAGACAACAGACAGACAGAAATCAGACCCTCTTGGCTCAGGTGAGCAAATTAACAGTACCTTGCTTAATTTTTAGAGGTCAAGAAAAGGAAGAACTTATTCCTACCATATTTTGCATATATATGCACTGCAGGTGTGGATAAAATAGAGAAATAAATTTTGCATTTTCCTACACTCATCTTCTTCTCAGAGGGATACATTTCAATCAAATAGACAACACTTTACCAACCACAAAGCAATATTTTCTTTTTTCAAGATGGGCATAAAAGTAATGGCATTTGATAGTGGAATTTCTCAAAACAGTTGGGATCATAGTACATGAGGTTTTATCGAAAAGAGACATGATAACCATTATAATGGTAGGGCACAAAATGCTGAGAGGGCAATATTAGAATGATTTTAGTTTTGGGAAGTCACTGTGTCCTACACATACCTGAGAGACTTGTTGACCTTGACTGTGGAAAGTAGCCGCTCTGCTGCCATTTTGTTGGGACAGGATCTGTAGGCTTCCAGTAAGCTGTAATGTAGGATACACAGTACATGTATGCAGACAAAGATGTGGAAAATTAAATTACAATGTTAAAGGACTTCTAAATATACGTACACGACTTAATCAGTGATTCATCTGAGTTACTTTTTGTATTGTGGGGTGGATCTGAGTTACTGGCTTATTGGGGGGTAGATATAAGAAAATTACTGACATATTGTGGGGTAGATCTGAGTTACTGGCTTATTCAGCAGTAGTCTAACTTACTAACTGACTTACTGTGAGGTAGACCTGAGGTACTGACTTATTGTGGGGTAGTTCTGAATTACTGACTTATTCTGGGGTAGATCTGAGTTACTGACTAATTGTGGGGTGGGTCTGAGTTGGTGATTTATTGTGCGGGTTAATCTGAGTTACTGATTTATTATGGGGTAGATCTGAGTTACTTTCTGACTTACTGTGGGGGTAGATCTGAGTTACTTACCAACTTGTGGGATAGATCTGAGTTACTGACTTATTGTGGGGTAAATCTGAGTTACTAATTATGGGGGTATATATGAGTAACTGACTTAATTTTGGGGTAGAATTGAGTTACTTACTGACTTATTCTTGGGTTGATCCAAGTTACTGACTTATTGTGGGGTAAATCTGAGTTACTAACCTACTGTGGGATAGATCTGTTACTTAATGACTTATTGTGGAGTTCTGAGTTTCTGACTTTTTTTTAGTTATATCTGAGTTACTTACTGACTTATTGTAGGGTAGATCTGAGTTACTTACTGACTTATTGTGGGGTAGATCTGAGTTATGAACTTATTTTGAGTTATATCTGAGTTTTCTAGTTACTTATCTGAGTTACTTACTGACTTATTGTGGGGTAGATCTGAGTCACAGCCTGTGCCCTCTCTCCAGACATCCCACTCACTTTACTCAGCTGTTTACAGAACATGTCCTGAACACTCAGATTCTATAAATAAACATGTATCTCATAAATTCATGACAGAAAGAACTACAATCAATTTCCCACAAGTTCTTAAGAGTTTTCCTCTAAGTTGACTTTTTAAAATAAAATTTTTAATGGCAAACCAAAAGTTAGATTACAAATAAAAGCCCCCATCCTGCTAAATCTGAGATATACAGTAAGAGAAGCTTAAATCTATGCTGCCAAAAAAAAATCCTAATTAAGTATGTAAAATTTTCTCCTGAGTCTGATATCAGTTGAAATAAGCTCTTACCCTAGACTTGACGGATCCCTGGTTAAACTCCTGGAACTCCATCAGTCTCATTTCTCGGTCATTTATGTCGTTACTCCACTCCTGTTCTTTGATGTCATCAATACTGCAGGCATGGAGGGTCTTATTCTAAAGAAAAGATAACTCCTGTCATCTGTTCCAGATTTATCAATGTTCAGATGCCTGCATTTCCCTTTTTGTTATTGTACTATTAGTTTTACATCTTGTAAACAGGAGTGTGATGTCACATTGTAAAGTGGTTGCTTATAAAACATTTATATTTCTATAACAATTTCACTCAAATGCCTTACAGGATTATTCACTAATTGTACTTTGCTACAAAAGAAGAGACTTATGTCTTCTTGTAGTGTTTCAACTGATATTCATTGATCCCCTTATTTTGAGATAGGACAAAAGAATGTGGTTGTAGATTACAGTACCTACCTTGTAGTAGCTATGAAGGTAGCGTGTCATCACTGTTAGATAGGCGACAGACTCCTTTACATTTTTTGTTCTCTTCACTTGAAAACCATCAATGACCTGAAAGATAAAAGTGACCTTGACTTTAAACCTTGAATTAATTCAGCCATATCTGAGTTGTGAATTGTACACAGTTTCATCAGCCCCTCTGATTGGATAAAGGATTAATACAGCGAAACTCATTTAGTACAAACACGGTTAAAGCAAAGTTATCTTGGAACCCCAGTTTTATTAATTTTATGAATTCCTTATACAGATGTAACAAATTAAAGATATAATGAAGTGAGATCATGAGTCCCAGTGGCTTCCTTATAATCTAGTTTTACTGAATGTGAAAGGTCACCTTGAGATTGGTAATGGTCTGTCTGATGCGGTCCTCTGGGATACTGAAGTGCTGCAGAGACCCATAATCCTCCACCATAAAGATTGGCTTCTTAAGGCCGCAGTGCTTCAGGCGGAACTAAAACACAAAGTGTGTGGGTAATTTAAACAAGACTGCAAACTTAAATTTCATATTAATTTTTTAAGAAATGTGGTTCTCCTACATGAAGCAATGTAGAGTAACACTAGGTTATAACACACTTGCTTGAAAGGCAATCTCAGTTGAAAATTATTTTTTGAAAATCCTAAAGTGGACCTTTACAGTGTTTCTAATTGGATATTTCGTAAAGAATTATGTCAGAGGCAGCAAAATTTGACATCCCAGTGACTTTCTTATAACCAAGTTTTACTGTAATTTTAGTAAATTGTAAACAATTTTCCTTATTTTATCTCTACAAGAACCATTAGTTTAATATCTGACCCTGACCTTCTGATCTTGGAGTCGTCCGTCTGTACAGCTGTGTACAAGGTCATCCATCCTCTTCCTCTCTATAATGTAATCCAGCACCAGTTCTCTCCCCCTGGGCCGATCCATCCCTATAACAGATAAAACAAGCAAGGTCAATCATCATGTAATCTACAATGTAATCCAGCACCAGTTCTCTCCCCCTGGGCCGATCCATCCCTATAACAGATAAAACAAGCAAGGTCAATCATCTCTCAGAAATATTAACACTAAAATGTAAAGGAAGTCAACAGTTATGTCCCCTTACCAACTTCTGTCTGCTGAGTTTTCTCCCTTGCGACCCACAGTAGATCCCCCACATGGAGTTTTCTGAGGTCACAGGTCACACCGTTCTTAATTAGGTCAGGGAGTAAGGACTTCCCTCCTCCTTGTCTAAGTAAAAATTAATGTGTTTTATTGTACAGTAAAAAACAAAAGTATACAGGATGATACAAAGGCATTCCTCTGAAACATAAGACATATATTTGTTGTTTTCATCTCTTAGTTTAATATACAACCTATAATTCTTTTGATTACTGATAATAAATTTAGTTCAAGATGTGAAAAGAATACCTGCTTCCATAAAATTCAGCATTGTCGACACAAAGCATGATTTCAAACTGCCCGGGTAGGAACACAAAGTTAGGTACACAGTCAGTACTTGTGGACTCCTGAGAATTCTCACTCTCTGATGCCCTTTCATCACTAAGAGTTCTGACAGAGGAAATTCTAGCTGGTTTGGGGGAGAAGTTCTGGAATGACAGAAGCTGTGGCTCTACTGAGTGAGATGACATCACATCCTTAGGAAGCTTTGTTCTCTTCTTTGCTTCCTTTGTAGGTTTGACTGCAATTGATTTAAGAAATAAGATTAAGATGTAAAACTAATCTTCATAGACAAATTAAATATACACATACTCATCTGCATGAAAAAATTCACTTCTAAACATTTATATACAAGCATATGCATATTTTTTTCACTAAACCTAAATTTCATTTTGTGCTTATCTGATTTTTTTTTTTTAAAGTTACACTTACCTACATATTTTTATACAAATATCTTTTCATGGATACCCTAGGGACACAATATTTCACTTAAAATTGCTTACAGAAATGAGAAAATTAACTGGTCGAGATGCTGATTAATTTGAGATTGTTGAATTCTTTATTAACCTTTGACCTTACCTGTAGTCCCGTACCAAACATTCTAACAAATGCTCATGAGCAGCTCATGAGACTCACATGAGAATCAAGTAAGAATTGTATGCAAATTAGGTAGAATTGGATTTTGCTCATGTGCAGATTGTTAGTCTTTGTTAGGGAAGAAAATACTAACCAAAATGCACATGTGCAAAATTATGCTCACCTCAATGCTCATGAGCAAAAGTCTATTCAATTTGCTCACCTAAGAACAGCCTAATTCAAGATATAGCATTGGTAGTGATTTTTCTAAGTTCAGTTTTCTCACGTGAGCAAGAGGTGAGCAAGAGGTGAGGAAATTGGACATAGTCAAAATTCAGTATTACAAGAACCAAAACCAAAGAATTACAAGTCTCAATTCCTCACGTGAGGCTCACGTGAGGAAATACAATACTTTGACACTCTATGTGGTCCAAGCTTTCCCAAGCCTTGATTACTAATTGACCATGTGTTAAGTGTTAGCACTTCCTGATGATAGCATCACAAATGATTGGGGACCAGGCAGGAATATCTTAATTTCTTGAGCTTCTAATCTTCATATTCCAATCAATTTGAAAATGCTTTCCTCTACTTAAACAACCTCTTGTGTCCCCCACTGTTACTTAAGGTGGGGCAGTATCCAATGAGGAGAGCCAGTTAGGATTTGTGCGCCTTCTCAGACCAGTTCAAAATTTCAAGACAAAATGTTTGTGAGGGACATTGACAGTACATGTATATGGATTAATACAGTGAAGAACTGAAATGTATGCTATTTGGAAATACATGTCATCACCATATTGAACTAGATGCCAACCTTTAAAAGTTACAAATGTATCCAGTATGTCCATGGGATTAGAAAATGATTAAAGATCAATTAGTATTACCATGTGCAGCCACAATGAAGGAAACTTTCAAAGATTTGCTGATCTGAGAATAGGGTAAGTGCTTTGAAATTTAACATTTAATGCAGAATGTTATCAGGAATTAATGTTTGATTAAGAACTATAAATATGGTAAGAACAGATTAGGTCAGAGTGTTAACAATTGACAGCCTCAGTGTGGTATTCTATGAATCATGCACATGTATTTAAGGTAGGTCGCGGGTTTACTGCATAAAAATTCTTACGAGAAAACGTATCCTGAAAATTTGATATAATGTTCCTGAGAATTTACAGCGTATTATCTGCAATTTTTATAAAATTTGCCTACGTAGTTTTAATGCTATATTACTATAAACGCGGTATTGTTATTAGTACAATATTTACGCTTTACTATTGAAATATATGGAAAAAATGACGTTTTAAGCCAATTTTTTGAAAAAAGTTTCTTTTAAAAGGTTGGATAACTTTTTAAAGACGTAGACGAATTAGTCAGAAATTTCAAAATGTCAAGATGAGGTAAAATCGAAACTATTGATATAAAAAAATCAATATGTCTTCTCGCTAGATTTTTCGCTAAATTATTTCAAAGTTTCCTTTTATATTGCTGAAATGTTGCGTTTATGGCGTTATTTATGTCTGCAACGTCATTTGTTGAACGTAGTAACGTTTACAGTACGTATATAAATATTTTGACATTTGGAATGTGCAAGATCTAAAAGATGTCATATAGATGCAAAATTTGATTTTAATCATTTAACTTATTGCGAAAATATATTAGGTGACCAGCAACTTATTTCACTGGTATTGTGAAATTCATATTCTGATCACAGAGTCAGAATGAACGGTATAAACATTCATCGTGCATGACTGAGAATTAACATGCAGCAACAACACCATAAGTGATAAAATGTTAGTTCCTGTAATTTTAGGAAATCCGTGGTGAAAAGGATTTCAGACATAAGACATAAATTTAATCACTTTATTAAGAAAAAAATGTAAAGAAAAAACTTCCAGATACTGGGGAAATTAGCCGGGGGTGGGGGTGGGGGTGTTACTTTCAATTTTCTTTCTGTATTAGACGCAAGCTAGTATATGGCCCTAGCTCTTAAACATTTGTTAATTTCGAATTCTCTTAATCAAATTTCCATACACTAAATGTAAAATACATATACTTGCATTGAGCTTTTACACTTAGACTTGACCTTTGTTTTAAAACTTTTAATTATAGAAAAAAAGATACTTGTAAATTGTTTACAGTGTCATATTGGTCTTACAGTTCAGGTATTTGTATAAATTTGGATTTTTAATGCATTTCACATTTTATCAACCAGTAAAACAAGGCGACTAGTCTACATGAGATTTAAATACATAATAACCAAACAATACTTAATAATGATAATGATGATAAGAAAAAAGAGGAAAATACATGTATTAAATTTAATGCGTTTTTAGTGTTGAGGATTGATTCCATCCTCAAAATTATACGCATATTTTCGCATCGGCTTTGATTTGCAGTCATGATGCAATATATACGCATGTTTCCCCGAGTTGCAAATAACGTGCGCAAATACAACCCTTTAAGTTTTCCGCTAAACAATTTTATTTATGATAACTTTCTTTCTGCATACCATAACTTTCACGCTGACTTATTCTGATTGACTTTTAGCAGTTTAGTAATACTTATATTATAAATTATTCCTTTCATTTGGTATTGTATGTAATTTTTCCTAGGGCATTACATATAATCACATCATGTAGGGAAAGGGCGTAATAAGTTTTTAAAACTTTTGCCCAATCCCAATTGTAAAGTATAATCAATAAAATATGTTCAAATCAATCACATCAGAGTTCAGACTGAAATTTATTTATAAAACATGTACGAGGTTTACGTACAGTAGCAGGCACTTTGTTTTCATCTGCTTGATTCGTAGAGACTTGAAGTCATTTGCAGAGAATTAAACGGGAAACAACGTAACGTTGCTTTTGTGACGTAACTGACGTCATAATCAAATGTGCACAAAACAGCCGCTCGAATCGTCGAAATTGTGTACCAAAATTGATGACAAAAGCAAACCCGCGACCTACCTTAAGTTGCTAATTAAATATTGATGCATATGATTTTTCTTTTGACTGGCACTGGCTTTTCATGATCAAGAGAACCTTGAAAATATACTAACTTAATTGTTATAATTTCAAAATTTTTTGCAGATAATTTGAAAGTTGGAATCAATTAAGGATCTGCAGATTAATTACGGACCCTAGCTGAGCTTGCATACATGACAGAGTTCTGATGTTCGCACTCATTTAAAGGAAATGCAAGGAAAAAGAATGGAACAGGATGAATTGATTACGATTCTTAATTAATTATGACCACTGGATTATTATTTTAAACCCAAGTATGACTGCCACTCATAATTCAGCAAAGGCAGAAGCATCTACTTGCCTCCAAGACAACTTTTATCCATCTAGTACTAGTGCAGTTACAAATGTTGACTGGACATTTACATTTGATGTTCTATGTTAATCTACTGGAAATGAAACTATTGGATAATAATGCCTTGATTGATGTGTACTGTACATAATTATAATAATTTGATTTAAATTTTTATTTCAATTTAATTTCAACTTTTATTTTATTTTTAATTTTATTTCTACTGAAATGAAGTTCACCGAACATAATCATGCATGCATCTATTTACATGTACATGTTGCTCAAGAGTATTTAAAATGTAATTGATGAATCACATTTTAAAATTACATAATTATATAATGTTTGTAATCTGAATTTTGTTCTATTGTTGCTTGTTCCAAGTGAGCAATTGTTGCACATGAGTCTCATGAGCCTCATGAGACTCATGTGAGCAATATTCTAGGTGAGCAAAATGATTCCTCACGTGCAGAACCCTGCTCACGTGAGCATTTCACCTAATTTGCATGTTAAATTGCACATGAGACTCACATGAGCAACTCAGGTGAGGAAATCTGGTTAGTCCTCACGTGAGCTGCTCATGAGCAAATTGTGAGAATGGTTTGGTATGGGAGTAATTGCTGGGGTTTCCTCTAAATCGTCCAGTGAGGGCAGTCTCGGCGTATCCTGAGTAACAATACAATCCACAGCCTCCTCTTCATGGAGGTAAACATACACATTGTCACCTAGTGGCCTGAAAGTTAAGAAAATCAATATAACAAAGGAAATCAGTCAAAACAATTTTGTGATAAGTATATCAAATGTATCAATGGTTTCATCTGAATATAGATGTATTAATTATGAACAATACAAATGAATTTTCAGACCTAGTGGTGTCAAGTCGGTAACGTTTCCCGCTGGACAATAATTGCTGGTAGTCCACTTTAATCAGAAATCCCAGCCCAAAATCATCTGAAAAATAAATTTGTGGAACACCCAACTATCAGAAATGATTTTTGAAAACTTTACTTTGCTATATTAAGTCATGCACTTAAAAGATGCAGATGCACTGAATAAACATATGTGAAAATATAATTGAATGTATATCTGTCAGCTTTAAAGCAGGTCAAGACCAAAGAAAAAATACTTTACAAAATTTTATAATTTTTTTTTTTAAATTCAAAAGTGACTTTTCTTCCTTTCTCTTTGTCTATTAAATACTGTACGTGGTTGAGAAGGAAAAGATCTGTAGAACCTAAATTTCTCTATTGATACCAATTTTTGACCTCACCATCAATAAGAACTGCTGCTTTATCTTTCTTGTTCACCTCATCCCCTTCATTTGACACGTACTTGTATTGAAGTGATCTGGTAAATAAAATGCATTACATGTAAGAACTCATGATTCTTACTTCCTTTTTATTCAGTCATACTAACACCACATACTGTTTAAACAGGAAATTTTTTGCCCCAATATTATTTTCTTCCCTTTCGCTAAACCCTTATTTGGCCGGATTTAAAACGGGGCGAATTCACAGAATACAATATATTTCTTATCAAAGGACAAGATAGGGTAACAGCCGAAGTTTTGATATAAAAATCAGAACACTGATAGAACTATAATAGTTTGTAGTTAAGAAGTTAAAATGATGCTTACTTTAAGACAAGCACTAATTTTGATTCAAAGGCTACATGGAAGCCACTAGAGGGTTCAGAAATAGGACATTTTCCCGAATTTCCTCAATTCCAGTGGATTTTCATCATATTTTGGGTACATTTCTCTTCGGAAAACATAGAGCACACGCTTGCCTATCTGAGATTTTTACATATATACTGCATCTGATATCAGTGTGTAAAATATCTAAATTTGGTAGATAGGCAAGTGTGTGCTCTATGTTTACCGAAAGAAAATGTGCTGTAAAATTAGTGAAAATTTGAATAAAAATGAGAAATTTTGAAAATTGACCTATTTCCTTATCTCACTGTGACCTCTGTATATTCTTAATCTTAAAACCAGCACTCATTTTGTGGCAGGGGTGAAAGGAAGTTTTCATGGATAAACTGTTGGATCATTCTGAAAGACACCCAAAATTGGGGGCCAAATACTGGTCTTACCCTATCTTGTCCTTTATTGGATGGGCCAATTTAAAACGGGGCAAAATTGTCTGCAAGTGTGAAATGGTGACATTAACACAGGGTAAAATAACCCTGTATACAGTTAAGTTACCCATGGTCCTGATTCCTGTGTCCAGGGACGGTTACTGGTAATCTCTGACTCGAGGCTGGCCTGAGTGGGAGATCGTCAGCCTGAATTGCCTCTAGCCGGTGAGCCAGCTGACATCCCACCTCTGTCAGGCTGTACTTGGCTGGGCTGCTCTCCTTCACCACTAGGCCTTTCTTGATCAGAGTCCCCATAGAGGACCAGGATGTGTAACGACAACCTGGATCTGCCTGTAAACACAAGTACATGTACATATGTAGTTCTGTGTGAGGATATTGTCTTCAAATTTGACGCTATAATACAGACTATATGGAATTGACCTCACCAATGTAAAGGATTTGTCAACCAATGGCTGTGCTTTGTTATTTATAACTCACCAGTGTGAAGGATTTGTCAGCCAATGGCTGGGCTTTGTTATTTATAACTCACCAGAGTAAAGGATTTATCAGCCAATGGCTGGGCTTTGTTACAGAGTTCGGTCTTTGTCATAAATCCTCTTCCATCTGCAGACTAAAATTAGAACAAAGAAACTAGAAAAGATCTCGTTGCGAGCAACGAGAGGTCTTCCGTCCGCTTTAAGAAAAGAAACCCACGAAAATTCGAGCTGAAAAGAGATTCAAAATTTGGTCACAAGGAGGATTAAACCCATGTCGCCAAAGTGAATGCGCTTTTTTAAAAAATACTTTTTTATCCCCAACGCGCTAACCATTAAGCTATTGGGAGTACTGCTATAAATATACTTATGTATACTTTTGCAACAGTTCACCTGTCTAAGAATTATAAAAAAACATTCATAATTTCGTGCCAAACGCCACGAGTAAATATTCGCGCCTTTTCTTTGGACTGATCTATTAAATAGGTATGATAGCTTCAATTAAATTTCAAAAATAAAACATTCTTAGCGCCTTTATTTTATTTCGACGTTAAGAAAGTATATGTAACACATTATACACATTACATATCATATCTAGCCCAGTTACACTAAAGCAGTGAAACGGAAATTAAGTTTTAAGATTGACACTCAATTGCAACGTTCTACTGTAACGTGTCGGACCTGAGCGGTCAGTAGGTCCGTGCTCGGATTACCGAGTTTTACTGGGGATACGATTGAATGCAATATATACAGATAATAATATGACACCTGCCTGGTGTCTTAAAATCAAATGACCTACATGTAAGTGCTTTGTACAATTATATATCTTCAGTTAATACCGGCATCTGCCTGGTGCCATATGACAATTGCCTCACTATACAACTGACTATATGAGTCAACAGCCACCTGCCTGGTGCCTCTTGATTTAGCCTTTAACACCTGCCTGGTGTCTTACTGCTTACCAAGTTGCCATTATAACTCTAGCCAATATACTTGCACAGTATGATTTAACTTTGTAAGAGCTTCTCTGTCCTAATGACAAACCTATAGCTAAAGTCAAACAACGATATTTTTACAAGTCACTAACCACAGCAACTTTGCACAATCGGCCGATTTGATCGACACACTAATTGGTTTCTTTACCAACGTGTAGACACAAAGATATTTGACTGTACTGCCCCCTTGTACCTCAACTTAATCAATGATCATAAGTTATCAGATATCATCTTGATAAAATACAACAGACTGCCTTTCTTTTGGCAACACTATTATTATTTTCTAACAGAACATCATTTATCAATAATACTTGTATAATTCTTTTGTCAATTGACCAATTAATTACAATATTTACATTGATTAGCTATCAAATATAAACAAGTAATGGGACGTAACTCCTCCAACCATTTCACTACTACGTTAGAGTCGAAGTAGTTTTTTACATTTCATGTATCCTTATGTCAAAATCGTTTAATCAAACGCTCAGCTGCAACCCCTACTCGCGAAATGGCGGAGTTGACAGAGGCAGCCGCCATCTTGGGCCCGCTTCAGATTTTCAAATATTAATATCTAGAGTTCAGATTAACCAATAATCAAACAACTTAAATAGTAAGCATCAATAGAAAGATCTCTATTAATATTCCAAAAATAAATAAAAACTATTGGAAAACAAAAAAGTTAGAAAATACGCTTTTTTCAATTCGCATCTCCTAACGACAGGAAGTATTGACGACGAACGAAAGGTCACGTCATGGATAGTATCTATCCCGATCTATAATCCCTGAAAGTTTCACATTGATATCTTTTACCGTTCTTGAGATTAACCGAAGACAAAATGTCATTTTAAAATCAGGAAATGTCCCGTAACTTGGCACCAGATTGAAATTTTCAAAAAATCACTCGGATAGATCAAGTTCATGTTACGACACATCGTTTCTGAAAATTTCATGTAATTTCATCCAGAAGTCTTCGAGAAATCGCGTGCACAAAATTTTGGAAAAAAATAATAAAAAGAATAATAAGAAACAGTAGAATAACTATAAGGTCTTCCGTGAAGACGGAAGACCTTAATAATAATAAGAAACAGTAGAATAACTATAAGGTCTTCCGTGAAGACGGAAGACCTTAATAATAATAATAACTAGAAACGATCTCGTTGCGAGCAACGAAAGGTCTTCCGTCCGTTTCAGGAAAAAACCCTAAAATCGAGCTGAAAAAGTGATAAAAAAAATTGGGTCACAAAGGGGATTGAACCTAGGTCGCCAGGGTGTAAATCCAACGCACTTTTTTCCTCTTTATTCACAACCCGCTTAAATTACGCGTTTGAGTCCACTGCTCTTAATGTACTTGAATATACTTCTTCAACAATACACCTGTCTAAGTATCACGAAAGGTGTGCCACAATTTATAATTTCGCGCCAAACGCCACAAGTTAATCTGTGCGCCTTTTCTTTGGAATGTTTTATTAAATAGGTGTGATAGCTTCAATAGAATAAAGAAAACAGAACGTTCTTTCAGCCTAAATTTCAAGGTTTAGAAAATATATTTAACAGATTGTCCATATTCTATATCTTATATAGGTAAGTAACACAAAAGAAGTGAAATGGTAATCATTTTTAACTTTTTTTTAATTACCCGTTTATCCAAAGAGTGAACTTACCCGATCCTTTACACCTTCATGAAAAGGTAGAAATGGTTCGATGAAAGACATGTCTCGCCATTCGACGGTCAAGGAATCAGATTTCATTGATGTTCAATGTTCAACTTTAAATATCTTTGAGAAAAGAATGTTAATAAAAACTCCATTAGACGATCTTATTTTAAAAAAGGTTTTCTTATTTCTGTCTTTTTTTAGATTAATATGACTCAAGTATGCAAGGGAAACACAGTGGTTACGTTTGTGAAAAAACTAATAAATTTTGAATATTGCTCTAAATATAGTTATATGTATATGTATACAGTACACCTGCAACAGTACACCTGTCTAAGAATCATAAAGGGCGGGCCACTATTCATAAACAAAAAACGGAAAAAACACCACCAGTAAATATTCGTGCCTACCTTTTGGACTGATCTATCGAACAGGTGTGATAGCTTCAATGAAATTAAATATTAAATTAAACAACTTCTGATCGCCTTTATTTGTTTCGACGCTAAGAAAGTAAATTTAATACATTACACACACTTATCTACCACAATTACACTAAAGCAGTAAAACAGAAATTAAGTTTTAAGATTGTCAGTGAATTGCAGCGTTCTTGTCATGTATCATTTAGTCAAACGCTCAGCTGCCTCCATAAACCCCTACTCACGAAATGGCGGAGTTGACAGAGACAGCCGCCATCTTGGGTCCGCTTCAGATTTTCAAATATAAATATCTAGAGTTCTGATTAACCAATGTTCAAACAAATTATATAGTAAGCATTGATCAAAAGGTCTCTATTATCATTCCAAAAATGAATAAAAAATGTTGAAAAACAAAAAAGTTGAAAAATACGATTTTTTCAATTTGCTTCTCCTGACGACAGGAAGTATAGACGACGAACGAAATGTCACGTCCTGGATGATAGATATCACGATCTATTATCCCTGAAAGTTTCATGTTGATATCTTTTACCGTTTTTGAGTTTAATCGCGGACAAAATGTCATTTTAATTTCAGGAAATTGTCCGTAACTTGGCACCGGAAGTGAGTTTCAAAATTTTCTCTCGGATATATAAAATTCATGTTACGGCACATCTTTTCTGAAAATTTTACGTCATTCCATCCAGTAGTCTTCGAGAAATCGCGTGCACAAAATTAGAAAGTCAAAAAAATAATAAAAAGAATAATAAGAAACAGTAGAATCACTATAAGGTCTTCCGTGAAGACGGAAGACCTTAATTAAAACTAGAACTGTCCAAACGTGACAAAAGTAACATGACAAACGTGACAGAAGTAAGTTTTTCCATAATAAAGATACATGTATTTATCAAACACGAATTATGAAATTTTTTTTCCAGTGACCTTGAACTTCCCCAAATAACCTTGGGTCAAGGTCATGACACATCCTTGGGTCATGGGCAATCTTTGTGTGAAATGAGAACCTACCAAGTTTATCCATAAGAAAGATATGGACCGGACACGAATTATGAAATTTTTCTTTCAGCGACCTTGAACTTCTCCAAATGACCTTGGGTCAAGGTCATGACACACCCTTGGGTCATGGGCTATCTCTGTGTGAAATGAGATCCTACTAAGTTTATCCATAAGAAAGATATGGACTGGACACGAATAATGAAACTTTTCTTTCAGCAACCTTGAACTTCTCCAAATGACCTTGGGTCAAGGTCATGACACACCCTTGGGTCATGGGCAATCTCTGTGTGAAATAAAAACCTACCAAATTTATCCATAAGAAAGATTTGGACCGGACACAAATTATGAAACTTTTCTTTCAGCGACCTTGAACTTTTCCAAATGACCGTGGGTCAAGGTCATGACACACCCTTAGGTCATAAGCAATCTCTGGGTGAAATGAGAACCTACCAAGTTTATCTATAAAAGATATTTATGAAACATGATTTATGAAATTTTCTTCAAGTGACCTTGAACTTCCCCAAATGACCTGGGTCAAGGTCATGACACACTCTTGGGTCATGGTCAATTTTTGTGTGAAATGAGAACCTACCAAGTTTGTCCATAAGAAAGGTATAGACCGGAAACGAATTATGAAATTTTTCTTCCAGTGACCTTGAACTTCCCCAAATGACCTTGGGTCGAAGTCATGACACACCCTTAGGTCATGGGCAATCTTAGTGTGGAGTAGTAGATTCTAATGTCCCTCTGTAAGAAAGATATGGACCGGACACGATTGCACAGACAGATGGACGGACGGACAGACAGGCAGACGGACAAGGTGATTCCTATATACCCCCCCAAACTTCGTTTGCGGGGGGTATAAAAATATTAAACAATGTATAATGTTCATGTAAAAATATATGGAAAAAGGGATGCATCTCAAAACCCTCATAGAATATCTTCATTGTGTGTTGTATATGAGGCTACTAATATACTGATTCAGAACTGTACATGTATACCTGTCTGTCCCTGTACAGAGTGATCAGGAGGGCATAAGGACCGGACCTGTAGGCAGGAATGTACTCCCTCTCTCCACTCGCTAGTCCTGATCTCGGTCTTTTCTGAATTCAAAAAGATAATCTTAACCACATTAAATTCACAGATTTACCTGAGGGAGAGACTTGAGATTGTTAACCTTGGTGTAGAGAGGTCAACATTCCAATTAATCTACTTGACGTATTTAATGATGTACACACTTACACAGCTTATAATGCATTGTTTTCAATTAATGAGTATCTATACCATGAACTATCTGATTCAAACTGGGGACCAAGAAATTTTGGTACATGTATTTTTTTGAATTACCCATGCTTACTGCCTATGGGACAATTCATGTTTACCCTTGGGGGTTGAGGGACCTCTCCCTCCCCCTCACTATCCGAGTCAGACAGAGCATGTGCCGCTCCATGGGAGATAACTCTCTGTTGATTGACGGGCCCAGTGGCTGTAGAGGCTGCCTTGTTCTTCTGTTTTGGTTTCTGTTTGGCTGCTGGTTTGGTGTGTGTTTCCTCTTCAAACGTGGGTGGAACAATTGTGCCTAAAATGAAAGTAAAATTTTACGTACATGTAACTATATCTACAAAATCTGGTGTCAACAACAGCAATTATCTGTATTCAGCATTAATAAAATCTAGGGGGGATCTTCTGGGATTATATAAATGTACGATGTATACTTTATACCGGTAGTCTTTTTGGGGTACAAGTCAAAACGGCACCTGGTGAAAACGGCACTTAGGAAATATGCAAAACGGCACTTGAGAGTAGTCAAAACGGCACTTTAGAAAAGTTAGAACGGCACTTTTTTTATTTTGAGAATTTGATATTGTTTGTACAGAAAATGGATCTTTATTTTACATTTATAGTAATAAATGTGTATATTATTATTGATAAAAAGTTAAAAAAAATATTTTAGGAAAAAAATTAAACTGATTCATTTGAAAATTATTATACTTTTGTACAGGGGTTAGATTTTTAAAATGTATTTATATTTTAAATCATATATATTTATTTACTACAAAAGAGATCAAATCCCAATTATATTATTATGATCCTTTGAAATTAAAAAATTTATAGTGTTGCAAATATGTATACTACTCTGTTTTGGGGGTTGCCAGTCACAGTTGACTAATTAGAAGCCAGTTAGAGTATGTTTACTAAGAATACACTTGTAGGTTTAGGAAACAAAAGACCATTTCACACCTCCCCTTCAATAAGCTGTTGATCGTCAATTTGCAATCATATACAGCTACTATTGTGTATTTCTCGACAAAATGTCAAATGGATTGTACACAAGTTAGAAAAACTTAGATAGTCCTCTCGCAACTGTACATAAAATATGAGTAGCCATACAACATTTAATAATATAATAAACATGTACATACAAGAACAAAACATTTGTTTTTTTATAATGAAGATATACAATGTTGATATTGTTAAAATAATTTCTACAGAATTAGATAGAAATGTGAGATAAAGTGACTCTTACTGTAAATATTTTTTTTAAAAAATCATTTACACCATTTCTTTTTTCATATTATCAATGCTACACTACAAATATAGTTATTCTAAATCCCACATATTGTTGTGTTATAGCTTAAAAATACTACCTTTAAAAATAGATTGAAAATAAAGCAAAATTGAAGCCACAAAAAATTCTAAAGTCAATAAATTAAATTTTGACTTAAAAAGAACTTATGTGAAATATATATCATAACACTATTATATACTTTTTTCTCTAAGTGCCGTTTTAACCAAGTGCCGTTTTCACTAAGTGCCGTTTTAACCAAGTGCCATTTTGCATATTCCAGGTGCCGTTTTCACCAGGTGCCATTTTCACTAGGTGCCGTTCTAACCATAATTCGTCTTTTTGTAGTCCTTATATTATCTATACAAACACAAACATTTCATAACACAAGAGATGTTTGTAAAACACTTATGCCCCCATCCCCCCAAATTGGAATTTTTCTAAGTCCATAAGGGCATAACTCTGTCTAAAATGGTGCGATCCTATCCGAAACATTTCTTGACCTAGATATTCAGCTGAAAATTCTGTATACTAAATTTCATTTCAATATGTGCAACCTCTGCAAAGAAAATGAATGGAAACTGCAAATAAGTGGAATTTTTCTAAGTCCAAGGGGCATAACTTTAACAAAAAGGATGCGATCGTACCCAAAACATAACTTGACCTAGATATTTAGCTCATAAATCTGTATACTAAATATCACTTCAATTTGTGCAGCCCCTGCAAAGAAGATGAAAGGAAACTGCAAATAAATGAAATTTTTCTAAGTCCAAGGGGCATAACACTGTCAAAAATGGTGTGATCAGACCCAAAACAAAACTTGACTTAGATATTTACCTGATAAACCTGTATACCAAATTTCATTTCAGTATGTGCAACGGTTGTGAAGAAAATGAATGGAAACTAAATGGACCTAAAGACAGCAGCAAAGCAATATGCCCTCCCTTCTTCGAAGGGGGGCATAATAATCAGTAGATTTTAAGCTGTATTCTTTAGATGGTCAGCATGCATATAGTGGCATTGTCACAAGCACTGCTGTACATAATAAAGTTTGCAAAGGCTTGAGCCAGCTGTACATTTGACCACAAATAAATATAAGGAAAACCTATCACCAGATCATCTTTCAAGCAATTCAATTATCAGTCTTTGCACTTAACTTTTTTGATTATAAGCCCGTAGGGCAAGTGAAAGTATAAAATTTGGTAGCCCAAACGAAATTTTACTAGCCCTAATCAAGAGTAATAACAAATGACGTTTTAAAAAGTGCAGTCACATTTGCATTTCTGATTTAATTCTATTTGATCACTTAACGTTCAAAAACACTTTGAGTAATCATCATGATCATGGTAATTGTTTTAAACACTTTGCTGCATCAGTCAACAGTGTGACATGCACAGTTCTTTAAATAAATTAAAAATACTTACTGTAAGATTATGAAAATTGAACTATGTATCTAGGTTTTAGAACAGTTGATATCATATATTTATCACTCTTTTATTTATTTATAAGAAAATAAGGGGTATTTTGGTGATTCCTAGGGGCATTTCGGTGATTCGTAGTACCGGTGTTTTAAGTCCTTGGTCAGATTTCCAGCCAATTTCGCTGACGCTTTTTGTTCTACGAACTTTATTTTGTGAAACAACTTTTATTTCTTCTGAAAGAGCCCTCCTGTTCGTGAATCACTGACCTGGGATAGCCCCTTCTTGATATTTTATAAAAGGAATCATAGTTAAAATTTGCCACCGGAAATTTACTAACTAGCCCATCGGGCATGCGCGTTAATAATTTTTGGTAGCCTGATCCCGATTTTACTAGCCTCGGTCATTTGGCTACCGCTTAATTTCGAAGACTGAATTATATTCTTAAATACAGCAGAAGGAAACCAAGAAGTAGATTGCATTTGTGTTCTGAAAATGTTTTTTGTTTTTTAGGACACAAGTTTGAATTTACCATGTTCTTGTATATGTTTTTGAAGCCGATCATCCAGCATTTTGCAAGTTTTGTCACCTATGAAAATAAAACATATACATATCAGGAAACATAACTTGGTTATAGGAAAATTATGCAACTTATTTCAATTAGGAAATGTAAAACAAAAATCTTCATAAGAAAAAAAAATAGTTTTACCAAAATTTTCCAAGATTTTGCAGTCCCTCCCCGATGTTAAAACAAGTAAATATCTTTGTAGTGACTTTAATGCCTAAAATATCAAAGATTCTGATGAGTGTTACTTAATAATTTTACTGTATACATGCAACTATTTTAACTCTAAAAACATTACAATTTTAAATTTAAGTATTTAATTAATGTAAATTTCTGGGCCTGGATTTTTATGTCAGTCATAAATTAGCTCAAAAGGAGTAGCAGCATGCTAGAGTTAATAATATGTAGTGATTCAGTGGACCCAGCTTCAAATTCAGTTTTATCAAATTGGCTGTTCTAGTTTAGTATCTCATTAATTCTTATTGCTTGACAGTTACCCTCAATAAACAAATATGTTTATAGTGGGTTCCCAACAATACCCTCTATAAAAGACAACTTAATTTATACCTTGGCATAAACAAACTGTGTTTTTATGCCCTTCTCTGCTGCATCCTCTTTCCATTCTTTGAGCCACATTTCAAACAATGGATTCGGCGATTTTGTCTTTTTCTTCTTTCTTTTTCCGTACAGAGCCTGACTTTCCATCTATTTAAGAATACGTATGATATATAATCAATTGTAATATCAGAATGTTTATCGTGGATACAATGTGCAAACATTTAGGATGCATTGAAAATGTAAGTTATAAATGCGTCAATTTAACGTGAAATGCCAGTCAAGTACATTTTGCAGAAGTTGAAATGATTGTAAAAATTTTAAATATACTAAATGAATTAATTAAATTATCTTTTCTTGAAACATCATCTAAGAAAACCTCGTTAATTCTGACTTACGTCGTTACGACGCCGATCTTGAAAATATATATGTATATGAAATATGGCGCCAATTGTATTCTTGACAATCCTGTCACCGAATGATTCTGTTAACATTAAAATATTTAGAAAATATTAAAAAATGGATTATATTTTACTGAAAATTTAATGATATATTACCTTTGCTCATAATAGTCTCTAGATTATGTACAATCTGAATTTTTGTGTGTCAATCATGGTCGAGTTACTTAATTCATTTTCGAAGAGCATTTCCGGTGAAATTGTTTTCATTCGCAACAAATTTACCAAGTTTTTAGTCAAAATCGATGGTTTAAACCCCAGTCACATTTCCAAAAACGACCACGGCCGACGGATTTTGATGCAGAAATGGGATTCTTCGGGTGACAGTCGTCAGTTCTTCGGCCGTTGTCTTGACCGATTTTGACCTCTTTTTTTGTCGGCCGACCAATTTTGTGTCCATCGGTCCAAGTTATAATTTTTTAATTTTACGGTGGCTCGATTCTTCCATTTTGTGTGTTTCGATCATAGTCCGACCATCGGCGGTCAGTTTATTAAGTCGAAAGTCGTAATCGTTGGAAAAGGGTGTTCAAAATTTGCTCTTACGCTTAAAATCGAACTGTAGCTCAGAGCTCGATGATCGGACGACGATTGGCCGACTTGTGAATATTTAACCCAGTAAGGATACATAACACAAATAGAATTTTGATGCATGGATTGATATAAATTTTTTGAACGGTAATGACATGAATAATTAATCCGTAATATATAAAGAAATCTTAAGTATCCTTTGCTGCTAAGATATGTACCATTTGTCATTTTTATGCAATTCCATACAAAATTTTGCAAGCATTTCCAACATTGAGTCACAATTTTATAAGATTCTGCCACTTTGCCTTGCAAACATTACTCACGTCACCTATTTGAATATAGATCTATGAAAAAATATTTCTGAATTCTAAAGAAAAAAGATTTTTTTGTGTTATTTATTCAAGTCATCGGTGTCCCTAGGAATTAATGTGACTGCTCCGTGTCGCCCGATGAAGAATCGGCCGACCATGTTCTTTCAGCCGACAAGACCAGAAAAATTTAGTCGCCCGACCATCGGCTTAAATGTGACCTAGGCATTACCAGATGACTAGCAGATGTAAATAACGAACAAAAACCCCGTTTGAAGAGAAGATAATAAAACATTTGCAATGATGTCAAGCGAAGACAAAGATCAAATGGAAAATGACTCGATAGGGTAATTTTATTTTTTAATTTTACACTGCTCTCTGCCATTTTGTGTGTTTTACATTGCACTCTGCTACTTTATGTAGGAAAGCTAATTTAAAAAGGACAAATGATCTTAAGTTAATGAATTCAACTTAATATTCTTTATTTTGATGGATTATCATGGACAAGTTTATGACAAGGTTTTAATTTTACTGTGTGACTGTTGGGCAAGCACTAGTTAGAATAATCTAACTGTGTCTCGGTACAAGCCTTCACCTCAGTTAGAATACGTCCCATGTACTTGTAACGTAGCAGATCGGAGCAGATCCGCTCCGAAACAATTTTGAAGAATATAAAATGATTTGCACTGGGAATAACTATCAAAATAATCAAAACAAACCTTTTTGAGATTGCTTAAGCCTTTTATCCTAAAAAATAATCCATAAAAATACGAAAATCCAATAAATTTTCTCGTTTTTCTCTCAATATTCAAACCTGCGATGTTTACATTCGGAACTCTCTAGATTGTTCTTAGTAAATGCACTATGCGGGTTATTCTTTTTGCTACATTACGAATATATGGAACAAATTCTATCGTTAAACCGGGTCTGTAGGATGATATCATTTTAACGATAGAACATTCTATCTAGGCAAGCTGAAGCACAGTCTATGGCACTCCAAATTCACAAAAATGAACTAAACATAATTTCATAGTTGATAAACTAAGCTTATAGACTGTAAAGTATATTAAACTAGCCGTTAAATATAGTTAACAATTCATGAATTATAGTTTTCATCTGTAAAACTATAATTAACAGTCATTAACTATAGTTTACGAATGTTAAGCTAAGTTTGTCTGTCTGTTATAAAGCGTTAACAATAGATTTTGTTAATAAACATAGATTCACATCTGTAAACTATAGTTTACATTTGTAAACTAAAGTTAAGAGTTGTTGATCATAGTTTAAAATAGCATGAAACTATATTTATCAGATCCTTACTTATAGTTTACAGTTTGTAAACTATAGTTAACAAATTGTTAGCTGCAGATCTGTAGCTATCCGAAAAATATATATTGATAGCAAAGTCTATGTGCCACTCCAAATTCACAAAAATGTATTATTTATTGCGCACGAAAAAGTGCGCTCAGTTTTCGATTTATTTCTCCTTGTTCCTAAACTGTAATATCAAAATATTACTTACCGTGTTTTCCTAACATATTCTTTGACTCTTTCCACTACAAAACTTTTGTCATAATTGTTTTTAATAGTCCTCCTGACCCTGATATTGTAATCATCGAACATTTCGATTATGTAAACTGCTATTTTGGTTTCAAAGATAATTCGGTCCAATATGCTTCGTTTGTATGTCAACTACGAATGTACTTGATAGAGGAGAGAGAAACTTTTTAAATTCTTCCCTCTTTTGTTCTTGAGGTAAGAATTTGGAAGAAATAATCAAGAACCTAGCGCACTTTTTTGTTCGCAATAAATATACAGTTTTTTCAATGGTTGGCACGGTAGCTATCCGGTCTACATTGTATCAATTTATATTTTTTCGGATAGCTACAGATCTGCAGCTAACAAATTTTGAAACTGTAATTATCAGATAATTTATGTTTTGTAATTGCAAATGATTGTTTCGGTGTTAAATATAATTTATGGTTGTGAATAAATATCTTTTAATTTGGTATTTGCAACCGTTAATGCTGATTTATTGGTCGCAAATTGAGTGTTTTCGGCCACCCGTAAGCTGAGTCGGTAAAACGGATGTTTGTGACCGTTAAATCAGCATTAACAGTCGCAAATACCAAATTAGAAGATTAGTTATTCCCATTCTAATGCAATCCATGCATTTTGTTTGTTGTTTACGTCTTATTTTGATGAATTTTGTTACATGAAATAGGTCATGGAGCATTGTGTTTTTGCATCGCTCTTTTATGACGTCACAATGAAAAAGCTTTCACGCTCGTTAATGCTCGTTTTACTGCTTCAAACATCAGTGCATTAGCCAATGAAAAAGAGTTTTACAAAACGATTGCATTAGAATATCGCGTTAACTATAGTTTACAGATGTAAAATATAGATTAATATTGTTAATTATAATATATAATAATATTGTTCTTAAACTATAGTTTTCAACTGATAATCTTAATTTATCAACTATGAAACTATGTTAAGCTCATCTTGAATTTGGCATGCCATAGCAGTCCTATACAAAGCTTACAGTTAAATCTTCGATCTGCCTCTTTAATCGTCAAACTGCACAAGACACATCAACATAGTATGTCTTATGCATTGTTGCAGTGTTGCAAATTGGATCATATTTGCCACAAAAGAATTTGAAGATTATAAAGGGAGTTGCATTGTAAATAAGTTCCAAATTACTGACTACCAAATCAATCATAACAAACCTTGATGAGATTATATGTGCCAAAATTAATCCATATAAAGACAAAAATTCAGTTAAAGGACAAGATAGGGTAATAGCCGAATTTTTGGTATAAAAATCAGAACACTGATAAAACTGTGATAGTTTGTAGTTAAGAAGTTGAAATGATGCTTACTTTAAGACAAGCACTAATTTTGATTCAAAGGCTACATGGAAGCAGGGTTCAGTAAATAACTGGTGGATTTTCCAAATCGGAAAACTGACACACCAAATTTTTACACATATACTGCATCTGATATCAGTTTATAAAATATATAATTTTGGTAGATAGGCACGCGTGTGCTCTATGTTTTCCGAAAGAAAATGTGCTGTAAAATTAGTGAAAATTTGCATAAAAATGAGAAATTTCGAAAATTGACCTATTTCCTGACCTGCGACCTCTGTATATTCTTAATCTTAAAACCAGTACTCATTTTGTGGCAGGGGTGAAAACAGGTTTTCATGGATAAAAATTCTGAAAGTTAAATTTCTCAGCATTTGTTCTCCTTTCATATTTCCATACCATGTTGATCGACATTCATCTTTCTCTGCATTGTTCATAGTAATTGTATTAGGTTGAGTTATCACCTGTATTTAATTTGCTATGCATGTACGTTGTCAAAATACTGGTAAACATGGAGATACAAAATTATTATAGCAATTCATATTGTTTCTAAAATTTAAGTGTAAATTCCATAGAATAATACAGACAGTAAACTTTGTTATCACGATATCTGATTTTTGTAGTACGATGGGAAATGATAAATGGCTGGATGCCTATAAGGACCCAGTGGCCTCTCTCTACACATTGACCCAGTGTATCTGTCTGTCCGACGTCCAAGCCGACGGTGACTGGAAACTTATCATAGCGGATCTAGGGACGGGAACGTACAACATGAAGCTCAAAGTCTACAAAGGTAGGGAAGGAATATCACTGGTGCTGGAGATGCGGTTGTTCTTTTTTTTTAGTTTGCAAACAATTGTTAAAAACTTCAAACATTAACCTATACTTAATTTCCTTTTGTATGTTTCAGGGACAAATTTAATGAGTGAGCACACGATAATTGACTTACCTACAGGGGTTGTGACATTCTACATGGACACCCATGAACCCCGGACACCAGGTATAGAATATTTCCACTAGAAATGAGAACTAAAAAGCAGTTATTTATGCTCAGTATCCCTAGGTTTTAACAATATTGATATATCAACCCCAAAGTTCATTTGAATTTGTAAGACATTATAACTTTTATGGTATCAGTTGGATTAAACTAATTATATGCGATTATAATAGATATCACTTAATAAGTGATAATACTATTTGGAATGTTTGTGAAAGGTGTAGTACCATAACAGCTTTTTTTTTTACATTTCACAATGTTTTGCAACAATGTACATTTTTGATAATTCATATGAAACTAATGATCTTTTAAGTAAAAAATTAATTACTGTAATATTTCAGCCATAGCTGTAGCCTCAGGTCCGTACATTTATGTATACAAGAATTTGAGGCCGTATTTCAAGTTCACCCTGCCAACACTAGAGGTTAACCCTGTAGAGGCCGATCTCTGGAATCAGGTCAAAGAGGTAATAACTTATAAGACAAATGTGTCAGAATTTTTGTGGCTTGAAGCTTTTTTAAACCAGTTAAAATATCACATATCAAATGTTGCCGGAAAAAATAAAAAACAATGTAAATTAATAGATGTTAAGTTATAGAAAAACGTATTGAATGTTTCAGGAAAAGATAAATATTTTTGTGCTAAGGGAAATGCTGGAGGGAATGAGGTAAGAGAGTCCTGCTTATTACTAGTGAAGATGGTATGACTGTAGGTAGGCTATGAGAGTAAAGTTGCACTCCATCATACCAGATGTCTATTCAATAGAGTGTTAACATTGTAATGGAAAAGCAGATCTATGGTATATTATTTATTTAAAATTTGTCACTTGTTAAAGTCACATCTCTATATATTAGTTGTATTCATATAGGGCTGAAGGCATTGTGTTAACTGTGAGGTCACTGAGATTTCTACAACTACAGGATGTTGGAGATTGTGAAACTTTTGCCAACATGTACAAACACACACCACTAAAGAGACAGGTAAACCTAGTACAAACTCACGAGTTATGTCCAAGACACGATGTAGATACGATATCGACACATTACTTTCTATTAGTTTCTATTATATTTCTCTATTCTCGTGTGTTTATAACAATACTTCCTGTTTTAAGACTTCCTGAATCATGATTGCTCCAAGCATTGTGGTTTTCATCCCTAATATGCTGTTTTTAACAACTGTTACTTAAAACTTTCAAACACAATCTTAAAGAGACAGTGTCAATATCGTCGATATCGACGACACGCTTCGATAAAGAGATCACGGTAAACCATTGGTAAATACACACCCTGTTACATTGAATGTGGTTATTTTTAATCACACAATTTTACGAAGATTTTACCTGCACACGATATCGACGATACGTATCGATATCGAACACACACTGTTAAAAGCATATTATTTTACCAATCACACACCTTTATACAAAAACTTTATTTTTACAACACTTCTGTGTTTATTAAGTTAACCTTACTGTCGATATCGTCGATATCGACGATTTCATATCGATATCGAATCATAATTATCAAAACATTTTCAAGACACACACCACTAAAGAACATCTTACTCTCAATCACACATCTAAAACAATAACCTCAAAAACACACATCATAAATTTTCATATTCACGCCAATAATGAATCAATTTTGACTTCAATTGTGACTTTGTAAAATTATGTTATACCTCAATGTAAATATAAATTATGCAAATAAGATCGATATTGATACGATATCGTCATGATATTGTCGATATCACACATCTAAAGAGACGTAAAATAGAGTACAAACACACAATATGGCACCAGGTATTCCAATTAACAATTCTTATCACGATCGATATCGATACGATATCGACATAAAATTGTGGATATCGTCGATATCGACATCAAAGTTGTTCTTGGACATGTATGAAACTCACACCTCTAAAGAGACAGGTAAACCTAGTACAAACACACCACTAAAGAGACAGGTAAACCTAGTACAAACACACCACTAAAGAGACAGGTAAACCTAGTACAAACACACCACTAAAGAGACAGGTAAATGTAGTACCACACCAGTAAAGAGACAGGTAAACCTAGTACAAACACACCAGTAAAGAGACAGGTAAACCTAGTACAAACACACCAGAAAAGAGACAGGTAAACCTAGTGCAAACACACACCACTAAAGAGACAGGTAAACCTAGTACAAACACACATCACTAAAGAGACAGGAAACCTAGTACAAACACACTCCACTAAAGAGACAGGCAAACCTAGTACAAACACACACCACTAAAGAGACAGATAAACCTAGTACAAAAACACACCTCTAAAAGGACAGGTAAACCTAGTACAAACACACACCACTAAAGAGACAGGTACACACCACTAAAGAGACAGGTAAACCTAGTACAAACACACACCACTAAAGAGACAGTTAAATCTATTACAAACACACACCACTAAAGAGACAGGTAAAACAAGAACAAACACACACCACTAAAGAGACTGATAAACCTAGTACAAACACACACCACTAAAGAGACAGGTAAACCTAGTACAAACACACACCACTAAAGAGACAGGTAAAACTAGTACAAACACACACCACTAAAGAGACAGGTAAAACTAGTACAAACACACACCACTTAACAGACAGGTAAAACTAGTACAAACACACACCACTTAACAGACAGGTAAAACTAGTACAAACACACACCACTAAAGAGACAGGTAATTCTAGTACAAACACACACCACTAAAGAGACAGGTATTTCTAGTACAAACACACCATTAAAATGAAGTTCCATTTAACGTAGAACCTACGTCGTATGACATCATAACTAGTGAATGTGTTCAGCCTGTGCTAGATCCATTATGACGTCATAATTAATTCAATGTCATTTCCCGTACTTTTCAGCTTTATTATAGAAATGGTAGGAAAAACTGCATTTTGAAATTCACAGAATTCAATTTAAAATCATGCTGAAATAATCTTAATATTCGATTTGTATAAATATTTTTAATATAATTCTTAATGACAATATATCTCTTGAATTAGAGAAACCTGTAGGCACCTTTCATTTAATAGATCTTGACCTTAATTAAGTTGACAAATCCAAGACTATATTGTGTGATGAAATTGCCATGTATACAACAAACTGTAATACCGGTAATATAAATGGTATGTAACTATTTTGAAGGAATGCAAAAAAAATCTTTTCAAAAAATCATCAGTTGCCAACCACCGGTAAATAGTGTAATATCTTGATGAAATGTGTCTAAGTCAAAGATGTACGTGTTGTAGATTGTGTGTACATTTTGTGATATCTATCATGAAATGATGTGCTTTCCTTTTCATAATTATTTGTTACTTATTCATATTCTTGGAGTTTTATTACAATTTCTCTATTAAATATGATCTTTTAAATTAAAAGTACAATTTTTATAAACATTTTGAAGCTGAAAGTAGCCCCGAACAGTCATTTAATAATAAAATCCGTTTAAGTGCAAAAAGGTCAAGAATATTAGTATCGGTAAATAAGCTATCTCTCATTCGTTAGAGGGGAAAGGTATATATTTTAAGCACTTTTTGTAATCATTTGGGTATGTTCTTTATTATATTAAAGATTGAAAACATTGTGACAAAGACTTCTGATATATATTTACAAATGTAGGTCCGAAAATTGACTGAAAATAAATTGAGTTCATTTGCCTATAAGTTTTGAAAATGTGGACTTATCTTTTAAGTCAATTGAATAAAAAAGAATTTATTCTCGGGAAATATTGTTTAATACTGTTCAGTTAATAAACAATAATATCAACGATGTTTAAAGAAGCAATTCTGGGATTTTGTTGTCTTCTTTGCATGACAAGTACCCCTAAAATGACTGAAATTGTGAAGTCGAAGTATGTATTTATCATTCCATGTTTAACTGGCTGCACCACATTTAATAACAAGGAAACATGTCATGTGCTTTTAACTGATTGATAAGCAAGTGCTAATTTATCATTAGGAAAAGTTTGAAAATCTTGTGACAAAGACTTCTCCGACATAGGTTCTACCTTAAAAAAATAATTTTGCAGAACTTCATAGAGAAAATAACCAAACATATAAATAACTAAATAACCAAACATATAAATAACTTAACATGTTTACAGTGCAATATTACATTTTTTTTTCTTTATTCATCAAGACAGGAGGTTAAATGATTAAAGAACAAAATTTTCATGTTTATCACAGAACTTTTTTTTATCATCATGCATTTCTTTTTTCACAATTTGTACACTATTGTAGACTGTGATAACTTGTTTAAGTACTATGAAGAAGTCTATGGCTGAGGAAGACGCCATCAGCTGTCTGGTCCTGGGGACAGAGAGTAAATCCGTGTATGTCCTTGACCCCGAGGCCTTCACTGTACTCACCACAGTAAGTCAAAATTACAACAGAAAACTTACAAAGTACAGATAATACAATGTGGCACCAATATTGTTATCCAAAGTACAACATTTACTTTTCTAAAAATAATACAGCAAAACCTCATTCTTTGATGTTCGAGATACCAAAGTTAGACTGAAATTTAAAAGTTTTAATTAAGAATATATAAATGATTTTTTTCTGACAGAGATATATTGAATCATACAGACTTGCAGTTCTACACTGTATCTGTAATTGTGTTACAGCTAGATTTGCCGGCGGTACCTGTGTTTCTCAGTGTGACTGGTCTTTATGACGTGGAGTATAGGATCGTGGTAGCTTGTCGTAATGGATGTATATACACATTAAAAAGGTCAGTGCATCACAATTAAACTTTTATAAATCTAATAGATGTACAGAATTTATCTGGTTAATGTCAAATTAAGCTTGTCTCAAAATCAAAATTAAATTTTCAGAGGTACAACTGACCCGACAAAGAACTGTATTGAGTTGAATTCTCAGCCTGTAGGTCTGGAGAGAATCAACAAAACAATTTATGTCGGAACGATGGATGAATCTCTTCACTGCTACACATCTAAGGTAAAAGCACTATATACTGTTGGAAATTGTTATATTCAGCTCAGTGAGATTGAGAGAAAAACTTCAAGATAGCTGAGAATTCAAGATATTTAGGTTAAAATACTTTTAAAAAAGAATAAGCTAAGGGGTTAGGACTTCAAAATCAAGCTTACAAAAAAAAAAACTTAAAGAGATATTCAAGGTTTTGAGATATATTTGAAAATACATTGTATAAACTGCAACAATGAAATTGTTTATCTCTTCTTAGAATGACCCTTTTAAAATTCTATATTTAGGGTAAGAAGTTGTGGACGGTAAAGTTACCGGGGAGTATGACGACTATGGAGGTGATAGACTACAAGAGTAAGGGCTTTAAGGCGGTGATAGTGGCCCTCAATAACTGTCAGGTCCACATCTACAAGGAGAAGTACCTCGTCAATGTCATCAAGACGGACGACGTCGTCACCGGGCTCAAGTTTGGACAGTTTGGGCGGGAGGAGGGAACTCTCATAATGACCCTGAAAGGTTGGTAGCTATTGAGTATGGAAGCTGTGTTTGTAATACTGTAGATTCCTAAATATATGCCTGGAATTAATTATTGCGTTATTTCGCAAGAAGCACTACACGCCAAATTAAATTACTCGTCTTTATTTTTATGGTGCTGAAATCTATGTAAAATCTCTTAATCATGCAAACGTACATTCACAAATTTTTATTCTCGCGATTTGACATTGAAGAGCCCATTCACGATAATAACTTTTCACGAAAAATAAGGAATCTACAGTAGCAAGTGCAATAAATTGGGCAAAAAGCTACTTGACATTCAAGTTTTCATGGCAATAACAGAAAAATTTCACATTGAAAAAAAATAATTCAACATGCTTTTTATCAAAATTAATTTAGAGTAAATCAAATTATTAAAAATGCCCTTAAATGTTAGACTCAATTATGAAAATGTAACTAACCTAGTCTAAATTGGGCTATAGATTGAAGTTAAAATGTACAGGTTTTTGATGATATCAAGTAATAAATACAACTGCATGATCCTTAAAGTACACCATTTAACGTTACTTTTATATTAATAGAATATAGAATTTTTCTTTAAATTGGGCTTCATGCTAGCTTTGTTGAATGTTAACTCTCCTTGAAAGACTTTGAAATTTTTTTTTTTTTCTGTTAGTAAAATTATATCATGATTTTCTTGTGCAAGACTCTGTTCCTTTTCCTCTATAGGTGGAGGACTGATGATTAAGATCCTGAAGAGAAATGCCACGTTTGAGGAGAAGGATTTGTCTGGGGGTCCCCCCGCCGCTCAGAACTCTCGCCTCAACGTCCCAAAGAAAACCAAGCTGTTTGTGGACCAGACCATGAGGGAAAGAGAGAGCGCAGTCAGTATGTATCACTCAGAAAAAAAGGCTATTATATTTCACAAGTTTATTCCTTATGACAAGACTTTATGGTACCAACATTTTTGACCTCATGACCTTGGAGTTTGATCTACTGTTATAAAACTTAAGCCTTGACTACAACTTAACAACAGTTAGTGCTAACATTTTCATTTCATCATAGCAAGACCTTTATTTGAGTACATTTATGACCTCTTGATATTGACCTTAGACGTATTTAAAAAAAATGGGAACTTTCTTTGGGTACCAGTATTTTTGACCCCATATTCCTGGAGTTTGACATACTTTTCATAAAGCTGACATATAGGGCATAAGTGTTACAAAAACCCTTCAAAGTTTTGCTTCCTGTCATCAGTGAAGATACTTCACATTTTTTGCCAAGTGTTTCACATGTGCAAAAGATATTGAGATTGCAAGTAACAGAAAGTCTTCTTGCACTAAAAACACATTAAGCCTCTTTCCTCTGCAATAAAATGACCAATTTTACAAATACTCTAGATGTACTTTTTTCCATGGGGTCATAATTTTGTCGAATCTCATTTTCTGTTTAATCCGCGGTTGAAAATTACACGGATTTCTCAGACTGTCACTATGTTCCTTGCATTTATATTAAGTAAGCTTGGACAAATTTCCACGAAAAATTTGTGACCGCGTACAAAGCGTAAATTAATACCAAGTGGAAAAAAGAGCTTCTACAGTAATACCAGTATGTATTGAAAACGGGGAAAAAAACTTTTTGTTGTATTATCTCTCACTAAATTGATTTTATCATCCTCAAAGATTTTGCCTTGATCTTCCTTGGCCTCAAATTTAAAGCATTTGTTTATTTAGGATTACATGTTGGAATACAATAAGGGGGTCAGAAGGGCTTGAAAACTTAGCTACTATATGTTTGTGCCTCCTTAAAAATGATGATCTTTTTTTAGCTCACCTGAGCCGAAGGCTCAAGTGAGCTTTTCTGATCACATTTTGTCCGGTGTCCGTCTGTCCGTCTGTCTGTCCGTCTGTCCGTCTGTCTGTCTGTCTGTAAACTTTTCACATTTTCGACTTCTTCTCAAGAACCACTGGGCCAATTTCAACCAAACTTGCCACAAAGCATCCTTGGGTGAAGGGGATTCAAGTTTGTTCAAATGAAGGGCCACGCCCTCATTCAAGGGGAGATAATTGGCAATTAATGAAAATTTGGTGGCATGTTTTAAAAATCTTCTTCTCAAGAACCACTGTGCCAGGAAAGATGAAACTTATGGGGAATCATCCTCAGGTAGTGTAGATTCAAGTTTGTTCAAATCATGACCCCCAGGGGTAGGGCGGGGCCAAAATGGCCGACCAAAGTTTTGCATAGAAATATATAGGAAAATTCTTTAAAAATCTTCTTCTCAAGAATGACCAAGCCATAATTCATCATATTTATATGGAAGCATCCTCAGGTAGTGTAGATTCAAGTTTGTTCAAATCATGACCCCCAGGGGTAGGGCGGGGCCAAAATGGCCGACCAAAGTTTTACATAGAAATATATAGGAAAATTCTTTAAAAATCTTCTTCTCAAGAATGACCAAGCCATAATTCATCATATTAATATGGAAGCATCCTCAGGTAGTGTAGATTCAAGTTTGTCCAAATCATGACCCACCGGAGGTAGGGCGGGGCCAAAATGGCCGACCAAAGTTTTACATAGAAATATATAGGAAAATTCTTTAAAAATCTTCTTCTCAAGAATGACAAAGCCATAATTCATCATATTTATATGGAAGCATCCTCAGGTAGTGTAGATTCAAGTTTGTTCAAATCATGACCCCCGGGGGTAGGGCGGGGCCAAAATGGCCGACCAAAGTTTTGCATAGAAATATATAGGAAAATTCTTTAAAAATCTTCTTCTCAAGAATGACAAAGCCATAATTCATCATATTTATATGGAAGCATCCTCAGGTAGTGTAGATTCAAGTTTGTACAAATCATGAACTCCGGGGGTAGGGCGGGGCCAAAATGGCCAACCAAAGTTTTACATACAAATATATATGAAAATTCTTTAAAAATCTTCTTCTCAAGAATAACCAAGCCATAATTCATCATATTTATATGGAAGCATTCTCAGGTAGTGTAGATTCAAGTTTGTTCAAATCATGACCCCTGGGGGTAGGGCGGGGCCAAAATGGCCGACCAAAGTTTTACATACAAATATATAGGAAAATTCTTTAAAAATCTTCTACTCAAGAATAACCAAGCCATAATTCAACATATTTATATGGAAGCATCTTCAGGTAGTGTAGATTCAAGTTTGTTCAAATCATGACCCCCAGGGGTAGGGCGGGGCCAACATGGCCGACCAAAGTTTTGCATAGAAATATATAGGAAAATTCTTGAAAAATCTTCTTCTCAAGAATGACAAAGCCATAATTCATCATATTTATATGGAAACATGCTCAGGTAGTGTAGATTCAAGTTTGTTCAAATCATGACCCCCAGGGGTAGGGCGGGGCCAAAATAGCCGACCAAAATTTTACATAGAAATATATCGGAAATTTTTTTAAAAATCTTCTTCTCAAGAATGACAAAGCCATAATTCATCATATTTATATGGAAGCATCCTCAGGTAGTGTAGTTTCAAGTTTGTTCAAATCATGACCCCCGGGGGTAGGGCGGGGCCAAAATGGCCGACCAAAGTTTTACATAGAAATATATAAGAAAATTCTTTAAAAATCACCTTCACAAAGATAGAAAATCCATGGTTGTTCATGGAACTACTTTTGGATTTTACCTTTTCAATAATAAACCAATTTATTCTTTTACTAGCCACAGTGCTCAGGTGAGCGGTGTGGCCCATGGGCCTCTTGTTTTTTTTAAGCTTGATAAGAAATTTTTGGTAGTTCATAGTCCCCATAAACTGTAATAGCTTCCTATGGGCCTGGGAAGTAACTGTGAGATAAAATTCCTTGGTCCACCATAAAACATATTCTGTTGTTTCTTATATGTACAGAAATGTAAACATATAGTATTTTTTATTCGTATCAATTTTTTTACAATTTAAAGTTTTTCTCTAATGTCAACATTGTCGATTATACAATGTGCACAAACATAAACACACAATTCATGTATGTCTTAAAATTTTTCATGGTCTATTTGAAAGTTTAGCCTCACTGTAAAATTTTATGTCCATAGGAATGATCAAACTGTTTCTAAGTTTTTCACTGCAGAAATTTAATTTTTTTCACTTGACCTCTGTTATATTCAGTAACAAACAGATTGTCATATGTGTCTGTACATAGTCCTATCGGATTATTAAGTCCACAGTCTATGTAACGGAGGAACTGTCCATCCTGGTCTATGATGTGGACACAGTCATTGTTATAATCAGCTGTAAGGATGTGACTCTGACTGTCTGTGGTGATTCCTAGTGGATAGAATGGTCTGTTCTTTGGAGCAGGAGTATGTCCGGTGTACCTGAATCTCAGTTTCCCGGCCTGATTGACCACCACTACAGCATTAGCTCCACTATCAGACACACAGATATCCAGGTTCCTGTTCTCAGTTATGTAATCAGAATCAGATGAATAGAGAGATTTACGTTTATCATCAAACTGAATAGTTTGTTTCTCTGTGGAGCCAGAGTAACGGACAACTTTTGTTTGTTTTTTATCATCACTGTACATGATAACCAAGAGGTCTCCAGAGGAGGTACTACAGACACCGTCAGGTATCCAGTTCTGTAGTCTGATCACCTCCTCTATTTTCTCATTCTTCACAATTTTCACAGTTCTATCACTGTACTCAATATAAACTAGATCTCCACTGTTTGTCACTGCTATGTTATATGGTATGTTCCCTGACTTGGTTGTGATTGACTTGAGTAGTGATCCCTGATTGATGCTGTAGAGTTTCATGGTGCTGTCATCTCCTCTTGTCCAGATTCCTTCATCACTCTGACAGGCCACATCGTAAAGTTCTCCATACCCAGTTTTTATGGTGGTGATAGTCTCTGGTTCATCAAGCAGCTGTTTGACTGGAGGAGAGGATCCAGCGTCTAGTGATTTCTGTGTTGTCTTCATGCTGTAACCATGTTTTTGTGATGTAAGGGAGCTCTGTGATAAAGTTCCAAACAGTTTGGCAAGTTCTTCTCCTTGAATCCTGCCTTGTGTGAATTTTGGCAAACATGGCACAATTTTTTCTGGGAGATTGTTATATCTTCTTATTTGAACAGATGCAAATTTAAAAATGTTTGAAATTTCGTTGGAGTCTATAGCAATATTAAATGAATGGATTTCATCCTTGATATCAGACATTGTTGTGTTTATTTTATCAAGATGTTTCCATAGAGTTTGTAGCTGTGTGTTTTTCATCTCATCAACTTCAGCTTTAAGTTTCTTGACAAGTTTGTCAATTTCTCTGTGCCAGTCCTCTCCATGTTTTGTTATGGCTGTTGAGAGATCTCCATATTCCTTTTCTAACTGACTCATTCTGTTTTGTACATCAGAGGCAATGTCCTGGTAGGTTGGATAAATCGTCCCATTTAATTCAGCCAGTTCCTTTGTGATCTTTTCTTTTTTCTTATCTAAAACTTGTAAAATTTTCAATAATTTATGACCTAGATGTTGATCAGAAGCAAGGCAAGTAGCACACACAGGAACGTCACATAGCTTACAGTACATTTCACATTGTTCTTTATCATGAGATATGCATACAGGGTAGAGGGGGGTAGTTTTTCTCAGAGTAAATTTAACAATTTCATGTTTTTTGGATTCATCAGATATCATGTGTTTTCCTACGCAAGCTGTACACAGGTTGATAAGACATGTATCACAATGCATCTGTACCACAGCGGTCTCACACAGGTCACATCGCATCACGTCCTGTGCACTGGTACGGGGGTCCATGATTTAAGTAAACCTAGCATGAAAAAAGGCACTTGTTAAAACATTCTGAGATCACTTCAATAAAATAAACAAGGCCAAAAAAAATTACCACTCATCAATAATTTCTCAATTCTCAGACACCGATCAGGTCAAAAACTGGCTGCATGGATCATTGAAAAGGGAAATAACTCAAATTTCTATTTTTTAGACATTTTTATAAGTAAACAGTATATTTCTTGCTAATTTATTTTATAAAATGCCTTCACTTTAAAATAAATGTTTGGCAGAACATTTTTAAAACTTGTATACATATTTATTTAATGAAAGAGAACAAAAGATAAGGTCATGTTGATATGATGATATCATCAATGTCGCCGGGCGCGTGGCAGTACAGTTTTCAGAACATCTTAGAGTCACGAAGTAAGAAATTGGCACTTACATCGCGGGTTCAAATCCCACTGTGGGACATGGAGACCGGTCCTTTGGATGAAACAGTATAAACCAAAGTCCCTTGTTGCAAAAAAGATCCATCAATGCTCAATGGCCCTAAGTGCCAAGCATGCATTGGACAAAATTCGTAGCTCTCCAATCTCCATCGGCAAGTGGTGGCTCTCCATAAGAGTGAAAATTTCTTGAGCAGGGCATTAAACAACATTCCATCGTCGGAACCCACAGGTTTTCTCTCCGTTACACTGCATTTAAACGCAGTGTAACGGGAGAAAACACAATTTACTTTAATGTACAACATTCAATCAATCATCCAATCTTATTGTGTGAATCTCTGACAGTAAGAAAAAAGTGCAAAACCTACAACAAAAAAAGTTGCCAAACAAATTTGATAATCTCCATAAAAGAAACCAAATCAGGTTTTAGTGTTTTTTATTCTGAAAAGTAAATGTAACTTCTCTTTTTATATTATTACATGTATACAAATTCTACAGCCTTTGTTCTAGCCACAGTGAAGGCAGTCACATGATATGCTGTCCATAGCATCTTCACATCACTTCTCAAAGATTTTCCAAGGTCCTACCCAGCATTTTTTTTCTCGAATTATATTTTCATAATAAGAATAATCCATGCATTCCAAAGTACTGAATCGCAAGTACTAGACAAGTCATATTTTTTTAAGCTTTAAATAATCCTTCTTTATTGGTATAGAGTCTTTAATTAGAAAACATAAATATAATTTGTAGACTAGTACATAAAGTTACAATGTACAATCAGTATAATGTAAGAGCAAATTTAGTCCATGTTGTTTATAAAAAAAGATATCTGTATTGTTTAAGCAAAAATTATCAAATGAATTCATCCATAAATGTTACCTGCAGGGTCTGTCTAAAATCATGGCCAAATATTTGTACGATCTCTGTATGCCAGGTAATCACATGACCCACATTTGTTACCCACAAAATTTAATGGCGTCTGTCTTGTTGGCCAAATACCTGTACAATCTCTGTATGGGGATCACATGACCCACTTACTTGTGTTATATTTTACAACTAAATCATAGTTATGTGCTTTATAGCATTTGTGCCTAAAACTGTGTCCTTTGTCACTCTATTTCTGGACTTAGAATATGTTGTTGTGTTTTCAGTCAAAGCAATGAAGAGAATAGAGGAGATTCGAGTAAAAAGACAAAACCAATTTATTCTTAACAGGTAGGTAACTGAAGGAATACGGACCTTAGACAGGTATATAATGCATTTATTTCAATCACATTGACAACAAAATTTCTTTTTCAGATTAAATAAGGGCAAAGAACTCAGGAAAGAAGCGAACGTGAAGGAGGTTGAAACAAATATACACTTAATCAGAGCACCAGCGGGTTTGTTTTCTTTCCTTTACATTTATTACAACAAAAAATCTTTAAAACTTGGTGTATAACTTTAAATGATGCTTTTATTAGAATCAAGAAGGTGTCTTCAGCATTATGTATTAATTCAAAAGAATTGAAACGATTACAAATTCAGACAATTGCTTTGAGAACAAGGCTGGTTTTGTATCATAGATACAAATTTTTGGGCCATAAGCACAGCAAATTGCATTTGGTTTGTATGATACAGAATCTGTCAATTTGTCTTCATATATACATGTGACACAATCAAACATAAAAAACCACCTCCCACTTCTACATATGTAGCTGTGCAGTGTTCCCACTTAATATATAATTATATTTTATGGACAACGTAAAATTCAGTCAAATTAGACTTTAAAGGTATATTTGAAATCTTGTCTAAAATGGCACAAGGTAGATACAAACAGCTATTTGATGGACTTTGACAGATTTTAATTTTCCAATTAAAAATTGACATTAAAAACAAAGTGAAAGTATATGTGAAATCATCAGAGATGAGGAGATGAAAGAAAAATAAAGAAAAATATCTAAAATTCATCAGTGGAAAATGGGTGTGGGGTGGGGTGTTGAATTTCACTACATTGATGCTGCAACCATGAACCCATTGGTTTTACCATTTAAACAAACAGCTATTTGATGAAAGACTGTTGAAGATGTTCTGTAACTGACAATTTTAATTTCCTATTGAAAAATGACATTAAAAACAAAGAGAAAAAAAACTGTGCGGCAATTATCAGCATGAGGATTCAGGATGAAATTTTGAAAAATAAAACAAAAACTAAAAAAAATATGCTTAAACAAATTTGCGTAAGAGTGGAAAATGTAGGGGGGTATTGAATTTAACTGAATTGATGCTGCAACCATGAACCCATTGGTTTAACCATTTAAACAAAAAGAAACAAGGAAAATATGCTTCAACAAATTATTCATTTAAGAGTGGAAAATGGACGTTTTTAGGTAAATTTGACTTTAACTTTTTGATTGAGACCATGAAAGATTGGTTTAACCATTCAAACAAAAAGAAACAGGGAAACAAACATCAAGATGTTTAACTATTTTATGTTTTGAATTTTTACCGTAACTTTCAAAATGGATTAGATTCTGTGTTGAATAACTTTAAGAATGAGTTAGAAAACTTGATATTTTAGTTAAAGGCTAAGAAATAGCTATAACATGTTCATTTTTCTGCAAAGTTCATAATTGGAAAAAAATCAGCATTTACTTTTTTGATATATAAGTTGAATTAAATTTATTTGGGATTAGACTTTGAAAGATCAAAAAAAATCACCGCAGATATCTTGACAATATAACATATCTCTTTATTTTGTATAGCACAAGCCAAAAAACTTGTAAAATGTATCTCCTTGTTTTCGTATTTCTACAGCCCGAGCCAAAAAACTTGAGAAGAAGATGGTACAGGTGATACAGGAAGCTGATGATGAAGACATGGAAGAAGTTTAGGGATCCAAAGAGAGTGGATGTAGCAGGAGTGGGAAGATCATTACTGTACACTGACATTCTATTGAATGACAAACTGTTATGTGACCTTGATTGTTTTATTCTTCATCAAAATGGAGAAGTTTTTCTTTTTGTACTCCATAACTGATGAGAGTACATTTTTTTTAAAAAATCATTAAAATTAATGGTTTAAAACAGACAAAAAAGATGTTTGATACCTTTTTAAAGGTGGCAATATTTGATAAATTGAAAAAGACGTTTCAGAAGTTATTTTTATTGGAATTTTTAATGGTATCAATTAACAAAAAGTAAGTATTAGTCATTGTAAATCAGTATTCATACTTGTGTATCCTAATTTATTGGGCAAAGCATGACAAGTGCAGCATGAGTCTCCTCCCCTTGTCCAATTAAATCAGGACACCAAAATAAATAAATTTTAAATAACTTGCTTGTATCATGACGAAATTGTCTTATGACAGCCTTTGTTGCATGATTTTTTATGAGACCAGTAAAAAATTGTTATTCTTTGGCGACCATATCTCTCCTGCCAGTCAGTGTTTTCTAATACCATCATTTGTGATGTTTGATTACAGTTTATAAATTTTGAATCCGATACAAGATTTAGGCTAAATTTTTTTCCTTCATATTACAAAAAGTTCATAATATCTTGGACTCTGGAAGAAAATGAAATTATATTTTTGAAGAAATTAATGGATAGGATTATGACATAGATTTGGACACAGACCCAAGGAATCCTATGAATTCAAAAGCTGGCAGCTTGAACAAAGGTGACCTGTTGGTTTCTGTATTTTGTCCATTTTGTCCTAATCATTTCAAATTAAACATTTTCAACTTTTTCTCTTGAACTCTTGAACAAATGTCAACCAAATTTGGCATATAGTATAGCATTAGTTGGTAAAGGGATCCCAAAATTTGTGCAATTTATGTTTTCTGCACCCTGGGGCCTAAATAATGAAGTTAAACCATCACATCACATTAGTGCTTTGTTTAAATATTCAATTTTATTCCAGCACATCCAGCAGTCAATTTGTTTGTATGATTGTTATAAGAATTGAACACTTTACCAAAATTATTAATTTCATGACCCAGGGTCAGGAACTCTGAAGAAAGGACGAACTTAAATGATCGTACAGTGAAAATGCATAAGATTATTTTAAAATCTTCTCTGTCCCTATATATACGAGGGTTGTCCCAAAAAGTCGTAGACAGGGAAAACAGCTTATTTTCTCTTTGTTGAATTAAATTTCTTTTCTTCTCATAACAAAAAGAAACATTTTGTGATCGTGCATTTCAAATTTTATAATGATATCACATTTAATAAGGAAATTATGAAAAAATAAAGAAAGCATGTAAGTGTACATCGGCGCAAAAAAGCAAGCGTTATTTACGTTTCATATAACGTTATGATATATATATTTTTTTTTTGCTTCACACGCGTCTGTTAACATTCAATATTTTTTTAATTGAAAGACCACTTTTGACCAAGGGACTTATTTAAATTCACTACTGAAAGGTTTTGTTGATCTTTTTTTAAAGCAGAATCAAATTTTAGTCGAAATTTAGTCAAAAGATCGCCATACATTATGGGGAGCAGCTAATACATTGTTTGACGTCGTTCGTGGCCGAGATAGTTCCCCGTTGTCTGTGTACTTTAAAAAAACAGTACTCTAATTCTTACATGTTTTAACTACCCTAATTCTGGTATAGAGGAAGAACTCTTATTGAATCTATTGTGTAATGTCACTTCTGTACTTTTCCCCTCGTCTTAAATGTATACAAATCATATTCAAAACAATTTAGTACATATCCGTGAGCTGGCTACGCGTTTGACGACGTCATTTTCATCAAAAACAATTCCAACAATACTTGAAAATCATGACACCAATCGTCTGTTTCCAATGCTATCTATATGAAAATTTGACATTTTATTAAGATTTTGATTCTGAATTTACTGATGTAAATTTAAATTCATGTTTTACATAGTACTAAAGAAATAAAAGTAAATGTAATAGTTATATGCGTAAAATATTCAGAATTTTGTTCGTGTGCCGAGAGACCTTATCGGCCCTCATATAAATCGTCCTAATATTATCAATATGAAAGATATATATTTCAAAATCCACAATTTTAAAGAACATTGAATATATTAGGTCTACATTTTGGGGACAATCCTCGTATATGTATAGGTATTAAGCAGACATATTGGATGCATGATTATGATGAGTAAGTTGCATAATTTTACCGAAATTAACAGCAGCAAAATTAACTTACGACTTTTCAGTTACTGTATACACAACCACTCCCCCTGATAAATTCAAGTCCAGGCTCATTGATATCATAGACAACTAAAATTTTTAATGATCCATTTTCTTATCGATAATATATATGTGTTTTTTTTGGAGACCAGATCTTCCAAAAATCTATCGGAGTTCATATGGCTACCAATTGCATCCTGTTATTTAAGAGATGCTTGAGTTTCTGATTGACAATATTTATGTGGGTTTTGGAGATCTGGTAATCCAACAATCTATTGGAATTCCCATGGGTACCGATTGCGGTCTGTTATTAGCAGGCCAATTTTTATATTCATATGAAGCTGAATTTCTGCAAATCATATGCATGAAAAGAAGAAAACGCTTTCTGTGGCCTTCAGCTCTACTTTCAGATATATCGACAATGTATCGTCAGGTAATATTCATTATGTTTCATACTTGGATATTTTACTTGAAAAAGACGATAATGGTAATCTTACAATTAAGTCGATACAATGAACTTGTCATCAAATACAGTTTATCTATGAGTCAAATGCTGACTGACGTGTTTCATACTAATTGTTATTCCATTATTTATACACTAAATTGACTACTGATTTTACCTTTATTTCCTGATCATGACAAGGAGCACACGGCAGATGTGACCGATCAGCAGGGGTTGCTCACTTCTCCAAAGCACCTGATCCCACCTCTGATGTTTCGGAGGTCGGTGTTTGCTCTGCTTCTATTTTGTATTGTGTTAATATGAACTTTGAAACTGAATAGTGTTCTTTATCTCTATATCGTTCTTGCAGACATATTCTTATAATCACATGAAGGAAGAATTTGTCCAAAATTGTGTACCTGAAAAGAAGAAAATACTTGACATGGGCTTTAACCCGAGAGTTAGAAATGTCGACAACGTATCATCCATTAACAAGAGTTCAGTATAACTAATGATCTCATTCGTAAAATTCTTTTAAAATTTTCTTCCGTTTTTCTCTATATACAGCATATGAAATAGACATATAGTTATGAACCTCTTTCAAAATCTTTGAAAAAATTGGAGCTCCATGATCAGGGATTTTGGAGTTAGGGTTGAACTCTAATAATCATATAGCAAAAATACAGTAATTCCCTTTCCCATTTGAAAAACTTTCAGGTAATTCATACAAGTACTTTTTCCCAGGTTGATCAACCTCCCCACTATGCACTTGCAAATGGTATATTTTATTAACTTTCCAATAGCTTCTGTATGTACTGGTCTTTTTTTTTTACTGCAGAACAGAGTAAATTGTCTACTACGTAACTGATTGTTATTTAAATCCCCTTCTAGACCAGGAAGTATAAACACCTGACAGGTAACTAACACAAGTATGTCACATGATCTGTGTGTATAGAGATAATCATTTAGGCCGCCATTACTGCATTCAGGTAATATAGAGAAATAATATTCTGTATATTTGAATTCCAAAAATGTCCCTGTCCTAGAGATTCAGTTAGTTATTATTGATTGATTTTTTTTTGTTTAACGCCGAGGCGGCAATATTTCAGCCATATTTCGTTCTGACTGTATGAGTGACATACCTATTATTATTTTTATCCTTGTCTGTTTCTTGGCTTTATTGTTACTTAAAAAGATAAACTACATGTTTATTTTATTTTTTTTTACACTGTACAGTCATCATTGTCAGTAACAAGATCTAATCATGGATCCCCGTACCAGTGCCCAGGACGTGATGCGATGTGACCTGTGTGAGACCGCTGTGGTACAGATGCACTGTGATACATGTCTTGTCAACCTGTGTAAGGCCTGTGTGGGAGAACACATCTCAACAGATGAATCCAAGGACCACAAAGTCGTCAAATTTCAGTCTAGGAAATCTACTCCCCTTTACCCCAGGTGTACATCTCATAACAAACAACAATGTACAATGCACTGTGATAAATGTGGCAATCCTGTTTGTACAAAGTGCCTTGCATCTAGTCAACATTTAGGTCAACATTTAGGTCATAAGTTGTCAGAAATCTTACAAATTGCGGAAGAAAAAAAGGACAAAATTATCAAAGGAGTAATTGAATTACGTGAGACAATTTATCCCACCTACCAGGACATTGCCTCTGATGTACAAAACAGAATGAGTCAGTTAGAAAAGGAATATGGAGATCTCTCAACAGCCATAACAAAACATGGAGAGGACTGGCACAGAGAAATTGACAAACTTGTCAAGAAGCTTAAAGCTGAAGTTGATGAGATTAAAAGCACACAGTTACAAACTCTACAGAAACATCTGGATGAAATAAACAAGACAATGTCTGACATCAAGGATGAAATAGATTCAAATAACATTGCTACAGACACTAATGACTTGTCAAAACTATTTAGTGTTACACCCATGGCCAATACATGTATATACAGAAATCTTCCACAAAAACTTGAACCAGTCTTTCCCAAATTAATTCCAGGAAAAATCCAAGAACTTGGTAAATTGTTTGGCGCTTTATCATCAAGTTCCTTAACTTCAGATAAACATGGCTACAGCATGAAGACACCACAGAAATCAACAGAAGCTGGATCCTCTCCTCAAGTCAAACAGCTGCTTGATGAACCAGAGATTGTCACCACCATAGACACTGGGTATGGATTCCTTTACAATGTAGCCTGTCTGAGTGATGAAGAAATCTGGACAAGTGGACCTAACAGCACCATGAAACTCTACGGTATCAATCAGGGATCACTACTCAAGTCAATCAGAACCAAGTCAAGGAACAGACCACATGACATAGCAGTGACAAAAAGTGGAGATCTAGTTTATACTGATAACAAAAATAGAACTGTAAACATTGTGAAGAATGAGAAGATAGAGGAGGTGATCAGATTACAGAACTGGGAACCTCGTGGTGTCTGTAGTACCTCCTCTGGTGACCTCCTGGTTATCATAGGCAGTGATGATCTAACAGAAACAAAAGTTGTCCGTTACGCTGGCTCCACAGAGAAACAAACCATTGAGTTTGATGATAAAGGTGAACCTCTCTATTCATCCGATTCTGATTACATTACTGAGAACAGGAACCTGGATATCTGTGTGTCTGACTGTGAAGCTAAAGCAATAGTGGTGGTCAATCAGGCCGGGAAACTGATATTCAGGTACACTGGACATACTCCTGCTCCAAAGAACCAACCATTCTATCCACAAGGAATCGCCACAGACAGTCAGAGTCACATCCTTACAGCTGATTATAACAATGAGTGTGTCCACATCATAGACCAGGATGGACAGTTCCTCCGTTACATAGACTGTGGACTGAGTGAACCCTGGGGACTGTGTATAGATACAAATGACAATCTGTTTGTTGCTCAATTAGGAAACAGTCAAGTGAAAAAAATCAAATATCTCTAGTGAAACACATCACTTTGTCATATTCAATATACCGTATAAGTGGAATTTTTAGCGAGACGCAAATTTAGCGATTATATATATATATTCATCTATCTATGATAAAACATTTTTCACATTGTTATAAAAGTTAATCATTTATCAGTATAACATGCTATAATTGAGAAGTGCCAAATTCCAACAATTTTGCTTCATTATAAACATAATACATTTTATTTGTTATTCAATATGTTTTAAAGTCATAAGGAATGAAAATTGATTCTCTATTAAATCATCAATTCATAATTAAGCATGTTTGCTATACATGTGTTTTACTGTACATCTAGAGGACATTGTACAAATCAGAAGTAAAATGAATGTGTATTTTCTCCCGAGTTTGACATATTATTACATTAACCATGTAATGATGTAAGTAATGAGTTAGTAGGATGACCAACTGGTCACCTGAGTATTATGAGTACATTTAGAGTTTCCTCAGGCTTTTTAACTAAGTCATAATATTTAAATATGTTGCAAGACACTACAAAAAAATGCTTCAGGCTTTCTATACAGAATGTAATTTTTTAATTAAAAAATTAAGTGACCCTCAAAATATTTAGTCAAAAATTCTACAAGCATCTGCAAAGCAAATTTTGTCAAATGACCCAAAGTTATATGTTATTAAATATGACAGATCAATGTACAGCTGTGCCTACAGAAATGTACATTTTATTTGAAAGGAACTTATGTTACAAAAATAAATGCAAAGTATGAAATATAATTATCAGGAACAAATCATGCGAGTAATCTACATCTGGACTAGATGTTATTAAAAAATGTAATAAAATGTAGTACATACATGTACATCACAAAAGCATGAGACATGGACCTGATTGAAGAAATACTTGTATTTCTGACACTCAAAACAGTTTCTTGGTTATACACTGTGAAATGGACAGAATATGGAAGGTACATGTACCTGTATATTCCTCTTATAACTGTTTATATTTCATCAGATGATTTTTCCCCAAAAAAATTGGACGAATAAAGTACAGGTTTATTTTAGTAATTAATGTATTTGCAGAAAGTTAACTGCATGCCGTAGATGGTTGGCGAGCCTATTGGTTCTTTTAACTTGCGAATAATTTGTCACAGACTCGGACTGCATAGGAAACATTAAATTTTACATTATTAGGGATTGATGGTATACAGTTGTGATTCAGTAGGTACTCTGTCACAGGTAACATCTGTTTGTGAGGTAGCACTGAGATGTATGTATCAATCTTAGAAGTTCAAGAGACATCACACACCACCACATTAAAACACTCAGGTTGTTGAGTTGAGATGATGTCTGGTAAATTGTCACTTTAGTGGCCCCTCTGTGGAGTACAGTTGATGAATAAGTCTGCTTGGATTCATTCCTAAATTCCTGTAAATAATAACCCAAACTGTTTATCATGAAAAGTTAGAAATATATGTTAACAGGATATGAATGGCCCATCCAATGTATATTTGTACTGTAACATGAAAAGAAATGTATAGAACAATTTGTCTTAAGTGGATTCTGAGTACTCTCGAAATTTGTTCATTACATGTATTTAAAACTTCCTATTTGGCTTTAAAAACCAGTGCTGTATAGTTTTTTTTAAATGACTCAATTTCTATAACATATTGATTTAAACACTTGACAGTTTGTAGTTGAAAAAATAAAGTGTGAGACCCATAGGGCTTGAGCTCATATGAGTACTAGTAATTTAAGCCCTTCTGTTCTTCATGATATTTTTTTTCCCTACAATTCTTATGTAAAACTTAGCTGACATATTACTGCCCAATCCTATCCCAATTGGTCATAATTTGTATGCTATCTGATGATGCTTCCATATAATATGGAAATATCGTATATCAAGCTTTTTTTTGGCATGTTGGAATTTTGCGAAAAAGGGGCCAGATAAGTACCATTTATATTTTGCGTAAGTTATTTTTTATGATTGAAGATTTTTTTGTTTAAAATGGTAATGTTTATGTCACATTTTAGCTGAAATAATTTCTGCAGGTTTTATATTTTGTGAATTAAAAATGATCGCAAAAAAAGGCGAAAAATAGATCACCGTGGAAAAAAAAGGATACACGGTTGTATTTAATCGAGAAATAATCACAATTAATTTACGTTATTTGATACTGAAATATTCCCAAGTAGGTTATATCAAAGTTTGTTTAATTCAAAAATGTACTTAGGATGTGGCCTTTAAAGGCATTAAAATGTTTTCATTCTGATGATGACCGTCCCCGGTCAAAGCCGGTCAACTAAATATACTGCTGCATTTTCAAAAAAGTTGGTGATCTATTTCATATCTTTAAATTTACAACTTTACAGACCCTATTGAATATATTTCGGTATCCACACGTGAGAATCTTCCACAATTTTAACCTCAAGGTGTTGGTATCCAGTTTTTCTTTGTTTTGTATTTACGTTTCTATGGTCTTAAATTTGGAGCCAGTTAATAAACGAGCTATTTTTTTAATTTTTATATCTGTGAAATGCCATTGATTTAATTGTTGTAATTTACAGTAAAGTCAAATATTTATAAAAGTATTGGGTGTTTTTTGCTTGAGATTTCAGTTCAAGTGTACCTTAGGTGAATACTCTTAATAAATTTTGAGATACCAAGAAAAAGGCAAAAACTTATTTTTTCAATATTTTGCTTATGGATAGAAAAGGGAAATAATTTTTTTTAAAATTTCTGCACACCTCATGAAATGATTCTCAAGATATCAAAAACATTTATTTTACTGACATATAGACCCAAAACAATGTGCTACCTTTTCAAGCATTGAAAGTAATAGGACTGTGGAATTTCTCTAATCTCTCAGTATTTGATTAATGGGAGATGGACATGTTGGCCATAATATTGTGGGGCAAAAAAATCAAGGACAGTACAAGAATTTTTTTGTAAGAGTGATTCTTACACATACCTGAGAGACTTGTTGACCTTGACTGTGGAAAGTAGTCGCTCTGCTGCCATTTTGTTGGGACAGGATCTGTAGGCCTCCAGTAAGCTGTAAAGAAGGATAGGATATTAAACAAAATGTAGAAAAAGAAAGGACATGTGTACAACTAAATGTAAGGACATGTATATAAAGTCCTTGTACTGTTTTGAACATGAATAGAAGAAATGAAATCCAAGCTCTGAGTTTTTGACTTACTTAAAATCTGTAATATACAATGTACTTTATCAAAATTTACACCATGAAAATGACTAATTCTTTAATTCATTAACACTATTTACTGAGTTCTAGATTGCTTACCAACTTATTGAGGGTGTATCTGAGTTACTGACTTCTTGTCGGGTAAATTTCAGTAACTGACTTATTGTGGAGTAGATCTCAGTTATGGATTTATTTTGAGTTATATCTGAGGTTACTGTAAACCAATTATTATACGCTTCATTTTTTATTCACGACTGACCGCTAGAGAACTAATCTGCGATGATTTATTTCCGCGATTATCTGTGCATTGTGGCAACGCACTTTGAAAAAATTACGCACTTTGAAAAAATTTTTCAAAGTGCGTAATTTTTTTCAAAGTGCGTCAATTTTTTTACACTCTCAACGCACTTTGAAAAAAAATTTCAAAGTGCGTTAAGAATGCACATAAACATTTTTTACCATGGAGGCATTTAACGCACTTTGAAAAAAAGATATGTATGAAAATAAAAATTTTGGACTTAGATTTTAGTAATAGAGGAAATCAAATTGTAATAATTATATCTTTCGAAAAACATTTTTAAATTTACATGAACCCATTTAACCTCTTTGAGAACAAAGAGAAGACGAGTAGAAGGTCTCTCATCCCAACTCTTTTTTTCCTAAACATTGTAAATAGCCGTCGGTAGCAAATTGAAAGTTGACCCCACAGGTAAGCCCCAATTTTTAATGCATACATGTTTATGGCACGCCAAAATCACAAAAATGAGATAATCATAGTTTCACAATCGATAAACTAACTAGGTTTATCGGTTGTAAACTATAGTTTACGGACTATAAACTATAGTTTGCAAAGTTAATCTATATTTTACATCTGTAAACTATAGCTAACGCGATAATCTGTTTCACAACCATTAACTATACTTAACACCGAAAACTATCATTTGCGATTGCAAAACATAGATTATATGATAAATACAGTTTCACGATTTGTAAACTATAGTTTACAAACCGTTAACTATAGTTAACGATCTGATTAATATAGTTTCACGATTTGTGAAACTATGATTAACAACTCTTAACCATAGTTTACGATTGTAAACTACAGTTTACAACTGTGAATCTATTTTTAGCAACAAAATCTATTGTTAACACTTTTAACAGACAGGTAAACTTAGATTATCATTCGTAAACTATAGTTCACAACCGTTAAATATAGTTTTACAGATGAAAACTATACTTAACGAATCGTTAACTATAGTTTACGATTTGTAAACTATAGTTTACAGTCGATAAACCAAGTTTATCAATTGTGAAACTAGGTTTATCTTATTTTTGTGAATTTGGCGTGCCATACATGTTTATATTATGTATATCTTTGAAAAATATTTATAAGCCTACATGTAACCCCCTTTCCGGTACTGATGCCTATGCTACACCCAAATATATGTGTTTACATAACTGGTATGACGTTGAAAACTTTCAATAAATTTAAGGTAACATAAAATGCATGCAAACTTGAAAAAGAAAATTAAGTACAGTAAAGCATTTAAGCGAGAAAGAATTTTCAAAGTATGGAAAAATCAAAATCGCTCACTTTCAAATCCTGAAGTGCGTGACCTCTTCACAGAAAAATTATCGAACAGGTTCAATTATTTATCATACCTGAGATTGACAGGAATATTGACAAATCCATACACATTTTTTCAAAGTGCGTTAATATGGTCCATATTAACGCACTTTGAAAAGAAATTTTATTTTTTCAAAGTGCGTTGACTAAGTCCCAAAATTTAACGCACTTTGAAAAAATTTTTCAAAGTGCGTAATTTTTCAAAGTGCGTTGTAACACAGCATTGCGTCCATTTAAAATCTTATATCCGCCCCTAAAGTGGGTAAAATGTTACCATGAATATACTTCTTACTCATTACTCACGCCGCTCGAATAAAAATCTGGAAAAATCAAGGAGATTAAAGTTGATTTAAAACTCTCAATAGTACCAATTGGGTAATCGACGCTTTCCAAAATTTACATAGCCAAAGGGCAATTATCATAAATGGTTGGGACACAGCATGACTGGGCCATGATTAGTCGTAATTAACCAGGCTATCTCTAACTCGTCTGTGACAATAAATGAACAATAATAACACAAGCTAATATATATAATTATTGACATTTTAATCATTTTAAGACAAATAGTTTTAGATTTGCCATTCATTTATCTATTTTACTGAATGTTTGTAATTAAATTTTAACTGCATTCAGTACAATCAAGTTTTTCTGTGATTACCAATTGTAGTGTCGGGATCGGTTTTCAAAACAAGAGGCCCAGGGGCCACATCGCTCACCTGAGCAATTGGCTAGGAAAAAGCACATATCAGATCAGAACTGAAAGTTTACTTGGGGGGTGGGGGAACTTCAACTCTCCAGGGCGTCTTGATTTGAACAAACTTGAATCTACACTACATGAGGATGATTCCACATGAGTTTCATCTTTCCTGGCCCAGTGGTTCTTGAGTAGAAGATTTTTCCTATATATTCCTATGTAAAACTTTGATCGGCCATTTTGGCCCCACCCTTGCCTTGGGGGTCATGATTTGAACAAACTTGAATCTACACTATCTGAGGATGATTCCACAAGAGTTTCATCTTTCCTGGCCCAGTGGTTCTTGAGAAGAAGATTTTTAAAGATTTTTCCAATATATTCCTATGTAAAACTTTGATCGACCATTTTGGCCCCACCCTACCCCCGTGGGTCATGATTTGAACAAACTTGAATCTACACTACATGAGGATGATTCCACATGAGTTTCTTCTTTCCTGGCCCTGTGGTTCTTGAGAAGAAGATTTTTAAAGATTTTTCCTATATATTACTATGTAAAACTTTGATCGGCCATTTTGGCCCCACCCTACCCCCGGGGGTCATGATTTGAACAAACTTGAATCCACACTACATGAGGATGATTCCACATGAGTTTCATCTTTCCTGACCCAGTGGTTCTTGAGAAGAAGATTTTTAAAGATTTTTCCTATATATTACTATGTAAAACTTTGATCGGCCATTTTGGCCCCACCCTACCCCCGGGGGTCATGATTTGAACAAACATGAATCTACACTACCTGAAAATGATTCCACATGAGTTTCATCTTTCCTGGCCCAGTGGTTCTTGAGAAGAAGATTTTTTAATAATGCCATTATTTTTTCTCTAATTCATGATTATCTCCCCTTGGAATAGGGCGTGGCCCTTCATTTGAACAAATTTGAATCCCCTTCACCGCAGGATACTTTGTAGCAAGTTCGATTGAAATTGGCCCAGTGGTTCTTGAGAAGAAGATGAAAATGTGAAAAGTTTACAACGACAACGCCGACAACGACGACGACGACAACGACAGACAACGGACAAATTTTGATCAGAAAAGCTCACTTGAGCCTTTGGCTCAGGTGAGCTAAAAAAGGGCAAATATCTCTAATCATAACATAGGAATATAATGAACAACTCGTTCGCGACGATAAATATCCACGAGCAGAGGTTACTCGCGGAACTCGCAGATATTTATCGCACGCGTATGATACTTGGTTTACAGTATCAGTTACTTTTCAGAGTTACTTACCGACTTATTGTGGGGTAGATCTGAGTTACTTACTGACTTATTGTTGGATAGATTAAAGTTACTTACTGACTTAATGTTGAGTAGAACTGAGTTACTATTTTAATGTGGGGTAGATCTGAGTTATTGTGGGGTGGATTTGAGGTTACTTACTGACTTATTGTGGGCTGGATCTGAGTTATGGACTTATTCTGGGGTGGATTTGAGGTTACTTACTTACTTATTGTGGGGTGGATCTGAGTTACTTATTGTGGGGTGGATTTGAGGTTACTTACTGACCTATTGTGGGGTGGATCTGAGTTATGGACTTATTTTGAGTTATATCTGAGTTTATTAGTTACTTTTCGGAGTTACTTACTGACTTATTGTGGGGTAGATTTGAGTTACTTACTGACTTATTGTGGGGTAGATCTAAGTTTCTGCCTTTTTTAGTTATATCTGAGTTACTTACTGACTTATTGTGGGGTAGATCAGAGTTACTTACTGACTTATTATGAGTTAGATCTGAGTTTCTGACTTATTGTGGGTTAGATTTGAATTACTTACTGACTTATTGTGGGGTAGATCTGAGTCACAGCCTGTGCCCTCTCTCCAGATATCCCACTCACTTTACTCAGCTGTTTACATAACATGTCCCGAACACTCAGATTCTACAAATGTACATGCATCTAAAACATTTCTGATAGAAAGAACTAAAATCAATTTCCCCAAAGTTCTCAAGAGTTTTCCTCTAATAAAGATAACTTTTTAAAAATAAATTCCATGTGGAAAACCAAAATTAAGATTTAAAATGAAAGCACCAATCTCAGGAGCAAGTAACTGCCAGCCCCCACCAAATTTCTCTCGCAACACATCCAGCTAAATCTGAGATATACATTATAAAGAGAAGCTTAAATCTATGCTGCCCAAAATACCTAAGTATGTAAAATTTTCTTTTGAGTGTTGACTTCAGGTTGAAATCTGCTCTTACCCTAGACTTGACAGACCCCTGGTTAAACTCCCCAAACTCCATCAGTCTGATTTCTCGGTCATTTATGTCGTTACTCCACTCCTGTTCTTTGATGTCGTCAATGCTACAGGCATGGAGTGTCTTATTCTAAAGAAAAGGTAACTTCTGTCATCTGATCCAAATATTCTAATTGAAATTGAATACCACGGTAAAGTTCAGATGTCTGCATTTTCCTGTTTGTTTTTATACCGGCGTATTAGTTTTTACATCTTGTAAATAGAGGAAAAAGTGATGTCATGAGGTTACCATTAAGACTTTCTTAATTCTGTAATAATCCCGCTGACTCACATTCCTTATAGAGCTAAAGCACTTTGCAAAAAAAGAAGAGACATGTCTTCTTGTAGTGTTTCAACTGATAATCATTGACCCTCTTATTTTGAGATGGGACAAATCCATGTACATGTAGATCAGTAAGATCACAGTAGTGACAGTAGCCACCTTGTAATAACTCTGAAGGTAGCGTGTCATCACTGTTAGATAGGCCACAGACTCTATGACAGAACCCACCTTGTAGTAGCTCTGAAGGTAGCGTGTCATCACTGTTAGATAGGCCACAAACTCTATGACAGTACCCACCTTGTAGTAGCTCTGAAGGTAGCGTGTCATCACTGTTAGATAGGCCACAGACTCTATGACAGTACCCACCTTGTAGTTACTCTGAAGGTAGCGTGTCATCACTGTTAGATAGGCCACAGACTCTATGACAGTACCCACCTTGTAGTAACTCTGTAGGTAGCGTGTCTTTACTGTTAGATAGGCCACAGACTCTATGATAATACCCACCTTGTAGTAACTCTGTACGAAGCGTGTAATCACTGTTAGATAGGCCACAGACTCTATGACAGTACCCACCTTGTAGTAGCTCTGAAGGTAGCGTGTCATCACGGTTAGATAGGCCACAGACTGTATGACAGTACCCACCTTGTAGTAGCTCTGTAGGTAGCGTGTCATCACTGTTAGATAGGCCACAGACTCTATGACAGTACCCACCTTGTAGTAGCTCTGAAGGTAGCGTGTCATCACTGTAACATAGGCCACAGACTCTATGACAGTACCCATCTTCTAGTAACTCTGAAAGTAGCGTGTCATCACTGTTACATAGGCCACAGACTCTATGACAGAACCCACCTTCTAGTAACTCTGTAGGAAGCGTGTCATCACTGTTAGATAGGCCACAGATTCTATGACAGTACCCACCTTCTAGTAATTCTGTAGGAAGCGTGTCATCACTGTTAGATAGGACACAGACTCTATGACAGTACCCACCTTGTAGTAACTCTGAAGGCAGTGTGCCATCATGCACTGTTACATAGGCCACAGACTCTATGACAGTACCCACCTTGTCGTAACTCTGAAGGTAGCATGTCATCACTGTTAGATAGGCCACAGACTCTATGACAGTACCCACCTTGTAGTAACTCTGAAGGTAGCGTGTCATCACTGTTAGATAGGCCATAGACTCTATGACAGTACCCACCTTGTAGTAACTCTGAAGTTAGCATGTCATCATTGTTAAAAAGGCCGCAGACTCTATGATAGTACCCATCTTGTAGTAACTCTGTAGGTAGCGTGTCATCACTGTTAGATAGACCACAGACTCTATGACAGTACCCACCTTGTAGTAGCTCTGTAGGAAGCGTGTCATCACTGTTAGATAGGCCACAGACTCTATGACAGTACCCACCTTGTAGTAACTCTGAAGATAGCATGTCATCACTGTTAGATAGGATACAGACTCTTTGACAGTACCCACCTTGTATTAACTCTGTAGGAAGCGTGTCATCACTGTTAGATAGACCATAGACTCTATGACAGTACCCACCTTGTAGTAACTCTGTAGGAAGCGTGTCATCACTGTTAGATAGACCACAGACTCTATGACAGTACCCACCTTGTAGTAACACTGTAGGAAGAGTGTCATCACTGTTAGATAGACCACAGACTCTATGACAGTACCCACCTTGAAGTAACTCTGTAGGAAGCGTGTCATCACTGTTACATAGGCCACAGACTCTATGACAGTACCCACCTTGTAGTAACTCTGAAGATAGCATGTCATCACTGTTACATAGGCCACAGACTCTATGACAGTACCCACCTTGTAGTAACTCTGAAGATAGCATGTCATCACTGTTACATAGGCCATAGAATCTATGACAGTACCCACCTTGTAGTAACTCTGAAGGTAGCGTGCCATCACTGTTAGATAGGCCACAGACTCTATGACAGTACCCACCTTGTAGTAACTCTGTAGGTAGCGTGTCTTTATTGTTAGATAGGCCACAGACTCTATGACAGTACCCACCTTGTAGTAGCTCTGTAGGAAGCGTGTCATCACTGTTAGATAGGCCACAGACTCTATGACAGTAGTCACCTTGTAGTAACTCTGTAGGAAGCGTGTCATCACTGTTAGATAGGACACAGACTCTATGACAGTACCCACCTTGTAGTAGCTCTGTAGGAAGCGTGTCATCACTGTTAGATAGGCCACAGACTCTATGACAGTACCCACCTTGTAGTAGCTCTGTAGGAAGCGTGTCATCACTGTTACATAGGCCACAGACTCTATGATAGTACCCACCTTGTAGTAGCTCTGTAGGAAGCGTGTCATCACTGTTACATAGGCCACAGTTTCTATGACAGTACCCACCTTGTAGTAACTCTGAAGGTAGCGTGTCATCAAGGTGGGTACTGTCATACAGTCTGTGGCCTATCTAACAGTGATGACACGCTTCCTACAGAGTTACTACAAGATGGGTACTATCATAGAGTCTGTGGCCTATCTAACAGTGATGACATGCTATCTTCAGAGTTACAGTGGGTTTCTACCAAGGAGGCTGTTATGGAGGAGATTTTGGAAAACAAATGTGTCCAGGTCCCTGTTTTCCGCGATAAATTGTGCACTTCCAAGCAGTCGACAGTATTCGTCGAAACAACATACAACAACGAATGGGGCTCAGGGCTTGACCGGGATGGTACATGCAACACCAAACCCGAACAATGGCCAGGAAAAAACATTCTTGGTGTCCTCATGAAAAAAATCGCAAGAAAGGTTCGGAAAAGAAAGCTTAGCGATTCAGCAAAAAACGAAAGAAAACAAAAACAAAAAGATCTTCCGAAACAAAAAACAATACCGCAAATGCTTAATCAGCTGAGAGAAATGTCCGATAGTGATGAACCTGACACGGAGAGTTCCGGTGATGATACGTCTAAGTAACTGTTTTATCTCCGATCAGACTGGCGCAGCATTGCATGAAATGTGGTATGTTCTTAGTTATATTTATTTACAGACATTTTTGGCATACTTTAAAAATGCTATATTGAATTGGTATGTTCTATTTTGACTTTTTAGTGATAAGACGTAAATTCCCCCCCCCCCCCCCCCCCCCCCCGTTTCTTTTTCATAAAATTATTATACATTTATATCCACCAGACAAATGGAAAATTTAAGTTTACTTTCGGTGAATGTAAGAGGTCTTAATTCGCCGGAAAAAAGGGCAAAAATCTTTACATGGTTAGAAGAATGTAAAATAGATATAATACTTTTACAAGAAACACATTTTGTGGAAAAACATGTAGAAAACTATAATAGAAATTGGAATGGGAAAATAATTCATGCTTTTTCAGACTCTCCCTATAGTAGAGGTGTTTCTATTCTTTTTAAAAGAGAATGTAATGTAGATATTTTAAATGTTCATAAGTCTAATGACGGTAGGAAAATTCTTGTTAATGCAAAAATAGACGGTGACTTATTTACAATTATTAACGTTTACGCACCTAACAAAGAGTCAGATAGATTAGCATTCCTATCAACTCTAAACACATATATTTCTTCGTTCTCTGCGCAAGATAGTTCAATCATAGTAGGAGGTGATTTCAATTGCAATTTTGATAAAGAAAATGACAAATCCAATAAAAAATTAAGTAAACTGGTTAATAAACTGGACTTAGTCGACGTATGGCTTAATAAGAATCCTAATAATAACGGTTACACCTGGTGTGATGCAGAAAATTGTCCTAAGAGTAGGATTGATTATATTTTTGTAAGTAAAGACTTTATAAAAAATGTAAAAAATATCATTGTCAGACGAATTCCTGGTACTCATAATAATAACACTCGATTAAGTGACCACAGATATCTTAAATGTACTTTATATCTGAATAAATTAGATAGAGGTGTAGGTTACTGGAAATTGAATGTATCTCACCTTGAGAATGATGATTACAAACAAGGTATAGAGGAATTATTTAACAACATTGATGAAACGCTAGATCCAATTTTAAAATGGGAAACTTTTAAAATAAGTGTACGTGATTACTCTATTAAATACGCGAAACAATCCAAACATAATATAAAATACAAAATAAAACTGCTTGAGGAAAAAATCGATAAAATTGAATCTTTGCCTAGTCTAGAAATTAATATGAATGAAAAGCGAAAACTAGAAAAAGAACTAGATGCAATGTATGATAAAATTGCTAAAGGAGCTCAAATAAGATCAAAAGCGCAATGGATAAGTGAGGGAGAGCGAAATACCAGTTTCTTTCTAGGTCTAGAAAAGAAACATCAAACGAATAATACAATAACTGAATTAAAAAAGAATGATAAAACCTTTGCAAGTAATAGTGAAATTTTACAAGAAATGTGTCTTTTTTACGAAAACTTATATACAAGCAAATCTGTCGATGGAAACGATATTTCTTCATATCTAAAAGACATTGAATGTCCAAAACTTAATGATCGCGATAGAAAGTTTTGTGACACATTTCCAACATTTGATGAATGCTCGGATGTGGTATACAATTTAAAAAGTAACAAATCTCCCGGATTAGATGGATTACCAGGGGAATTTTATAAATGTTTTTAGAACAAAATTGGACCTCTCTTTTACGATGTGTTGTCAACTGTATTTGAAAAAGACGAATTACCATATTCTCAGCGATTGGCACTTATTACTCTTTTATTTAAAAAGGGAGACAAGAATAACCTTAAAAACTACAGACCATTGAGTTTAACAAATACCGATTACAAGATTATAGCTTTTGTTCTCGCAAAAAAATTACAATGCGTCATAGATAAATTAATTAGTAATGAACAATCAGCATATATCAAAGGTCGTTACATAGGTATAAATGCAAGATTGATTTTAGACATTTATGAATACTGCATGGAAAATGAAAAAGACGGAATATTATTATTTTTAGATTTTGAAAAAGCTTTTGATTCGGTTGAGTGGAATTTTCTTTTTCAAGTTTTAAAAAAATTTAACTTCGGTGATAATTTTCTTCAATGGATCCGAATTCTATATAATAAACCAATATTCAGAATTAAAAACAATGGTTGGATTTCTAAAACATGTAGCATGAATAGAGGTATTAGACAAGGATGCCCTATTTCAGCTCTATTGTATCTATTTGTGGCAGAAATACTGGCCTTAAAAATAAAAACTAACAATGAAATACAAGGTATCAATGTTTCAAATATGAAAAGGGATATTAAAAATATTCAGCATGCAGACGATATCACATTGGCTTTAAAAAATATATCTTCGTTGAAGGTTGCAGTTAAGACTGTTAATGATTTTTGTAAACACGCTGGTTCAAAGGTCAATATAAGCAAAACACAATGTATATTATTGGGTAGTCTAATAGATAAATACACTAACATAGAAGGTATCCAGGTAACAAATGATGCTGTTCGATGTTTAGGTATATTCATTGGTCATAATAAAATTCAATGTTATGAATTGAACTGGCTAAAGACTTTTCAAAACATGGAAAAACTCTTTGAATCTTGGAAAAAAAGAAAATTGACTATTTTTGGAAAAGCATGTGTCGTTAACTCTTTAGCTACGTCACAACTTATATACATGGCTTCTATATTACCAATGCCCGATCCCGAACATACTCGACAAATTAAGAAAAGTATATTTAATTTTATATGGAAAAAGCGCGATAGGATTAAAAGAGATACTGTGATCGGAAAACAGGAAGATGGTGGAGTAGGTGTGATAGATATTGAATTGAAATTTAAGGCCTTAAAGGCAGCATGGACTAGATATTTAATAAAAGAAAACAGTATAATCGGCGAAATAGTAAGAGGATATTTAAATCGCCTTAATATTGATATTAACTATCTATTAACATTATCAGAGACAAAACCCTCAGACTTTCAAATCATTTCAAACCTTCCGGTTTTTTATAAAGAAATATTTTGCAGTTTTAACGATTGCAAAAGATACATAGATGAAACAAAATTGTCTAATGTAAGTTTTGCTCAACAACCAATATGGAATAATAATATGTTTAAATATGAAAACAAAACAATATGTTTTAAACATTGGATCAAAAGTGGGATAACACATATTAAAGACCTTTTTAACAAAAATGGTAAATTTAAAACTCTACAAGAGTTGTACGGTGACTTAAAACAAAAATCGAATTGGATATGTGAATATAAAATAGTAAAAACAGCAATCTATAAAAAATCTTTAAGATTCTATGACAGTACCCACCTTGTAGTAACTCTGTAGGAAGCGTGTCATCACTTTTAAATAGGACACAGACTCTATGACAGTACCCACCTTGTAGTAGCTCTGTAGGAAGCGTGTCATCACTGTTAGATAGGCCACAGACTCTATGACAGTACCCACCTTGTAGTAACTCTGTACGAAGCGTGTCATCACTGTTAGATAGGCCACAGACTCTATGACAGTACCCACCTTGTAGTAACTCTGAAGGTAGCGTGTCATCACTGTTAGATAGGATACAGACTCTTTGACAGTACCCACCTTGTATTAACTCTATAGGAAGCGTGTCATCACTGTTAGATAGACCATAGACTCTATGACAGTACCCACCTTGTAGTAACACTGTAGGAAGCGTGTCATCACTGTTAGATAGACCACAGACTCTATGACAGTACCCACCTTGAAGTAACTCTGTAGGAAGCGTGTCATCACTGTTAGATAGGCCACAGACTCTATGACAGTACCCACCTTGTAGTAACTCTGAAGGTAGCATGTCATCACTGTTCGATAGGACACAGACTCTATGACAGTACCCACCTTGTCTTAACTCTGAAGGTAGCATGTCATCACTGTTAGATAGGTCACAGACTCTATGACAGTACCTACCTTGTAGTAACTCTGTAGGAAGCGTGTCATCACTTTTAGATAGGACACAGACTCTATGACAGTACCCACCTTGTCTTAACTCTGAAGGTAGCATGTCATCACTGTTAGATAGGCCACAGACTCTATGACAGTACCTACCTTGTAGTAGCTCTGTAGGAAGCGTGTCATGACTGTTAGATAGGCCACAGACTCTATGACAGTACCCACCTTGTAGTAACTCTGAAGGTAGCGTGTCATCACTGTTAGATAGGATACAGACTCTATGACAGTACCCACCTTGTAGTAGCTCTGTAGGAAGCGTGTCATCACTGTTACATAGGCCACAGACTCTATGACAGTACCCACCTTGTAGTAACTCTGTAGGAAGCGTGTCATCACTGTTAGATAGGCCACAGACTCTATGACAGTACCCACCTTGTAGTAACTCTGAAGGTAGCGTGTCATCACTGTTAGATAGGCCACAGACTCTATGACAGTACCCACCTTGTAGTAACTCTGAAGGTAGCGTGTCATCACTGTTAGATAGGCCACAGACTCTATGACAGTACCCACCTTGTAGTAGCTCTGTAGGAAGCGTGTCATCACTGTTACATAGGCCACAGACTCTATGACAGTACCCACCTTGTAGTAACTCTGAAGATAGCATGTCATTACTGTTACATAGGCCACAGACTCTATGACAGTACCCACCTTGTAGTAACTCTGAAGGTAGCGTGTCATCACTGTTAGATAGGACACAGACTCTATGACAGTACCCACCTTGTAGTAACTCTGAAGATAGCATGTCATCACTGTAACATAGGCCACAGATTCTATGACAGTACCCACCTTGTAGTAATTCTGTAGGAAGCGTGTCATCACTGTTAGATAGGACACAGACTCTATGACAGTACCCACCTTGTAGTAACTCTGAAGGTAGCGTGTCATCACTGTTAGATAGGCCACAGACTCTATGACAGTACCCACCTTGTAGTAGCTCTGTAGGAAGCGTGTCATCACTGTTAGATAGGCCACAGACTCTATGACAGTACCCACCTTGTAGTAGCTCTGTAGGAAGCGTGTCATCACTGTTAGATAGGATACAGACTCTATGACAGTACCCACCTTGTAGTAACTCTGAAGGAAGCGTGTCATCACTGTTACATAGGATACAGACTCTATGACAGTACTCACCTTCTAGTAATTCTGTAGGAAGCGTGTCATCACTGTTAGATAGGCCACAGACTCTATGACAGTACCCACCTTGTAGTAACTCTGAAGGTAGCGTGTCATCACCGTTAGATAGGCCACAGACTCTATGACAGTACCCACCTTGTAGTAACTCTGAAGGAAGCGTGTCATCACTTTTAGATAGGACACAGACTGTATGACAGTACTCACCTTGTAATAACTCTGAAGGTAGCGTGTCATCACTGATAGATAGGCCACAGACTCTATGACAGTACCCACCTTGTAGTAACTCTGAAGGTAGCGTGTCTTTACTGTTAGATAGGCCACAGACTCTATGACAGTACCCACCTAGTAGTAACTCTGTAGGTAGCATATCATCACTTTTAGATAGGCCACAGACTCTATGACAGTACCCACCTTGTAGCAACTCTGAAGGTAGCATGTCATCACTGTTAGATAGGCCACAGACTCTATGACAGTACCCACCTTCTAGTAACTCTGAAGGTAGCGTGTCATCACTGTTAGATAGGCCACAGACTCTATGATAGTACCCACTTTGTAGTAGCTCTGAAGGTAGCGTGTCATCACTGTTAGATAGACCACAGACTCTATGACAGTACCCACCTTCTAGTAATTCTGTAGGAAGCGTGTCATCACTGTTAGATAGGTCACAGACTCTATGATAGTACCCACCTTGTAGTAACTCTTAAGGTAGCGTGTCATCACTGTTACATAGGCCACAGACTCTATGATAGTACCCACCTTGTAGTAACTCTGAAGGTAGCGTGTCATCACTGTTAGATAGGCCACAGACTCTATGACAGTACCCACCTTGTAGTAACTCTGTAGGAAGCGTGTCATCACTGTTAGATAGGCCACAGACTCTATGATAGTTCCCATCTTGTAGTAACTCTGTAGGTAGCGTGTCATCACTGTTACATAGGCCACAGACTCTATGATAGTACCCACCTTGTAGTAACTCTGAAGGTAGCGTGTCATCACTGTTAGATAGGCCACAGACTCCTTCACATTTTTTGTTCTCTTTACTTGAAAACCATCAATGACCTGTAAGATAAAAGTGACCTTGACTTTTAACCTTGAATTAATTCAGCCATATCCGAGTTGTGAGTTGCAAATTATTTCATCAGCCCATCTGATTGGATGTACGATTACAGCGAAATACGAAATGGCGGTTAAATTTTCAATAAGCTGCTGGATAGCTCAATAGGGTATTAAATTTGGTCTAACAAGTATCACATTAGGTTTGAATCTAGGTCACAAAGTTACTCAGGTGTATCATTGGTTTTTACAGGTAAATGTGAGTTGATTTCAATGTTGTATGAAGCCACATGTATGTGCTAAAGTTTTATGCAGTAAATACATGCAATACTTTTCTTTAATTGAAATATTTTTTTCAGCAAAATTGTATTCCAGCACTTCAATAATGCATATATCCTCTGCACACTGTCTTTCCGAATTGCTATCAAGTCTTGTCACTAAAAATATAAAAACACATTGTAATCTATTTTCATAATTAACATACAAGTAATTTCATATCACAGGGTAAAATTTCTCTTTTAGACAAATGTTAGTAAACAATAGCACCAGCACCCATGTTTAAGATTAAACTGCTTAACATTGCTTAATCCAGCATTCAAATATAATGGTTTTTCTAAACTTTTGAGTACATTATTTGTTGCATGTCAAAATCTAATTATCCATGATTTTGGATTTTATAGTTTTGCTAGATTTATAAATATAGGTTTAAAAATAATTAATATAAACTAAAAGTTTTTAACTCTCCTAGCAGTGAAGAATTCTGTAATTGTGATGCTTTTAATATTTGCCTCTATGTTATTTTTTAAAATATGAAAGAATAAAATAAGAATTGAATATGGTAAAGAATAGAATAAATAGCAAGAGCACTTAATCTTAGCCATAATTTCTTTTGTAAAACAATTAAGCCCTTTATCAATTTAAATTTCAGTTTTTCAGAGAGTAACAGATATGAATAGAGAAATTTGATGGGTGTAGAAATGTTCATCATAATTAATTAAATACATTTTATATGTGCTATTTATATCATTCCAAGTATTTATGACATTATTCAGTTAATGTGTCTGCTTATGTATAATCCATTAAGTGGGAAAAGTGGGGCTAACTATGTCCTGACTTTGATAACAATACCTTTTGTAAGAATGGAAAAGGGGGGCTGTCATTCACTAATTCTGCAAAAAGTATTTGCAATTAAAGAAAAGTATTGCATGTATTTACTGTATAACACTTTGGCACATACATGTGGCTTCATACAACATTGAAATCAACTCACATTTACCTGTAAAAACCAATGATACACCTGAGTAACCTTGTGACCTAGATTCAAACCTAATGTGATACTTGTTAGACCAAATTAAATACCCTATTGAGCTATCCAGCAGCTTATTGAAAATTTAACCGCCATTTCGTATTTTGCTGTAAAATAGCGAAACTCATTTAGTACAAACATGGTTAAAGCAAAGTTATCCTGGAACCCCAGTTTTATTAATTTTATGAATTCCTTATACAGATGTAACAAATTACAGATATAATGAAGTAAGTTCATGAGTCCCAGTGGCTTCCTTATAATCTAGTTTTACTGAATGTGAAAGGTCACCTTGAGATTGGTTATGGTCTGTCTGATGCGGTCCTCTGGGATACTGAAGTGCTGCAGGAACCCGTAATCCTCCACCATAAAGATTGGCTTCTTCAGACCGCAGTGCTTCAGGCGGAACTAAAACACAATTGTGTGGGTAAATTAAACAAGACTGCAAAGTTAAATTTCAAATCAATTTTTTAAGAATGTGGTTCTTTTACATGAAGCAATATACAGTAAAAATAGGTTATAACAAACTTGCTTGAAAGACAATTTTGGTTGAAGATATTTTTTTTTGAAATCCCAACTGTTTACAGTGTTTCTTAGTGGATAATTCTTAAAGAATTAAAAGGCAGATAAATTTGACATCCCAGTGACTTTCTTACATCCAAGTTTTACAGTACTTTTAAAACAAGAGGCCCCAAAGGGGGGGGAGGGGGGGGAAAGGCTGGGACCATAAAATTTAACAATTTTGTTCCCCTTCACCCATAAATGCTGTATTCCAAATTTGGTCGAAATTGGTTCAGTGGTTTCAGAGAAGAAGCTGAAAATGTTCAAATGTTAACACACGACGGACGATGAATGATGACAGACAAAAACAGATAGCAATAGGTCACCTGAGTTACTCAGGTGACCTAAAAAGGTAAACAATTGATCCTCGTTTAGACTCTAGATGAGCTGTTAGTTTTATATTTGACCCTGACCTTCTGATCCGGGAGTCGGCCGTCCGTACAGCTGTGTACAAGGTCATCCATCCTCTTCCTCTCTATAATGTAATCCAGCACCAGTTCTCTCCCCCTGGGCCGATCCATCCCTATCCCAGGTAAACCAGGCAAGGTCAATCATCATCTTAATTAGTACATCTCAGAAATATCAACAATTAAATGTGAAGGAAGTCAAAAGTTATGTCCCTTACCAACTTCTGTCTGCTGAGTTTTCTCCCTTGCGACCCACAGAAGGTCCCCCACATGGAGTTTTCTGAGGTCACAGGTCACACCATTCTTAATGAGGTCAGGGAGTAAGGACTTCCCCCCTCCTTGTCTTAGTGTAAAATTAGAATGCATAAATTGTACAGTACAATAGGTTATTACTTATTACAAGTACTTGGTAAGAGTAAAACATGCTCAAAATGAAGCACCAGAAACAAATGATTTTGCTCTCTTGCCAATGTAGTTCATTATGTATCTGTTAAGATTTGTTAACACAATATATCTTAAAACTATTGGGGAATGAAGATCTCTTTGCTGTATGAATTAATTCATTATTAGTGCGTTTACTATAATCTTTGAAATATTAAACATTTAGTTTCATAACTTGGTTGAATATAACAGAGTATATATTTTTTTGATTACCGACAACTTGGTTCAAAGTATGAAAACGATACCTGCTTCCATAGAATTCAGCATTGTCGACACACAGAATGATTTCAAACTGCCCGGGTAGGAACACAAAGTTAGGTACACAGCTAGTACTGGTGGACTCCTGAGAATTCTCACTCTCTGATGCCCTTTCATGACTAAGAGTTCTGACAGAGGAAATTCTAGCTGGTTTTGGAGAGGAATTCTGGAATGAAAGAAGCTGTGGCTCTGCTGAGTGAGATGACATCACATCCTTAGGAAGCTTTGTTCTCTTCTTTGCTTCCTTTGTAGGTTTGACTGCAATTGAATTAAGAAATAATTAAGATTAAGATGTAAAACTAATCTTTATAGACAAATTAAATATACATTGTACACATATTCATCTGTATGAAAAATTCACTTCTAAACATTTATATACAAGCATATGTATATTTTTTTTCACTAAACCTAAATTTAATTTTGTGCTTATCTGAATTTTTTTTTAAAGTTACCACTTACCTGCATATTTCTACACAAATATCTTTTCATGGATACCATAGGGACACAATATTTCACTTAAAATTGCTTACAGAAATGAGAAAATAACTGGTCAAGATGCTGATTAATTTGAGATTGTTGAATTCTTTATTAACCTTTGACCTTACCTGTAGTAATTGCTGGGGTTTCCTCTAAATCGTCCAGTGAGGGCAGTCGAGGTGTGTCCTGAGTAACAATACAATCCACAGCCTCCTCTTCATGTAAGTAAACATACACATTATCACCTAGTGGCCTGAAAGTTAAGAAAATCAATATAACAAAGGAAATCAGTCAAAACAATTTTGTGATAAGTATATCAAATGTATCAATGGTTTCATCTGAATATAGAAGTACCCAGATAGCATGACTATGTTGGGCCAACATTTGTTAAAGGTTGTATGGTTGGCGTTGGGAGAATATCGTTGGGCCAACGTTGGACCAATGTTACCAAGTCAACCTTCTCGACCATGACGGAATTCCTATGTTGGCCCAACGTTGGTCCAACGTAAGCAATTTCCATTCACTTTAGTTTCCAAAGAAGGAAGAATCATGGCGTTGGCCCAACGTTTGACCAATGTTTATAATACTGTACTTACAAGTTGGTAGTAATATGTTGGCCCAACGTTGGCCCATTGTTTGTAATACACACTTAAAGAAAGTGCCTTATCAAGTTTGTAGTAGTATGTTGGCCCAACGTTGGCACCATGTTTGTAATACATCCTTATAGAAAGTGCCTTTTCAAGTTGGTAGTATTATGTTGGCCCAACGTTGGCTCATTGTTTGTAATACACCCTTAAAGAACGTGTCCTATCAAGTTGGTAGTAGAATATTAGCCCAAAGTTGGCCCATTGTCTGTAATGCACCCTAAAAGAAAGTGCCTTATCACGTTGGTAGTAGTATGTTGGCCCAACGTTGGTCCATTGTTTGTAATACACCCTTAAAGTGCGTGTCCTATCAAGTTGGTAGTAGTATGTTCGGCAAACGTTGGCCCATTGTTTGTAATACACCCTTAAAGTGCGTGTCCCATCAGTTGATAGTAGTATGTTCGGCCAACTTTGGCACATTGTTTGTAATACACACAAGTGTAATTTTGTTTAGGTCTTTCAAAGATGTGATTTATATATTGAATCAACGTTGGCCCAGTTATATTAATTATGAACAATACAAATGAATTTTCAGACCTAGTGGTGTCAAGTCGGTAACGTTTCCCACTGGACAATAATTGCTGGTAGTTCACTTTAATCAGAAATCCCAGCCCAAAATCATCTGAAAAATAAATTTGTGGAACACCTAACTCTCAGAAATGATTTTTTAAAACTTTACTTTGCTATATAAGTCATGCACTTAAAAGATGCAGATGCACTGAATAAACATACGTGAAAATATAATTGAATGTGTACCTGTCAGCTTTATAGCATGTCAAGACCAAAGAAAAAATACAAAATAAAAAAAAAATTTTTTTTAATTCAAAAGTGATTTTTCTTCCTTTCTCTTTGTCTATTAAATACTGTACGTGGTTGAGAAGGAAAAGATCTGTAGAATGTAAATTTCTCTATTGATACCAATCTTTGATCTCACCATCAATAAGAACTGCTGCTTTGTCTTTCTTGTTCCCCTCATCCCCTTCATTTGATACGTACTTGTATTGAAGTGATCTGGTAAATGAAATGCATTACATGTAAGAACTGATGATTCTTACTTCACTTTTTATTAAGCCCTACTAACACCACATACTGTTTATACAGGGAAATTTTTGCCCCAATATTATTTTCTTCCCTTTTGCAAAACCCTTATTTGGCTGGATTTAAAACGGGGTGAAATCAAAGAATACAAAATATTTCTTATCAAAATTTATTGGATGGGCAAATTTAAAACGGGGCAAAATTGTCTGTAAGTGTGAAATGGTGACAATAACACAGGGTAAAATAACCCTGTACACAGTTATCTTACCCATGGTCTTGATTCCTGTGTCCAGGGAGGGTTACTGGTAATCTCTGGCTGGAGGCTGGCCTGAGTGGGAGATCGTCAGCCTGAATTGCCTCTAGCCGGTGAGCCAGCTGAGACCCCGCCTCTGTCAGGCTGTACTTGGCTGGGTTACTCTCCTTCACCACTAGGCCTTTCTTGATCAGAGTCCCCATAGAGGACCAGGCAGTGTACCGACAACCTGGATCTGCCTGTAAACACAAGTACATGTACATATGTGGTTCTATGTGGGGATATTGTCTTCAAACTTGACACTATACTACAGACTACTGTAAACACATACACATATACAGTATATGTGCATAGTTGAGGAAGTTCTTTGCAAGGATTCATGGTTTAAAACTCACCAGTGTAAAGGATTTCTCAGCCAATGGCTGGGCTTTATTTATAACTCAGCAGTGTAAAGGATTTGTCAGCCAATGACTGGGCTTTGTTATTTATAACTCACCAGTGTAAAGGAATTGTCAGCCAATGGCTGGGCTTTGTTATTTAACACTCACCAGTGTAAAGGATTTATCAGCCAATGGCTGGGCTTTATTTATAACTCACCAGAGTGAAGGATTTGTCAGCCAATGGCTGGGCTTTGTTATTTAAAACTCACCAGAGTAAAGGATTTGTCAGCCAATGGCTGGGCTTTGTTACAGAGTTCGGTCTTCGTCATGAATCCTCTTCCATCTGCAGACTAAATTGAATAAAAAATTAAATATATTGAAAATAATGTACATGTACAATTATGAGGAAAAACAAGAAATGAATATCAAATACCCTTACAAAATATCTTGACTGGGTGGTGTGTAGAAGGTTAATAATGTACTGTGGTAGTATACCTGTCTGTCTCTGTACAGAGTGATAAGGAGGGCATAAGGACCGGACCTGTAGGCTGGTATATACTCCCTCTCTCCACTCGATAGTCCAGATCTCTGTCTTTTCTGAAGTCAATAAATAAACTCATATACATGTATTTCACAAATTTTCCTGAGGGAAGGACTTGAGATTGTTTATTGTGGTGTAGAGTGGTCAACATTCCAAATAATCTATTGTATTAAATGATGTACACACTTACACAGCTAATAATGCATTACCTTGTTTTCAATTAAACGAGTATCTATACCATGAACTATCTGATTCACACTGGGGACCAAGAAACTTTGGTACATGTATATTTTTAATTACTTATGCTTACTGCCTATGAGACAATTCATGTTTACCCTTGGGGGTTGAGGGACCACCGCCTCCCCCTCACTATCCAAGTCAGACAGAGTATGTGACGCTCCATGGGAGACAACTCTCTGCTGATTGCCGGGCCCAGTGGCTGTAGAGGCTGCCTTGTTCTTCTGTTTTGGTTTCTGTCTGGCTGCTGGTTTGGTGTGGGAATCCTCTTCAGTTGTGGGTGGAGAATTTCCCTGAATGCAGTATAAAGAGGAATACACCAAGAAGGTAATTTACATTTACTTTCTGATATGTTTTTTTTTGTACGCGGGAGTTTGAATTTACCATTTTTTTGTATATGTTTTTGAAGCCGATCATCCGACATTTTACGAGTTTTGTTACCTGTAAAAAGAAATCCAGGGCCTGTACTTAGTTGACCCACCTAGCCCTACCCCAGGGGCTACTTAATTGACCCAACCAGCAGTCTTTGGGGTCAAACCTGCACTCCATTGACCCACCCAGCCTCTTAGCCAATCAGAATCCGACACCTATCCAGGCTCCTAGTACTGCTTGCGAAGATGAAGTCATGCACATTATTGTACATATTCATGTTCGATACTGTCAAAATTTTACACAATACACGATGTCTAATTTAACCTTTATTAAACAGTTCTAATAGATGTAATAAGTATATTAAGTCCACCGAGCACCTGTCTTATAGTACAATAAATACTACTAAAAAAAGCACTTTAAGAGGGGTGAGAGGTCCAAGGGAGTTTTGGTATAAAATTACATTCCAAAAGCTCAAAATCTTCTTGAAATGTCGCCCGAAAAGGATAGTGTTACACACAGACAGAATATGTAAATTTACTACCTTGAACTTTGACCTTTTGACCTCAAAATCATCAGGAGTCTTCCTTGGGCCACAGAGAACTGTTATTTAAAATTTCATTGCAAAAGCTCAGAGGGTTCTCGAGATATCGCGCGGAAACGAAAGTGTTATAACAGACAGAATATGCGAATTCATTAACTTGACCTTTTGACCTCAAAATCAATAAGGTTCTTCTTTAGTCCATAGGGAGTTGATAACGTGTGGAAACGAAAGCGTTACAGACAGACAGAAAGACAGACGGACGGACACACCCAAATTAATATCCCCCACTTTTCAAGCGGGGGACAAAACTCAGGACATTCAAAAATCAGGACATTATACCCCTTTAGTTTGAAAGCGCTTTTGAGCAATTGAAAATCAATATTTATCAAAAAACTTCTTTTTAATTTTTCATTTAAATAAGATTTGAAAAATGAATCAAATATGATGAAAACTTGCTTTTATTATAGTTTTTTATTTAATCAGGTTATCAGGTCATTATACCCCAAAATCAGGGCATTATACCCCTGTCAATTTTCTATGTCAAATAAAACTTCATAAAAATATTTTCATTTAGCATTCTCTTCGTGATTCTTAACCAGGTCAATCAGGGCATTCTACTTATTAGGGCATTATACTTCTCCCGTAACTACAGATTGTAATTTAAATCCCTTCTAGACCAGGAAGTATAAATACCTGAAAGGAAGCTAACACAAGTGTCACGTGACTGCAGTGCATAGAGATAAACAAGACAGCCGCCATTATTACATTCAGGTAATAATGAGAAATGAGCATTTGATCTATCTATCTATCTATCTCTCTCTCTCTCTCTCTCTCTCTCTCTCTCTCTCTCTCTCTCTCTCTCTCTCTCTCTCTCTCTCTCTCTCTCTATCTATCTATCTATCTATCTATCTATCTATCTATCTATCTATCTATCTATCTATCTATCTATCTATCTATCTATCTATCTATCTATCTATCTATCTATCTATCTATCTATCTATCTATCTATCTATATATATATATATATATATATATATATATATATATATATATATATATATATATATATATATATATATATATATATATATATATATATATATATATATATATATATATATATATATATATATATATATATATATATATATATATATATATATATATATATATATATATATATATATATATATATATATATATATATATATATATATATATATATATATATATATATATATATATATATATATATATATATATATATATATATATATATATATATATATATATATATATATATATATATATATATATATATATATATATATATATATATATATATATATATATATATATATATATATATATATATATATATATATATATATATATATATATATATATATATATATATATATATATATATATATATATATATATATATATATATATATATATATATATATATATATATATATATATATATATATATATATATATATATATATATATATATATATATATATATATATATATATATATATATATATATATATATATATATATATATATATATATATATATATATATCTATATATATATATCTATCTATCTATCTATTGTCAGTAACAAGAACTTAAGATGGACACCCGTACCAGTGCCCAGGACGTGATGCGATGTGACGTGTGTGAGACCGCTGTGGTACAGATGCACTGTGATACATGTCTTGTCAACTTGTGTAAGGCCTGTGTGGGAGATCACATTTCAACAGGTGAAACCAAAGATCACAAGGTCGTCAAGTTTCAGGACAGGAAATCTACCCCCCTCTACCCTGGATGTACATCACATAACAAACAACAATGTACAATGTACTGTAATCAATGTGACATTCCTGTTTGTACAAAGTGTCTAGCATCTGTTGAACATTTAGGTCATAAGTTGTCAGACATCTTACAAATTGCGGAAGAAAAAAAGGACATAATTATCAAAGAAGTCATTGAATTACGTGAGACAATTTATCCCACCTACCATGACATTGCCTCTGATGTACAAAACAGAATGAGTCAATTGAAAAAGGAATATGGAGATCTCTCAACAGGCATAACAAAACATGGAGAGGACTGGCACAGACAAATTGACAAACTTGTCAAGAAACTTAAAGCTGAACTTGATGAGATGAAAAACACACAGTTACAAACTCTACAGAAACATCTGGATGAAATAAACAAGACAATGTCCGAAATCGGGGATGAAATAGATTCAGTTGAAATGGTTACAGACACTAATGACTTGTCAAAACTATTGAGTGTCACATCCATGGCCAGTGTAATTAATACATACAGAAATCTTCCACAAAAACTTGAACCAATCTTACCAAAATTCATTCCAGGAAAAATCCAAGAACTTGATAAATTGTTTGGCGTCTTATCATCAAGTTCCTTAACTTCAGATAAACACGGCTACAGCATGAAGACAACACAGAAATCACCGGAGGCTGGATCCTCTCCTCCAGTCAAACAGATGCTTGATGAACCAGAGACTATCACCACCATAGACACTGGGTGTAAATACCTTTACAATGTGGCCTGTCTGAGTGATGAAGAAATCTGGACAAGTGGAAGTGACAGAACCATGGAACTCTACAGCATCAATCAGGGATCACTACTCAAGTCAATCACAACCAAGTCAGGGAAAATACCATCTGACATAGCAGTGACAAAAAGTGGAGATCTAGTATATACTGATAACGATTACGAAGATGGAACTGTGAACATTGTGAAGAATAAGAAGATAAAGAAGGTGATCAGACTACAGAACTGGAAACCTCTTGGTGTCTGTAGTACCTCCTCTGGTGACCTCCTGGTTATCATGGACAGTGATGATTACAAACATTGTCATACAAAAGTTGTCCGTTACTCTGGCTCCACAGAGAAACAAACCATTCAGTTTGATGATAAAGGTCAACCTCTCTATTCTGGTTATTATAACAGATACATTACTGAGAACAGGAACCTGGATATCTGTGTGTCTGACTGGGGAGCAAGAGCAGTAGTGGTGGTCAATCAGGCCGGAAAACTGAGATTCAGGTACACTGGACATACTCCTGCTCCAAAGAACCAACCATTCAGTCCACGAGGAATCACCACAGACAGTCAGAGTCACGTCCTTAGAGCTGATTATTGGAATCACTGTGTCCACATCATAGACCAGGATGGAAATTTCCTTTGTTACATAGACTGTGGACTGAGTGATCCATGGGGACTGTGTTCAGATACAAATGACAATCTGTTTGTTGCTGAAATCAGGAAACAAAATGTGAAGAAAATCAAATATCTCCAGTGAACCACATCACTATGTTGTATTCAATATATGATTAGACATTAATCACATTATTAAATTAGTTAATCATTTAAACAGTAAAACATGCTTAAAATAAGGAAGTGGCAAAGACCAACAATTTTGCTTCATTATAAACTTAAACATATTAATATTAATTCGTTATTCAATATTCAATATATTTTAAAGTCATAAGGAATGGAAATCGATTCTCTATAATCATCAATTCATTATTAAGCATGTTTGCTACACATGTGTTTTACTGTATGTCTAAAGGCAATTGTACAAGTCACAAGTAAAATGAGGACTGAGGAAAACAATGTGTATTTTCTCTTGTGTTTGAAATATTATTACATTAACCATGTAATGATGTAAATAATGAGTCATATTTTATGTTTCCTCAGGTGTTTTGATTGATAACTATGATTGTCATAATATTTAAATATGTTTTAAGACACTACAAAACAATGCTTCAGGCTTTCTATACAGCACATGGCTATTAATTAAAAACTTTTGTGACACTCTTTTGTCAAAAATTCTACAAGCATCAGCAAAAAGCAAATTTCATCAAATGACCCAAAGTTTTATGTTATCAAATATGACAGTTCAATATACCTATAGAATTGTTGTACATCTTATTTGAAAGGAACTTATGTTACAAAAATAAATACAAAGTATGAAATATTATCAGGAACAGGTCATGCGAGTGATCTACATCGAGACTCGACGTTATTAAAACATAGGTAATCAGAGATTACAGAGCTCACCTCAACGAATGTTGTCTTTAAGTAGGGCAAAGTCACACAATTAACCAACAAAAAGTGTACATTCCAAAAATGAAAATATTTAAGCAATTTTGATCTGATACTTTGAAATAGACCTACATAAACAATCTAACCTAGTTCTTCTTCATGAAAATGTAATCAAAATCCAGCATCTGAAGCAAATTTGAAAATTTTCATCTCTTGATGAAAACTTTAACCTGTTCACTCAACCACAAAATGTAGATCAGATTCAGCATCCGAAGCAAGCCTGGTAGTGTGCATCCTTAGATGCATCATCCATGCAAGTTTGGTCAACATAGGGCTTATAGTTACTTGGAAATGAAACCTGCACCAAAAACTTAAACCTGTTCACTCAACCGCAAAATGTAGGTCTGATTCAGCATCCGAAGCAAGCCTGGTAGTATGCATCCTTAGATGAATCATCCAAGCAAGTTTGGTCAACATAGGTCTTATATTATTTGGAAATGAAACCTTCACCATAAACTTTTACCTGTTCACTCAACCGCAAAATGTAGGTCAGATTCAGCATCCAAAGCAAGCCCTGTAGTATCCATTGTTAGATTATCATCCATGCAAGTTTGGTGAACATAGGGCTTATAGTTACTTGGAAATGAAACCTGCACCAAAAACTTTTACCTGTTCACTCAACCGCAAAATGTAGGTCAGATTCAGCATCCGAAGCAAGCCCTGTAGTATCCATTGTTAGATGTATCATCCATGCAAGTTTGGTCAACATAGGTCTCATAGATACTTGGAAATAAAACCTGAACCAAAAACTTTTACCTGTTCCCTCAACTGCAAAATGTAGGTCAGATTCAGCATCCGAAGCAAGCCTGGTAGTATCCATTGTTAGATGTATCATCCATGCAAGTTTGGTCAACGTAGGTCTCGTAGTTACTTGGAAATGAAACCTGCACCAAAAACTTTAACCTGTTCACTCAACCGGAAAATGTAGGTCAGATTCAGCATCCGAAGCAAGCCTGGTAAAGTAAATCCAATAATAAGTAAGTTTAACAATCTGTTCTAGTAACAGGTGTAATTTTGACAACCACGATCCTTCCCTGACGGATATTTTCTTATTACACTTGCGGTTTGTGCACCTCCATACTACATCATCTTTGCTGTAGGAATTATCTTCAACAAGACGAAATGAATTAACGAACCTTCTCAAAAATATCACACAAACTACGAAAATATCCTAATAGTCCCTTGGTTTGAAGCCAATCTGTTAGGAATCTTCTGTTCTTACAAACCTCATAAATATCGTCACAGACGATGGGCATAGTAAATCTTGTAAAATCAGCTGTTTCGTGTTTATAACTTAAAATAACGTAACTTACCTCTAAATCAGAGAGCACGTTTAGGTCACATGACTAACAACGTCATGACTTTGGAATGCGGTCAAGAACTAGGATGTAAGAGGTTTATTTTGGAATACCAGATATTTGTAATTAATAAACTTCGTTAATTAAACAAAGTTTATTAATATAAAAAATGACGAAGAATTAAAAAAAAAACAGTTTATTTTTGCATTTTATTGCCGTTTCAACGAATTTGTCACGCTGACGCGTGACTCTCTTATAGAGAAAGATCACGTGCTATTTCCATGTAATTTGTACGTACCGAAAAGTGCATTTGTCCCATGTGTTCTATCGTTCAGCTGATTACTCTGTAAAAAAAGCAGTTCAGTCGTTTCCTTCTAAAATTTGATTAATATAGAAATTATTTTTTTTCTTGTGATT